TCCCCAGCCAGGCGCATGACCGCGAATCCGACTTGACCCTTGCCAGTTCGGAACTGCGACGGTTTCTGATTGAAACAGACACGGCATTTGGCCAAGAAGTGGTTCACCGAATAGTCCTTGTCGTCTCCGGTGAAGTCTTTGACTTCGTTGAGTTTGCCCTCGTCGTCTTGTTCCACATCGTCTCGCCCGGATTCGGACCGAAACTCGCGCATTGGGGTGTAGATATCCCTCTCGGCGAATCGTTGGTTTCGGTACCTTCCATCCGCTTCGTTGTCTGAGTCGTCGGAATCGTACTGATCCGCAAGATCTTGGAGACCACTAAAGGGGTCCCGCTGGGTCTTGCGCGCCTTCGGTTCCTTGACCGACCTCGCATCGATCAATTGTTCGATCTTGGTGGTAAGGTCGTCCTGGTCCTTACGTTGCCTGGCGAGTTCGTCCAGGAGACGACGGTTCTGTTCCCGAAGTAAATCCAATTCGGTTTCTTCGCTATCTTCCGTGTGAGGGACGACCCTCTCTTCCGAATCGGCCGGTCGTCGGTCGACATCGTCCGGATCTTCGGAGTTTTCTTGCGAAGGTCGTATGTTCCCACGGGTCCCCGCCCTGGTGGCCGGACCCGTGCCTCTATTGTTGTTGTTCGTTGCCTGGCTTGACATCTTGAAAGGTGTGATAGAAGAAGCGCAGTTATGCTGTTACGGGCGTCCTCGAAAATCGTCTAAGGGGTTGCTTCCGCGTATTTACTTCCGTCGCGACTACGTGGCGAGTCACAGGTTTCTAGATGCAAGCGAAGTCGGATCACGTGACTACGATGTCTCACGGTCTTTCTCGAGTTCGTGTGAAGTCGCGACACTGTACTAACGATAGTGAGTTCGTCGGTGATAGTGTAACCTCTCCTAGTACGTCTCCGTAGTATAACTAAGGTATAGGCGTATGTCGAATGTAATAACTGCGCTTGAATCGTATAGAAGTACAACAGACTCGCACGACTTCTCTACGATTCGCGCTCCGTTATATGCTAACTACGTACTCGCGTTGCTCGCACCGAATCCGCTATTGTTTACCGAGTTCGCCCGACTTCGTGCTTGTCTTCTTTGTTCGAGAACAAAAGGCTATCGTCCGTCGGTCACTCTTTTAGGCGAACAATAGACGGTCGAACACACGAAGTCGCGGTTTCCTTTTGTTGACTTCGTGCGGATCCGCTGGGTGTCGCCCGATCCGGGCCGATGACCTAGATGCGCGTCGATCCCATGCTGCCGTTCGGTCACGCCCTGTGACAATATACACACGATCAATTCACATCCCCCCTTCCCCCCCCCTCATCGTCCTTTTCTCTTTTCCTCTCTTCACTCTCAACTCTATCTCTCCGACTCTATCTCTCTTCCCAACTTTACTTAATCCTCGTCTTGATAACAACATGGCCCCTGAACGTCCCGCCAAATCCTCCTCCTCTAAACGCACCAACCCCGCCAACCCCGCCAATCGTACTTCTCGGAACGCCCTTGGGCGATTCGTGTCTCGTCCCGGAGCTGGAGCTCCCGCTGGCGCTCAGGAGGAGTGGGATAGGATGCAGAGGGGGGAAGGGGGTCGTCAGTCGACTCTTCCGAACCTGAGAGTGAGTACAATACGATCGTGATCCTTCTTCCTTTCACCGTCGGTTGTTCCCCTCCTGTCTTTCGTTCTTTGCCGAGTAAACGACTGACTCTCCCGAATTTTGCCGAATTCGGTAGTTTGCTCAGACCCAAGAGGAAGAAGACCGGGACGTCCAGAAGGCCATCGGCAAGTCTCTCAAGACGGCTAAGTTTGAAAAGATCCTTACCAAGGAGCGACTTGCAGCGGAAACTCGCCTCGCCCATGAGCAAGCCGAACCCGACGCCGTCAATCAAGGAGCTCGCATCTCCCCCATCCCCGACGACAACCAAGGAGCTCGTATCTCTCCCATCCCCGACGACGACGACGTGATCGTCAAGACCGAGAAGATTGATGAGCCTGTAAGTTGGGGTGTTTGCTAGCTTCAAAGTCGGAATCGAAGGCTTACCGAATTCTGCAAACTTCGGCAGATCCCTCCAAAGAACAAACGCAAGGACAAGGCCAAGGCGAAGCAGGCGGAGGTCATCGAGGTGAGTTATTCCTGTTAGAGAGTGATCGGTTTGCGCTTACGAATTCTGCAAACTTCGTCAGCTTTCCTCGACCGAGGAGCCGGAGGCCAACGCCAAGGCCAAGGCCAAGGCCGAGAAGAAGAGGAGGAGGAAGGCCGAGAAGATGGCGCGGGAGGTGAAGAAGGAGGTGGAGGAGCTTGTCCCTGTGAGTTATCCATCTTTCGCTCCATTTCAGCTTGAACATGATACTAATTCCGTCCTATTCTCTGCGTTTAGAGCGACGACGACGTCAAGGCCCTCGTCCCCGACTTCCCGTCTAAAAACCTCGAGGATGCCTGGATCCTTGACGGGAAGAACCCTGTCAAGGTTTGTGTAAGTCTGTGCTCTCTCTTTTACACATCCTCATCGTTGTACTAACTTCATTTGCAAACGATAGATCTTTACGAAAGGTTACGACTGGGTAGGAGCTCTTGCGAAACTCGAAGAGGCTGCCCAGATGTCGAACGAAAAGGACAAGAACGCCATGGCCAAGAGTATCGGCTTGATGGGACCTCATTCGTCCCCCGACATGACTGCGGCCCGACGAAATTTCTGGCTCGCCCGAGGGATCGACTTCGATAAGACCTTCAACGCTCAAACGGGCTACGACGTCGGCGTCTATACCGGAGAGGTGAGTTGGCGCTTACCGAATTCAGCCGAATTCGGCAGAGTCCTGCGTCTTTTGCACTGATCACTGACACCGGTACGATTGCTTCTCTCTTCAGGAACGAAGCATTCGAACCGCGAAGGAGGGGGGCAAAGCAGTTGTCGAGTTCGAACACATCATGTGCACCCCCTGCGCCAGGAAGAAGAAGGATGACCCGGAGCAGCGATGCTTCGCCACAAGGCCCTTCACCGCCTGCACCGCCTGCGCTGATCGCGGCAAGGCTTGCGACTTCAAGGAGATGCAGCGCGCCTTCGTCAACCAGCACGTCATCGGTGCTGCGAAGACCTTGCAAACTATCGGCAAGAAGATTCGCAAGAAGGTCAAGGGCAAGAAGGGGTTGACGATTGCTATCGACATGATGGCGGTGAGTTTTTCTCTGATTCAAACCAGTGATTCCGCGATCCGTGACTGACCGAATTTGGAAAAATTCGTACAGGCTGTCACCGACATTCTCAAGGCCTCCGACGTCGGTATCCCCGGTCTCCACGACTCGCTGAACCGTTACTTCGAGATTCAGCAAGCCAAGATCGACGCAACCTCCAAGAGCGGCAAATCGATGATCGGGCTGTTGAATGAGAGTCGAGGCGAGCAGGTTGCCCGAGAAGTCGAGCAGGGCATGAAGGCTCCCCGCCGCAAAGACGTCGAGACCCAAGCCGTCCTCGACGCGGCCTTCGACAACTTGCCCAGCACCCCTCAGAAGCGCAAGGCCATCGCTGCTCCCGACCAGCGAGCGACCGTCGAGGACTACGATGACGACATGGACATCGACGAGCCGGTCGCCTCGGGTTCGGGATCGGGTAAGAAGGCGATCAAGGCCGCGCCCCCCAAGGAAGAGACCACCGACTCGGACTCCTCGGACTCTTCGTCTTCTTCGGAAGATGAGAGCTCCAGCGACTCCGACTAAGTGTGCCTCTTGGTAGACCCCCGCTCAATGCATAGGGTCCCTTACTACCTGATTTCTCTCGCGAAGTCTCTGTTCAGGTAGGGGTTTTTATAGATCAAGACTTCGCCCGTTATTATACGGTATATATGTGATAGAGGTTTGTAACTACGAGGCTGGTTTCTTTTCTTATGCCATGCCAATCTACGAGCGATCGCCGAATTCGGACAACTTCGGCCGGTGCTTTGTTAAAGTGTTGACTAACCCGTTCACCAAATTCTGCAAAATTCGGCAAGACCTTGAGATGAAACACGCATCGTCTGAGATATCACGTGATGACGTGGCTGCTATTTGTATCCGCGCGGAGGCAAACAACACAAACAGATAGAACTCGCAATCACCCACGGCAAACTATCCGACCTCGCTAGCGCGCTATCTGCGCGCAGATACTCGTGAGAAAATAATTATAATCTAGATAGAACTCGCGACCGGGCCCTGAGAGATTCTTGAGAATCGGCCGATACACCCCTCCAGTAAAATCCTGGTATGAAATAGAAGCTGGGTCTGGACGTGACACTGTGGACGATCACTCTGCGCCGCTTCAAACGGGCATACGCATATTTCAAGTTGACGTTGAAGCTGTCTGTTTCTCAAGCTAGACGAAATATAAAATTCATTGCAATTGGCCTGGACAACTCAAGACGAGCGCTGCACCGCCGAAGCTCAAAGGTAAGACCAATGGTAACCTCGTCAAACAGGAGAAAGTCGAAAGGCGCAAGCAGTCCGGAGAGAGACACTTTGAAGGGAAACAATAGCATCACTGAGTGCTCAAAGCGTCGATGTTCAGGCTGAGATCGATGCTAGGGATCAGGCCGAGGTTTATACTTCGTTTGAGAGATACTTCGGGGATCTGTTTTACGCGGTCTGGGAAGACCATCGGTTAATCGCACGCCTGTGGTAGGTTCGTGTATGTTTGTGCTTGCGACCTTGACCTCAGTCTTGATCTCGACAAGGCTGATGAAACCCAAATGGAATGACAAGGGGATATGATCCATTCTAGATTCAGCTGCTTAGTCAAGGGGATATGCGCATTTTGGATCCCGAAAGCCGTCATGAGATGTTCGATCAGATCCGGATCCCTGCTGCCGGCAACATTACAGGTCAGCGATCGACTGGTAGCGCGTATATACTGCTTCTACGAGATATTGTCGTTAAAGGCGATAAATCATGGGTTGGGTTGCAAATGCATTTTGGGTGAACAAGTCTGAGTGGTTCGCATAGGGTGTACAACATCACTAGAGTATGGGCATACAATGGGTGTTTAGCCGCGGTACGGCGCGGAGTCGACCCTGGCCGTCAGCAACAAATCTTTTAGCTTCAGGTCATGCATTTGGACAGGCATAACCTGGTAGATGGCGTAAATCAATCGTTTAACGTCATCGGAGTGAATCTCGAATTCAGTCTCTCCCACGGCTCTCCAAACGTGGACTGTGACCTGGTCGAGCACGGCGTCTGCTGGATTATCATAGCCCTCTTCCACAGCGTTGTTGTAGTCCTCTACCGTTGCGTCTCGGCAGATATCTACGATACGTGCGTGTAGATCGAGTAGGATCTTTTTGCGTGCGTTCAAAATCCGCCTTCGATGCTCTCCGCTGCATTGTCGCCTGATTACCCCAAGCACTTCTGCCTGCTCGCCCAAGGACAGATGGGAGACGGTCTCGATTGCACTTTCCAAGTCGCCTCTCGCAGGATCAGGGAACCGGACTTCCAGCAATGGCCGTCCCTCCAGATCTTCCTCAGTGAAATTCGTCGGATCCTGATGGACGGTCAACGTCAGTCCAGAGAAGGTAGGGTGGAGGGATCCCGGTGGGAAGATGCTCTGCGATAGAGGTGGAGCACCAGTCGAGCTTTCGATAGTAGGAGGGGGTCCGATAGTACTAGTGTCCGGAGGTTCGATCAGAGGCATGGCGACGGCTAGTATCTAGTGAATTCGAGCTTTTCTCATCTATGCTGTAGGTCAGCCTCCTGTCTCCTCCTCTAATTTATACATGTATCTCCTGCAGCCGACGAGAGCGTCACGACATCAATATCGCATGACTCAGGAGGCCTTATGAAAGGAAGTCAAGCTCCTATTCTCCTCGCTCTTCCTCTTGTAGAGCATTCGAGGTTCAATCGAAGCGATATGGCGCAACTTTTTGAGCTGGCCTCACGATCGACCGGTCTTCTGGCGGAGTCGCCCCTTGTCAGCATTCGATGCCTTAATATCGACGCTCTGTTTAGCGATTCGTTGATTCGTTGATACACAAAGAGTTCGAACTCCTTTTGCTTTCCGAGTCATTGAGAAATGATACCATTTTGATACGAGACTGCGATACGTGTCGCACGCCAGGAGCAGCACAGATACATCAAGGTAGTTTGGTAAGGCGAGGAGATCAATTGGATGTGTAATTCCTTCCCTGGCAAACAGATGCGGCTACCGCGTCTTCCCACGACTTGACAGCTCCATTCCATTCCCGGACGCTCAAATCCTTCTCTGGCCGTCTGCCCGGGGGACCGAGCCTTTTTCGATTGATCGGCGAGCTCTTGCCGAGTCTCCTTGAGCGTGACGTCTGTCCAGCCGTCCACCCGTCCCCGGCGATCACTACATCGATTTGATCGTTTGACCAGACTCCGAGTTCTCTCATTGCTTAGACGAGGCGGACTTTGCAGCCGTTGACGATGCGAAGCCTTGCCGGGGGATGTGTGTCTGGCTCGAAATGAACGCTTCCTCGACCGAGCTTTTCCGAGCGAAGAAGATCCCGTCCCCGACACATAGACAGGACCAGTTCTGCCTGAGGTCTGTTGACGTGTACGCTTGCGCTTGCGGCCAGACCTCGCCGCCGACCCGTTCGCTGGGTGTGTGCAGTACAATTATCGCGATCGGCGCCAACTTCTGTATGTTGTTATGACCAAAGTTGTCGTCCTTATCAGCCAAGTGCGAGCTCCAATGGGTCGCGAATTCAGGTGGAGTAGATAGAAGTCGTCTTCGGGATGATGCCTTCATACGTGGGGGCGGGATCACCTTGCCTGGACGACGGGGACTGTAAGAACGAAACGGACGTGACATGTGAATACGAGATCTCGAACTACAGGTCCACGGATGGGTCATTTACTACTGTCGTAAGAATAACGAGATGGATGTCGACAAGAGACACTTCGAGAAAGGGAGGTGGGAGGATCAACGTGATAAAACAAACAGGATGATGCCTGTATTCTGGTCCCGATGGGATAACGTAATCGTCCAAAATCAGGGGAGAAGCGGGGAGTTCGGCTGGGTGGGTGGAACGATGATCGGCGACGACGAATTCGGGGGTCCGCGCAGCTGAGTATCGGGGGGATGCTAGGTCAGGTCAGGTCTGGTTTGGGTTGTAGTCGAGGAGTTTACGGAGTGTAGTGCGAGATGCAAGCTGATATCCTTCAATCTAATAGCTGATAGGTCGCTTTTGGCATTCTATCGTGACATGTGGTGTGTGCGTGTACACCAAGGGTGCGGAGGTTGTAATCTAAAATGACGACCACATCCCACACTCCCCCCTTTTCGGTTGCTTTTCCCCTGCTTAGGCTGCCCTCGCGCGGCTCCCAGCTTCCATTCCTGAGGACTGCGGACCACCCCATCCTCTCTCTCTCTGGGATTTTCAGTCCTCTCTTTGCATACACACACACAGTCTCTCTGATCTCTGATTAGCCAAGACAACACTTCATGTCACAACACCTCCCTGGCCGTGTGTAGGTAGTCCCGTATCGTCGACGAGGGGGAAGTCATCTCAATTTCAATCCGAAAGCAAAGCCCGGAACCTGAACTGCGCTGCGTCCAAAGGGGATCGACCTCGCGCGGGAGAGTCAGTCACAAACACAAACTGGGACCCAATCATCGCCATATCGACCACCATCACACCGTCCTTGGTCGACGACACTCTTGATACCTCTTTCTCCTCTAATACTCTATAACACACCATATCGATACCTGCTTCATACATAATACACACCCTCACAACACCCTCCCTCCACCTTCCCATCCCTGGATCGACCTACCCTCCAAGATGCCAGTGACGACCGTCTTCGAGATCGGTCCTGGCAAATTCACCATCGTCCTCTACCCTTCCCCCTCCCTCTCTTCCGGTTCCAGCAGCACGGCTACCCCCAAACCTTCTTTGACGACTTATGGGACGACGAGGACGGCGACGAGGAGTATCGACAAGAACGTCCATCAGGTGTCGACGTCCATCCCGGAATCGGATTATTATGGGTATAATTACACTTCCACCGTCGATTACCTCACTACCGATTCTAATGGGGTGACGTTTACCGCTACGTCCACGACGACCGGGTATAGCCCTTATCCCACTTCCACCGGAGGGAATGGGTACAATTCTTCCGGACTTATCGGGGCTACGACGATCCTCTCTGGAGTGACCTACACGCTGGGGATGGAACCGTATACGTGGACGTCGAATGGAGGGGTTTATACGAGTGAGAGGGTCATGAGGGTTCCTGTACAGACGGGGAGCGAGAGGGAGATTACGGAGAAGAACAAGAGGTGGGTTTCTCTCGAGAGATCGATATGCGGGAGACCAGGATACCGGGATGGCTTATACTCCGAACTTTCAACTCTTCTTCTTTTCCTTCCAAATTCTTTGCTCACAACTTCATCAACATCCACAACGATGGATGCCAATCACGCCAACCGCAACGTAATTTCCACACCCTCACACAGCATCCTCACCCCGATCATAACCGCCGTAGTCCTAACGATCGTCCTCGGTTTCCTCGCCTCCTTAGGGGGATGCTGGTTCTACCGTCGAAGACGTCGACGCCTCCGAGCCTCGGCCGACGGGAATGTACCGGGGACGCCGACCAGGGAAAAGGGTCTCCAAGGCAACAATAGGAATAGGAGCAGGAGCAATGCGGAGAGGGAAAGGGGGAGGTTGAGTAGGTTGAACGTCGATATGGCTCAGGTTGGGCTGGGATCGGGGACGTTGGGGAGCGGGAGGGGGTTGTTGTCCGCCTCGACCACAACTGCGCCGGGTGTCTCGGCGGGAACGACCTCGACAACGGCGCTCAACAGCACGCCCAGTCCGAGCCTGGGGAACGGTTCTGGTTCTGCTACGAATTTTACCCGAAGACTGAGCGTGGACGAAGAGGATGAGCCGAGGATAGAGACCATGTCGATCGAGGAGGGGACCGTCACCCCGTTCACATTGCCTGCCATGATGGCCAATGCCGCCCTCGCCACCGGCACTCACCCGGAAACGACCCGGAACCGGACGCACAGTTTCTCTACGCTCTCGACGGACGACGACGCTTTCGCCGTGGACGGTGACTCCATCGCGAGGACGTTGACGGGGAGCAGCCTGGGGTCTTCGAACGGACCGCCGGCTTACGAGGAGATCGAGGGCGGGACGTACGAGAGGGCCATGTTGAGCGGGATGGACCCGAACTTTAGGTCGAGGTTGTCTCCTTCGCTCTCGAGGGGATCTGGATCGGCCTTGGCTTACCTCGAGCCTGCCTTTGGAACCGGCTCAAACTCTTCCGGCGGGCGTTCGACGTTGGTGCCTAGGGATCCGTTTGCCGATCCTCAACTACTCCGCCGCCCGACGCTTCATCATCAGTCTTCACAGTCCAGCTTGGCGGAATCAACCCTCTCTTCGACTCCTTCCAGTATGCTTCACCCGCCTGCCTCGGAAGGAGGGCAATCTGAACGTTCGAACCCTCAGACAGAGGCTTCTTTCCAGCGGGGCGATGATCGGACTCTACACATCGGCGACGAGTGGGCCAGGATCGCCGCTAGGGCCAATAACCAGGGCTTACCTGGTCTGACCGTTCGGAACGGGACCGGATCGTTCCAAGGGTGGTCGGATAGCGAGGTCGAGGATTCGGATGACGAGGGGACGATCATGGCGGGTTCGGACCGGGTGTTAGGGGACGACGAGAGTTGGGTGAACGGGAGCGAGTTTGGGAGGAGGACTCGGCAGAGGGAACGAGATGGACAGGCTGGTCGGGCGACGAACCGGGAGGAAGATGATGACGATGACGTCTTTGGGGACGCGCATCGGGCTCAGTAACCAGGAAAAACAGGAGCGTCTTTTCTGATAATTTCTTCTCTTATATTTAGGGTTGTGTAAGCGACTTGGCTCTGGTAGATTATACGGTAATTTGTAACTCCCAGGAGGAGGATTTTGGTTGTAACCCAGATTGTATCGATAGAGAAATGCTTGAGATCTCCCCTCGTGAGTGACTCCGGATTGCGCCGAAGAAGGTGGAGGTATCACCGAGCGAACGAACGACTTTGCCCTTTGTAGAGAACATCTCATCGCAGACCATGAACATTTGATGTCATGATATCCTTGACAATCGGTACAACCTTGCCAGTTCACAGTGCGCTGAACCATGTCTAATGTCATCGCCATCGATGCGCTGTTCTTGGCGCTATTTGACGATCACAAGGGACAGTCCTTGATCTGGAAACGGTCTCGAGATGGTGAGCACTTTCGCAGCCGAATTGCAGTTCTAATTTCGTTTGTTAACTGGAAACATCCTGTTCTTCTCCACAGGCGTGGACAGTCTAGATGGAATCGAGTTTCAAGCTCTTCCGTCTGGCTTGCACTCGGTCGAGACCGATACGTTCTACTTTGATCATGCCTCCACGAGCTCTCCAGGACGAGCGGGCCGGTTGGGGATAACCGTGTTTCACAACAAGGAGCTCGATGAGGATGAGATCAAGGTGGCGGGGAGCTCGACAGGAGGAAGAGGGAGGTTGATGCTAAGTCTGGGAATCTTGATGGGTAAGCCTTCAGGTTTGTCGTCTTCCTCGTTCTGTCTCTAAGCTCACGCTGCGCATATGCATTCAACACTTCTTGGTTGTAGGGACGAGTAGCACGACCGGCTTCCCCGAGTTCCCACCGCTCACTGGACTCCAAGATCTAGTCGCCCGTATATCCAACGAATGGGACTATTCCCTAACAGGATCTCAGGGGGAAATTACTCGCCAGGCATGGCTGGACGACCTGCTCGACCCTTTCTGGACTCAACATCGGACGTCATCAACAACGTCCGCGCCTACGTCGATAGGGTCGGGTTCGAACAAGTTTGCACTGCAAGATCTGAAAAACGGGTCCAAGGCCCTCTCAGTACGTATCTTTTTTCTTTGGAAGCGTCGACGCTTCACATTCCACTGCGCTAAATATGCGATATCGATATACAGACGGACCATCCTATACACTACTTTGATCATCTTTGGAGGTACTTTGATATCAACGCATGTACGCTCTGGAAATACGCAATGACGGACCGCAGGATCGTAAGTCCGCGCCCCAGCCCTGCCCATTCTGGTTTCAATCCGATTGTTCTCAAGGCTGACCTCTCTGATGACGCTGCAGCTGTTCTTCTCGCACACCCCGCTGGAACCCGCTTGTAAAGCCGCCTGGTGTACCTGGTTACTCGGCCAGACTCGAACAGAGTCGGAAGACGACCCGTCTGTGTTCTTAGGGTCGATAGGGTTGATGGATATGGCGAAAGTGCAGAACGTCAAGGGGAGATGGGTGGCTTGTGAGTAGCTGTCGGACCGAGAGACCGAGCTGGTCACAGTGATACCACTTGCTGACCCAAAACCTGCTCGTGCTCTGGATCGCAGGCACCTCGGACGCCATCTTCAAAGATCGACCGCAGATGTGGGACTTGCTAGTAGATCTAGGTTCCAACCCCTTGCCCGCCATTTCCGATGATGCGCACGACAACTTCTTATCTATATCTACATCTACGTTGGCCGGAGGATCAACGACCATGCGCGCTCGTTTCATCCCTGAAGCTGAATCTAGCACCATACAACTGCCCTCCAGCTCGAAACCGACCATCTACACCAAATCGATCTCGCATACATTTTCGGACAAGGCTCTCTGGAAAGACGTCCAAAGCGTCATTGCGAAAGAAGACGTCGAGCGGGAGACATCAGTTACGAGCTCTACAGGAGTCTGGGGGTATGCCTATGGGGCTTATGCGACGTTGTGCGAGGTCTGTTGGGGGTTTTGCGCGATGGCTGTCGGGAAGGGTGTACGGGGGGATCACGATCATTCGAGTGGGACTGGGTATATACGTCTACCCCAGGACGGCCAGGAGGGGCTGGCGAGCTTGGACAGCGACGGGGAAGAGGACGATCAAGATGCCGCCGACGATATACCACCGGAGTATACGGGACAGGGTATACGACGGACCATTGCCGCCCTGGACGTCTTCCGGAGACGGGCGACACGACTCGCCAGCAAAATCGAAAAGGTCGGCTACAAACGAGCGTTGTCCAAGGAAGACATGGCCGCCTTGGGGTTGAGTGCATGGAGTTGGGTGGACGTCGACTTTGTCCGAGCGATGTATGCCGGGGCCAAGCGCGATCGCGGAGATCTTAACCAGGACGAGCCGGTTGTACCGGCGATACAGGTCGAGAACGGGTGGTTCCGATGGGTGTCGAGCATTGTCGGAGCATGATGTATGCTGCGAGAGGTATGGGTGCAACTACTGTATACAACCAAGAATCATGACATTATACCCAAATATGAACCGCGATCAACCGAGTCTGGAAAGGAGTTCTTGATCTTATCAGCTCGTTGCGCTGACACGTGATGAGCAGACACTCGACTCACCTATTCATCTGTCTCTTGGCACGGCCCAGCTTGCCACCGGTCTTGTCGACCTGAGCGCTCAAATCGTCCAACATGTCGTTCTGCTCGCCAATCTCCTTGCCGATATCCTGGCCGAGCCTCAGCTGTCGCTGCAAGACTGAAGACAGTTGCTCGAGCTGAGAGTCCTGGCTGTCCATCTGATGCTGCTGGAGCTGCACCAGACCTTGATCGTCCAACGGCCGGGTCTCTGCTGTCTCCTGAGGTGCTTGATGAGCGACAGCACCGAATACTCGACCTGCTGGCCGAGATGCTGCCCCGCCCAACAAGGCCTTTCGATCGTTCTCATTCACAGGCGTTCCAGATCGGCCCATACTGGTACTAGCAGACTGGTTTGATGCCACCCGGACGCCCGCTTCAGCCATCTTGTCCACGTTCCCGACCTCGTCCTTGAGGCTGATGATCATTCCCTCTCGCCGGGAACGCTCCCCTTGACCGAGCCCCTCGACAGCTTCCAGGCCCTTGTCGAGCGACTCCATCCTGACCTTGAGTTCTTTCAGACTGCGCTTTGCCTCGATATTGGCAGACCTGGAGGCCCCTGCATCTCCCATTCCAGCCAACGCGTCCCGCTTCAAAAGGCTCGCTCGGACGGTCCGTAACGATTGTTGTAGCGCGTTGTGCTCCGTCATCCAGCTGGACGAGGTGAACTGAACCTGCCCACCCTGAGGTTGTGATGAGGGTATATACCGAGCCAGCTTATCCGCCGTCGAGTCGTTTGTTCGCGAGCTGGCCCCGGGGAGATTGGCCGGGACGGCGAGGAAATCGAGAAAGCCAAAGGCCAATCTCCATCGAGGGTCTTTACAAGCCAAGATCTTTTGAAGGTATTCCTGCAACCCTGTCCGACGTTCCGAGATAAGCTGCGAGAATACGGAGGCAGAGGAGTTGAGCACGGCTGGACAACAAGATACGTCAGCTAACAACTCACCCTGGCGTCATCAATACTTCTGGTCCAGCGGAACGAGTGCTTCGGCGGAAGCGGTGCCGGGGGTTCCTTGCCCGTTGACGACTTCAGCTCGGCATGCAAGGCACAGAAATCGTTGTATCTCCTCTGGACGGTCCATGATCGGGTGGCAGTCGAGACTGTATATGGAAGATATCAATGAGCGGCTGGCATCAAGGTAAGATCAGGAGGTCGTCCAATACGAACCCTTGACATTGTACGTCACAAACGGTTTTGCCTCGTCCTTCTTGACCTCGTGAGACACGATCGCTACATTCTGAATCTCGCTCATACTGAGCGGGCTAGTACGATGGCAAGGGTGGTTGACTTGCAGTATTGCAAGATGTTCAGAGGATACAATCATATGATCGATATGATGAACCAAAGCTGTGATGCCACTTTCAGCTCAACGGTCCCGGCGTCGCGCGATGACGGTCAAGTCCGCCAGTACCTTGCAGCGGATGAAGGCAAGAGGACCCGGTCAACTTCGATGGAACGAAAATGATCGTATACGATGCGACAGGGGGTATATGTGGTAGGTACAACTATTGTCTGTGCTCTACAATTGTTGATTTGATGCCTGTCCCTGATGTGTGATGATGCGCGATGTCTGTTTGTAATCTGAGGACCTGTGTAGTCTATGCATTTGTGCCTCTTCCTCAACGCGCTTAGCACGTTGTGTACATATTATGCTGGATCCTGTTTCGTCTTAGTGGTCGACGAATGCGTGTCTTGTTGCTGTTCGGATGCCTTCTCCTTATTGAGTTCCTCGTCCGGGCCGAGGATGACTTCTTCCCACTTCGCCAACATCGTCTCGAGAGCCGTCTTGCTGCAGGGTTTGTTCAGATAATCATCCATCCCAGCCTGCGATTTGAGTTCTCCGTCAGGCCCATGATATCGCTGCCACTACCACACTCGACAGGACTCACCTCTTTGGCTACCGCAATCTGTTCCGACCGTACATTCCCAGATAAGGCGATGATAGGTACCCGGTGCAGCCATTCTTTCCGCTTCCGTCTTTGCCCCGGCCCGACTTGCAACTCCTGTTCGTCCGTAGTCTTCGTTTCTGCAGCCTCGAGTTCCTTCTCGTGCTCCCTGATCAGCTTGGTAGCCTGCCGCCCGTCCAACAGTGGCATCTCTTGGTCCATGATGATGATGTCGATCTCGTGAGAATGCTCCTTGTAGTAATCGACAGCTTGCTGCCCGTCGTTAACGAGCGTCAGATGGTCGCACTTTTGGAGGTATTTCGCCAAGATCTGCCGGTTCAAAGCGTTATCTTCGGCGGCAAGGATATGGGTGAACCTGCGCCGAGCGGGTTTGACACCGCGTTTCCTGTTCTGCGTTACGGTACCAGCGCCGTCAATGGTCGGGGTGGCAGGTCTCGAATTCTTGTTACGGAACTCTTCCAGCTCGACCTTTGACAGCTTGCCAAACTTGGCGGTGAACATGAATTGTGATCCTTGCCCCTTTTCGCTCTGAACGTTCAGCTCTCCTTCCATCAGCTTGAGCAGCTCTTTGCTGATGGATAGTCCCAGGCCAGAGCCGCCATACACCTCGGACACGCGTTGGTTCGCTTGACTGTCAGGCGCAAATGATATGCATGAGCCCAAGCGACTGGGGGCTTCCTCGATCGATTCTGACTCACGCGAACCGCTGAAACAGCCTGCCAACCTCTACCGGCGTCATCCCAACCCCCTCATCCTGAATAGAGCCTTCCATCCTATATTTGTCCGTGTGATCATGTTGCTGCAATTTCATCTTGGCGGTCACTGTGCCTCCAGCGTGCGAGAACTTGACGCCGTTTCCGATGAGATTCAAGAAGACTTGCCGCACCGGCGTCGCTGTTGTGTCCCATTAGGCAAGTTGAGCGTGATGGTCATCGACTCCTCAAGCCGCATCATACTTACGATCACCCTTGACGATCATCGCCTTTGTCTCCTCGTCCGCTACAAGCTCGATCTTGACGTTTCGTCCTTCTGCCTGCGCCCGGGACATCTTGACGGCTTGCATTGCGATTTCATATGGCGAGAAGGGTTCCTTGCACAATTTCAGCGCACCCATTTCCAAGCGAGACAAGTCCTGTAGACGCATTGAGTTTGAGCTTTTCATCTGCGGAGATCGATCGAAGCAAGCACAACAAGCTCACCAGTACACTGTTCAGAATCATTCCCTGATGCGCAGCACATTCGTCGATCGCTTGCAGGTATCCTCGCATCGAAGCGAACAATGACTTGGATCCCTCTTTAACTGAAGGCTTCGATGAATCCCCGTTCGATGCCGATGCTCCATTCTCCTCTTGCTGGATGAACGGTTTAAGTACGTCCTCGAGCTGTTGTATCGACTCCAGAAGAAAGTCTGATTCGACAATAGATCGGGGTGATCAGTTATCTGCTTGTGACGGCGAAACCAAAGATCGATGACCCACTCTTGTTGGCTGCGATCCCATGCAGTGGATTCCGCACCTCGTGACACAGAAAGTCCGTAAAGACGGCCATGTTTTGTCTCAAGAATTCTTCCTGCTTGATCTTGGCCGACTTTTGTTCGTTCTGCCGCAGGGCCTTCATCCTATCCTCCTCCAATCGCACCTCTTCCGAGACGTCCCGGAATTCCTGTTGAAGCGCATCCTCGTCAGATCAGTCCGAAAGACGAGCCTGATTCGTGTACACTCACAATGACGGCACCATGCTGGTATCCACCGTGTAGTGGTGCAACGGAATAGACTACCGGGAAGAACCTTCCATCCCGATCGACAAACACCTCCGGGGCGTTGGTAAGCTTTGTGTTTTCCACCTGGGCCAGATATCTGCAACGCAACCTCAAATGCATCAGTTGCCTGCTTCAAGGCGGACGCGCTCGAACTTCGGTAGGACTCACATAGGACATTGCGAGATCGGATACGCCGACCCGTCAGGCCGTAACGAATGTACCGCCTCGTGGAAGGTCACTATATCATCAATCCATCCATCCAAGGGTAAACGCAACGAATATCTTGAATCAGCTTCTTTCGTTCCGCGTCTTAGTCAACTAACGCTTAGACCGGGAGCGCACCTTTTGAAATCTCTTCGTACTTGAAACCCGTCAACCGTTCCGCTGCGGCATTCATAAAAGTCACTGCGATCGATTCCTCCGTCAGCTCCCACGTCAGCTCCTGATATCCCTCGCACATGCTCACCGTATCCCGAACTGTTCATCATAAAGATCGCGCTGTACATGTTCCCGCAGACGATCTGGAAATCGTTCTCGTTGCCGATCGACTTCAATCTCGACCTCTCGTCCAGCCTCATATTATGATCGTACCTAGTCGTCGAGCCCGGAACATCATTAGCTCGACGTCGCAGCCACCCTGACCAGGCCATCATTACGACCTAGGATGAAGATCGACTCACATATAGCTCTCCGCATATGTCGGATACCCTTCTTCATCCCTGACGGTATTCATCCTATCCCCGATCGTGACCCACCCGCCATCCTTCTTCTTGAACCGATAAACCCCGTTCCACAACCTCGATTCCGCCGCGCCCCTATTCTCGTGTGGCGCACAGTACTCGCCGATCTCTTTTTGCAACCGGGGAAGATCGTCAGGGTGGATATGGGCGGACCACCATTCCAGAGTAGGTTCGATTTCTGCGGGAGAGTATCCGAGGAGGTCTTGGATCGGACCCCAGAGGATACGGCAGTGGGAGACGATCCAGTTGACGATCTCTTCCGGGGTAGCGGCGGGAAGGTCTGGGTCGGGTGGCGGTGCTGATGTGGCTAGACCTGACCCCGAGCCTGGATTTGAGCCTGACCCTGAACTCGAAGAGAACCCTGAACCCGTTCCCGACCCCTCGCCGTTCGCCGACCCTGCATCCGCCCGCCCCTTCCTAGCAAAAGGATGTCTAGGGAAATGCACCTCCCGTCTGATCTCGTTGAATGTCGGTCTAGCCCAGACTTTGGAAATCTGAGAACCATGCCCCGAAGGTGCCGCCGGTTCGCTATTCGTCTTCGACTTCAAATTCGAATCCATAGTCATTTGAGATTTTCCATGAGTGTCGCTTGCCAACGACGACCCCGAAGGCAAGGAAGAGGACGAAGGGGAGGAAGGTGAAGAGGAGTAAGGAGCGATGGACTCGGTCGTCTGTAGACAAGGCCTCGAAGGGGGTGCGACGTGTTGTTTATCAAGCGGCCCGCTCGAATGTAGTCCTCCTGAACCTGCACACATGGCCGAACAATCGAGTGCTGACTAATCGATAGTGCTGGATGCTTTATGTTGGATCTTCAGAGCGAGCCTGCGACCTGGCTTCTTCTCCCGATGAAGTGTCTTTGATATGAGTCAGGTCGGTGTACCGCAAGCTTGATTAAGAAGCCCGGGACGTCTCTCCAATTGAGGAAAGGTAGGAGTAGTCGGGAGACTGTGAGGCGGTGATAGCGGGTGCGAGTCGAGTGGCAAGCCAAGCCAAGCAGGTTACACCGCCGGACCACCTAGACCTGGATCCAGATCGATCGAGCCGCCCGGGATGAGGTGAAGTGTCCGTAGTCGAGATGAGGCAAGACAAGAAGGTGCGGTCCGAGCTGGATTATCTCGAAGGTGTTGTTGTGTATCTACCCCCGTTTGTTCAATCTTGCTGGTTGCGAGCTAGTAAGCTAGTAATCGGTATTGCTCCAATGTGGCGATTATGATCCGTCCGAGTTCGAGAGTGGCAGAGTAGACAATTATGAAGAGAGCAACAAAACAGCACCTCTGGTCCAGTCGAGTTGGATTGATTATCGTTGTCAAAAGGTCGAGGTGGGAAGGTTGTTCGTCCAAAAGTTTCCTTCCGGGTCGGCGAGTTTGGGTTGGGAACCGCGAACACGAGCCACGAGGCGAAGGTTGGTGATGATGATGATCGGATGATGATGCACCACGCTACCGCTCCGTGCTGGCTCCTTTGACCGAGGTGTACAATACGATTTACAGTGCAGCACAGATTGCAAGGAGGAAGATCCCCTAGGCGATTAGCAATTAAGGCCGTGTACAGTCACAATTTGGCCCGCAAGTGCCAATACGAGAGCGTGGATCTAGAGCGCCGACAACTCGGAGAAATCACAACCTGATCGAGCTAGCGAATGGATATTACAACGTGCGGCGTGCTATACGACGTCGCCTGTCGGGACAAGAAACCACGTTGATCCCGGATTGCTATCAGCTAGCATGGCTACATGGCTGTATCAACTGCTTGCTACTTGCTATTCGCTGGCTGGCGTTGGCACTAATCGTCGGTTGCTTCGCTTGATGAAGTACAGTACGTACAGTACAGGTTTGAAAACGTACGTATGCCCTAGCCTTCCTATCATATTTTGCATCCGGACACTGGACAGTCGATCTCGATCGCAGAGGGGAGAAGGCGGCGGCGGCGAACACGCGATAAAAAGCCACTTCGAACTACCGAACTTCCGTACTCGTCACGCAGGGGAGGCTGATGAGCAGGCGGGGGAAACGGGACGGAGACTAAAAATACACTAGAAGACCTCGAAAAAGATCCGATGAACGCGTCATGGAACATGGATCACAACCCATCCTACGTCGATCAATCTCGAGAGTCCGACCTTCGCGGGTCGCGGAGTGATCGGAGTGATCGACCCGAGACCTGAGGGCGGCCCGTTTCACATCGCGTCTCGCGTCTTGAGTATCTTGAAATCGCTGGAAAGATGTCGCGCGCTGCTGCTCTCAGAGAGATCGGCGTACTGGGGCGGGGGATCAAAGCCGGACCCATTGTTGGTCTCGCTTTGTCTTGGATGTCCTTGGGCAAGCGTGGAGTCACAGCTTCGATTTTGACATCAGTAAATATGACTGGCATGGCTTCATATTATTGATGAAATAAGTGATTGTTCGGTTGGAGAAGGTTTGTAGCTTTCTCATTCCCTCTCGATGAGCTCTCGGGCTGTACTCTGTCCAGATTCACAGCTCGACAACGACAAACAATCACGACGTACAACCTTGTCCCTATCGGATGATCAACCTCTCATCTTCCTCCTCCTTGCCTTTCCCCCTTCATTACGACACCTACATGCTTTCTCCGCCCCTACTCAAGCTCGACCAGCCGATCAGGCCTTGTGGACGATCGTCGGCGAAGCCTGGTTCACGGGCAAGACGAACGTCTCGGCCACGTTGCTGATACAAACAGGAAAACATCCACGACAAGGTCGGCCGGATTTTGTTGTCAGCGTCTCGTTCTCAAGACCTCCTTCCATCGAACGCGATGAAAGGAGAAGACGGAAATTTGACGGAAACGGAGACTCACATGTGGTCCTTCCTACTAGCGGCCCAGACGATGTCCTCGGCCACGTCCTCGGCTGTCAACGGTTGGAACCCTTCGTAGACCTTCTTCGCGGCCTGTTCGTCACCCCTGAACCGGGTGATGGAGAAGGCTAACGATTCGAATCGATATTGCATCAGAGAAGAATCAGTCGTCTTGTGCTTCAAGTTGATAGAGGACAACGAGTTGCCACCGCGCTCAGACTTACAGGTCTCCACCATCCCCGGCTGGATCTCCGTCACCCTAATCGGCGTATCATACAGTTCCTTCATCATGGCCACGGTGAACCCCCTCAGGGCATGCTTGGTAGCGCAGTAGATCGACCCGCCGGAATATCCTTCTCGGCCGGCGATGGAGCCGAGTTGGATGATGTGGCCGGCGTTGTTCTGCTTGAAGTCTGTGGTGTGATGACAAGGTTGGTTGAGGGAAGGGCTTTAGGTTAGCTGGGCCAGGGCGAGAGGTGTGAGAGGTGGGAGGGGTGGGGGGGGGGGGGGGGGGGGGGGGTACTTACGTTTGACGAGCATCTGAGTCTACTTCGGCTCGAACCGAATCGAAGTAAACACAGCAAAACAGACAAAACCCCCAGACCATCTTTAGCGACTGCGCTATCTCAAGCCATCATTCACGAAGATGAGAAAGGTACTGACAAGGTGGATCATCCCGAGGACGTTCGTCTGGAACATGATGTCCATCTCTTGCTCGTTCCTGATTATCGTCCCGCACCGTCCCAGCGACATCATCACAATATCCATCCAGTGCGTGCGGGAAGTGCGGGAGATTAAAGCCAAAGAAGACGATTAAGTGGATCAGCAATCGGGGTACAGTAAGCAATCGAACGGCTCATTTCACACGTCTTCCTCCAGATCAATTTGAGCAAGAAACGCAAGAGGTACAAAAGCGAGAATAGAAGGAGGATGCACTCACACTTCCCCGACCTGGTCACGCCCGTAGACGAGCCCGGCGTTGTTTACGAGGACGTCGATCTTCTTGAAGTCTTGAGGGAGGAGGTCGAAGAGCTCTGTTTTGCGGGTCGCATTTAGAGGTAGGTATGGTAGGTTTTGGTAGAGGTTTGTCGGGAGGGTGGGTAAGAGGTACGTTTGGACGTGGTTTTAAGGAGAAAGGATGTAATCGAGAAGCGAGAAGCGAAGAAAGAGGGAGAATGTTCGCTCGCCCGGATCAGCTTATGCCAACCCCCAAAATATGTTTAGGGGGGAAATGGTGACTCACTATCGACCCCCCTCCTATCCTGCACATCCTGCACCCATTCAAAGACCTTCCCTCCCTGGCCCGTACCTCCTTCCTTGTGAGCTTGTTGAGCGGCCTGACGCACCTCGGAGAGCTTTTCCGGTCGACGGGCGGAGATGATGATGTTGGCGCCGGCTTTGGCGAAGAGGATCGCTGCGGGTTTAAGATCGGTCGTCGTGGTTCAGGTGTTTCAAGTAGTTTCGTGAGCGTAAGCAAGCCGAAGAAGAGGTGTAGAAAGAGATCAGTTATCTTCGTCTGTAATACGCTGGATGATAGGGCCTCTGATTTGCATATCGCCCGAAACCGAACAGCTCACCGGTAGCAGCCCCGATACCGCCCGATGCGCCGGTAATGAGGACGTTCTTGTTGAAGAGACGGTGAGTGGGGAAGATGGCGCTCATGATGTAGGAAGCAGGCGGTATTATGTGACGGTGTGGAAGAGATGAGCAGATAAGTAGATAGTCTTGGGAGAGTTGTGTAAATGTGTTGTCATATCCCATCGCCGGGAGGGATGAGGTGTAACCGGCCGGAGTTGACCGACAAGGTCAAAGGAGAGAACCTCACGCGGAAAGATGTCAGGCTCAGTGTTCAGGATTTAGAAGAGGTCGATCTCGACATTGACAAACAAGGGCAATCTGTCAACGGGATCACCAAACCGACACGTTCAAACCACCCGATTTGCACACTGAAACACAGTCCGAATCAACTCTTAACACCATGGCGAAAAAGACCTCGAAAGCCGGTCCTTCCGCCGCCTCCGCCCCGCCGAAAGCCTCCAACAATAACGATTTCGACATTGACGACATCTTCTCTGGCAAACCCCTCAAAACGAAACCCGCTCCTGTCGCTTCGTCCTCCTCGTCGAAAACAAAGGCAGTTGATACTTCAAGCACAAATAAAGCCAAGAAGGATAAAAAGAAGAAGAAGAAGGCGGTCGGAGATGGGAAAGAGGAGGTCCAAGCTGGAGCTGTGAACGGGGTGAAGGGTAAACGGAAAGCGGAGAGCGATGGCATCGTTGACTCGGCAACCCAATCGAAGAAGACCAAGACCACAAGCGAAACCAAACCTTCCAAACCCTCCAAATCTATTCCGAAGAAGCTCAGTAACGACGACGATGAAGATGACGAGGAGGATCTGAACGAAGATTACACCGACGAGGACGATGATGACGACGAGGATGACGAACCCTCGACCCCAAAAGTAGTTGAAGTCCTAGACCCGAGCGCCGTCTCCCGATCAAAGGTCAAACAAGCCCTCCAACCACCTCCGTCTAGATCTAAATTGAAGGGAGGTCGACGGGAGGTCGATGTGGAGGAAGAGATGTTTAGGGATAGTCGGGGTGATGGACCGAGTACGTCTCTTACAGCCCCCTCTTCCACGATATGACTTCTTCGAGAGATCATGAGGGTCTTGAGAGTCGCTGACCATGAAGTATGATATACGATCACTACGCAATTTTGTTGACTCACAGGACGACAGACGGAAGAAGGGTTCATGATCTTCAAAGAGGCCGAACTGGATATCGACCCCGAAGCCGGAGGTGCGTCCAGCCATCTTATTATTCGCTTTTTATCTGGAGGTGGAGGATGCTGTTCACCATCGAGAATACAAGTGACTGAGCTTGAACAATTCCTTGATGGTCTGGGATGTTAGGTACCGAGCTCTGTCCGTTCGATTGCGAGTGTTGTGAGTTCCAGCGGTATTTCCTATCGTGTCACCTTGCAAAATATCATATTGAGGGAACTGGACTGATTTGGGCGCACGAATACCCCTGCGCTGTTTGCAAATCGGGGATCATAGGTTTTTAGGTGATATTGCTGTCCGCACGTCTACAACGAATGTTATTGGATTTAATCTCTATGGAACACCTTTTCTTTCAACGGTGATTTTCGAGAGCCATGTCAGAGAGAAGGCACTGAGGGCGTTGGATAATCAACTAAGCCCTCAGCATGACGTGTGAGAAAGTTGATCGCCAAGATGGATGTTAAGCGTGACGTACCGAATCGCAACAGGGGGTCCGATGGCGGCGTTGTTGTTCTTGTTGTTGCTGCTGCTGTCACTGTTGTGATGGCGATATGAGCATGACGTGACAGGTAAATTGAGCGAACGAGCGAATGGGGCCGATGCGCAACTTACCTGATCGGAACAATGATTGCAGAGGCAGCGGCGGCATCGGTCATGACGGGCTTGACATCTTCTGAGCCAAGAGCACCAAACTGGGGGAGAAGCGAGCCAAGGGGTGCGGGTGGCGCGGGTGGGGGTGCAGGTGTTTCCTCAACATAAACCGACCCAACATAATGGGGATGCCCCCCCCCCACATAAAGCAGATGCGCTATCTCGAACATAATAATGATGGGAAACCCGAGCGAGTCATGATTCCGGTCGTTCACTTGTGGGTTGGCAGATTGAAGGAGAGGCAGGGATAGCCGACAACTGTTCGAGATTTGGCTAAAGGCCGATCGGTTGTAATTCGGTTTGGATAGACAGAGATGATCCGTCCGGCCTTCTATTATTCGATTGCAATACCTCTATCGATCTCGTATCAGCTCCTGCTGACCAAGTGTTCCTTGCGCTTACCTCATGCGAGTCAGGCTACGTCGCTTCGCCTTGCACGATCGTCGAGAAAGAGATGAACAAAGGAAGTCATCCGGATCTGAAACGATCGTGCGCGTTTCACCTCGGACCCACCGAAACGCGGGTCCGGACGATGGTAGTCGGGCACAGCCGTCGTACTCCAGTGCGTACAAACGCTCGACTTGCCAGACTTGAGCATGTTACCGTTGATCGACTTCAAGACGGAGAATAACTCCATAATCTCGATCATCCCACTCCGTACCACTTAACTCCCATTCGCCTTGTCAGCGATATCCCACTCCGAACCCCATCGAGTCCAGCCGACACATTGAAACCCCACTCCCTTCCTACCCAATAACCCTCTTCCGTATATCCATCAAGCGACGCAAATCAACATAAGAAGAGCCAACCGGGAGTATCGGATCCGTAGTATATCATGTCGCTACAAGGTAAGACTGCACTCCCCAGAGTTCCTGTCTGAAACTATCAACACTGATACTCCTCTCCCCCGCCTCCCTTTTCTTCCATGCCAACCCTGGTCCCTGTCCTGACCTGCTGACGGTGGCCTCCAGCGTTCTACCTGGCCATGGTCATCTTCGCAACCCTCGGCCCTGTAGCCTGTTGTCTAGCCTCTTATTTCCTTCCTGACGATCATCCGCACCCGTTCCACGAGATCGACGAGAGGGCGATCGAGGAGGGGTTTAGGCGGAAGGAGAAGGCTCGAGGGAGGAAACCTTTGCCCAGGGGTGCGAAGGTGAAATCCGGGTTGTTTATCTCCAAGCCTGAGCGGGTGGTTCACAAGTAGAAGAGGGGGGAGGGGTGGATTGGAAGCCTTCCGCTGTTGTATGTAAGACATCGTCGAGAGACATGTCGGTATCGCTCCACCATATGTCCCTCCGATCGGCCCTTCGTATAGCTGAATCGCCATAGCATCAGATTCGGCGGGTCGATCGTTGTTGTTTCTGAGGGTTGGGGTCGAGGTGAGGCAACTTGTAGAATACGCTGGGAAAGAAGGCGACATCTGGCGACAAGCCTGAACAGATTGAGTTTGGTGTCGGTCCCGCCGAGCTAGACGGCTTGAGCGTTCGTTCGATGTCCTCCCGCCTTCGACTTCGTTCGGCAGAGGAGTCTGACCCTGAAGACTGGTCGTTCCCGCACATTGGCAGACCGTCTTTGTCCACCCTTCTCCCGCCTTGTCCACCTCGTTCATAGCTTCGACCTCGTCTGTTCCGCCCCAATCGCTGCCTGACCACTAACACCCGCATTCCCACTCCCTCCAGCCGACTTGCCCGGTGCGAGCGCAGCGGGGTGCCAATGCTCCTTCATCGTCTGCCACTGATCAATCCAAGCTCGTTCTTTGTCGCACCCTTGACCGGCGAGGGTAACGTGTACCCGGCTCTGGCCAGACGGTGGTAATGAGAAAGAGGAAGGCGGTCGGATCGAGGCAGGGTGGGTCGTAGCTGCGTTGTAAGGGGGTTGGCGAGGGTCGTTGAGCGTCGGTCTACGGTTGTTGCTGAAAGGGGATCCGGTGAACATGATTATGACGATGTTAATGTGGGCAAGAGCGAGATTGAGCGATGAGCAGTCCGGACCTCGAGATAGATAGATTGCGGGTCTATCTTTGTGCTATTGTGCAACGATGTCGATTGCTGATTGTGTAAATGTCGACGAAGTACGACGGGTTGGTGAGTGGCATGAGTTGAATCGGCATACTTATCATCAAGTTTTGGTTTACGAACAATCCGCGAGTAATGGTGTAGTGGCCTATGCGCTACACTCCGAAAGCTACTCTCTTAGGATAACTCGGTTCACAATCTCAGGAATGTGAGTCTGAGGAGGAGGAGGGGAAGGCTCTGAGTTCTTGTACCAACCTTTTTGTGGTCCCGAATGACGTCCATCTTGTACTTTCGAGTCTTCGCTACACGATGGTATGCTTTTTAGATAGATCAGAGCCGACTGAGAGCCAGGAAAGCGTTCGAAAGTAGGTTGTGGATGACGAGGTCGCCAAAATGGTGGGTTCGATTCAGGTCGTCGTCGCGAGATTCGTCATTCTTTCCCGCGTTTCGATCTCGACCTCGAGCAAGCTAATCGCAACTAAACGCTACTACCTACAACTCCTAGTACTCCTACAAACCTCTACGCTTAGCTCTCAGATCTTTGGCATCATCAGTAGTTGCTCGAACACAATCATAGAGGTACAAGGTCTCGAGTCAGCCTATAATGGCCTCCCTGTCTCCCGACCAGAGCGCACTGGAGCGACACGTCCTCTACATCCTCCTCGACTCGAACCTCCCCACCGGAGGATTCGTCGCTTCCTCTGGCCTGGAATCGTACGCCAAACATGGATTCTTCTCCTCGTCCCATCTTGCGTCCTTGTCCGATACGCAAGGCTCAGAAAGAGCAGGGGTCGGGATCCAGGAAGCTGTTGTGGCTTTCGCTCAGAGTTCGGTCATGAACTATGCCAAGAGCACTTTGGCGTTCGTCAAAGACGCTTGGACGATGTTGGACCGGCTTCAGATCGCCGAAGCTGGGGATCTGTCGAAAGAGGCTACCGTGGCAACTCTCAAGAAGCTGGATGACCTTTATGAAGCTATGACGTTGAATCACGTTACCAGGAGATCATCTACGGCTCAGGGGATCGCGCTGTTGACCCTCTTGACGAAAGGGTTCGCACCGCCCAACCTCAACTTTCCCGTACAGTCAACAAGGACAAACGTGATGGAGGCAGGAGGGGAAGAGGACGAGCCGCTCTGGTGGAAGAGTTCGGTGGATACGTTCAAGCGGATGATCCGAAGGGGAGAAGCTCATGGGCATCTGCCCGTCTGTTGGGGTGTCCTTACGCGTGCTATGGGCTTGTCGCTAGGTGAGCTCCTTCTGCCTATCTTCATCCTCTATGAGACCTTGAGCTCAATTATACTCCTCGTTCGGCACATAATAGAACGTTCTCTTCACCTTCACCTCTTCTTACACGTCCGGTCCCTCTTATCATCCGCTGTTCGGCTGAACCTTATCGGACCTTATGCATCAACGCAATTGTTATTGCACTCCTTGCAACCTTGCATCGAAGTTGAAACGCGGCGGAATCTGGACACCAGGAGTGGGATCGAGCTGCCCTTCTCACCGTACCAAGAACAGGCTCGGTCAAACGGGACCGAAAAGGCAGAGGCAGCCAAAACAGACAATTCCCGGCAAAATTCCAGTTCTATACCTCCGACCAATTGGGATTGGGCGGAAGATGTGCAAGAAGGACCGGCGGTAACCTGGCCTTTGGGAGAGTTGTTGATGTGTCGGCATGATATGCAACATACGAGGATCTTCAACTCGTAGCCGAGTGAGCCCAGGTTGTCGAGGTTGGACATGGGGATATGGTGGAGGTGGATGGGGTTGTTCTGGCCATTGAGAAGGGTTAATGGAGGATTGAGCGGTGTTGGACCCTCTGAAGCGGGATTACCCTCCGCTCCGGTTGATGCCGTCGAGCTATGGGTCTGTCTGCTATTACCGACCCGACCGACAGATTTCGGGGCAAAGGTCTGGTGCGAAGGCTACAACACAGAATTGCCAGGTCCTTCACCGGGTCGAAGCGTGGACGGCTCGATCGAAATCCTTAGCGCGACTTTCTTCCGCTGTGGCGACACCCAGCAAACGATCAGCTCCTCGACAAGCTGCTTCGGCGAAGTATAAGGCCTGTCGGATCACTCCCTGCGGCCCAGGCTTCCCCAGGCTTGGCAATTCCACTCTGGGTCATCGGATTATCCCGTTAGGCATCTCTGGCGGCGTCGGGGTACCCTCGTCCATCGTCATCTGATATGGGAACCCTTAAATCGAACGCTTGTCCAACTCGAAGCTCTAGCGGCGGGATTCGGACACGCCTGGCCAAACTACCACGCGTCGACAGCGCATCTCAAGCAAGACCAGCGTGTCTCAGCCGTCATCACCGGGTGCCAGGCATCAATGGCGTATCTCGGATTTCAACGGCGCGTGACGAACGTTGACAGCGCACGCCCTACGTCAACAGCGTATCCCACACCTCGACAGCACCCTGGAAGCCCGCAGCATCTTCCAGACTCGATCGGCCAGATCAAAGATATCGACCATCAGAGTCGGCCACAAGACTAAGCTACGATCAAGCAACAAGTCGGCGAGAGAGACTCGGACAGTGACGATTGTACGCGGACGTTCCGACAGTGTGGAAATCGCTAGGCTTGAGGTCTCGACTGGCGATGAGGTCGCCCCGTTACCTATTTGGAAAACTGGGTGGTCCTTGCCGTTGATAGCTAGAGATGATACGTTGAGACGCTTGACATGGACATGAAAACATATGCATATGTGACACGGGGCGGATTGAACCATGCATACAGAACAACGCATATACTGTCCGTCACCGATGTAGCAAAGCCGATCGACGCGAATCGCGCCATCCGATGTCTCTCTTCTATCACCGTCCCGCATCCAGATTAATAGTTCGTTCCGTATCATTCCGCCCCTCGAATCGTCCAGCCGTACTACTATCTACTCGTCATCTCCAGCATCTTCCACATAAGCCTGTTGCCTCTGACGCATGTTCGCCTGCCCACCCAAATGCATGGCCGAGCCTTCCGAAGTGACCGGTCCGGGTGCGGTAGCTGTCGAGGGAGCGTCGCCGAGTCCCACCACAGGGGCGGGTTGGGATTGGGATTGGGATTGGGATTTCTTGGATTTGGAGGACTTTGAGGAGGAAGATTTCGAAGAAGAGGAAGAGGTGGATTTTTTGGATTTCTTGGGGGTTGGGGTGTCCCATGCCCAAAAGGGGATGAAGGAGTCGACCTATCATTCGGCGAGCCAAAAACAAAATGGAGCAGATACGGTCAATTGGGCGATACGGAAGACAATAGCGCTCCAGGGGGCGACTCACGAATCCGACATCCTCGAACAGGTTGGGGAACCACCAGATCCCACGTTTCATCACCAAGCTCGTCCCCACCCAGATTATCAGCCTGATCACCGCGATCCCCATGAACACCCCGATCAGACCCAGAACCCCTAAACTGAGGTAATAAACCCCCAAGCGTAACGAGGGGGGCCAGAGGGGGAACATTACACCCGCCAGCAAGATGAGGACTAGGAGAGCTGAGCCGAGGTAAGTCGTCAGTGCTGATGGGGTTACGAACCAGGTGTAGTAGGAGGTGGAGGAGAAGGATTGTTGGGGAGAGATTTGGAGGGGGCGAGGTTGGCCGGATGGGAGCGGGGTAGGGGGTTCAGGTCGATCGGTTTGGAGGAAGAAGGCGCTGTAGAGGGGGTGATGAACGGTTTAAAACAAAGTTAGCTTGGTAGGTACGTCGAGATGGATGCGGGGGAGTTTGATGTGATCTGGTGCAATGGGGGGTGTGGTGTACTCACTGAGGTAACAACCTGACCATGAGAGCCGAAGCTTCTTCTTCGTTGGTTACTTTGGGAACTTTTTTCGTCTTTGCGTAGGCGGGCGCGAGGAGACATTTGATCGCCGTCTTGCCTGTGAGATTCAACGTTTCGGCAGACACCACAAGCATATGATCAGCAGGCCGTTAGTTAAATCGAGACACCGCATGAGTTGAGTGATGATGATGTGGAGTTTGCATTTGGGCAAGTTGCGTTACAGGGGGACTTGCCTTTGAAATAGTCGACCCGTTTCCCATTGAGGACGCCTCGACGAGCTTTCGGCCCGTTCTTGCTCCGGAGGTAGGCGATCACGGCTTTCAGTTCGGGGGATGCCTTGTTTCTGCGAGGCAGAACAGAATGTCAGTTGAGCTGCTCGGTCAAGGCGGTCTTGAGCGGTAAAGAGCCGACTGACTGGGCATCTACGATGGGGATGGCGCCGTCCATCTTTGGTCGAATTTGTAAGATTATAGGAGGGTAGTACGGCTAGTTTCCGATTTACCGATTTGAATCGATACGTAGATGTTTGACTGTTTGTGTGTTTCGCCCTTTCACTTCGAGTGTGTCGGTGATGACCTGGACATGATCTCTCGTCATCTCGAGTGTCAGATAGCGGACATTATCAGCGTATGTTGTATGTCCGATTATGATATCTGTTTACTTCCGAATATACATCCGGGTTGTTATCGAAGTGAGCTGATAACGTCGGGTCACTTCGTCATCCTAGGGGTTGAAACCAACTGCCTGCCAACTTCTAGATAATCACTAGCTCAATCATCGCTTGATATCAGCTACGAAGTCAAGGAGAACCATGTCAAAAATGGTATCAGATGAGACTCTCGGTGGTGAGACCCAGCTCCACTACACCAACATTCGCATCTCCGACTGATTCGACCCGTACCCGCCAAATACCGCGCAGTCATCCTGGTCTCGCTCTCGACATGTACAGCCTCGATCGCCAACATGTGTATCAAAAGATTAGCCGGGTTGGTCGTACCGATACATACGTTGCAAATGATACGGTTCCGGATGGCGAGTACGACCAACGGTTATAGTTGTGTTTATAGTTCACGATAATGCGCAAAGGATATGGTTGTGTATAGGTTATGAGGGAGCTGACCCGGATTTGCTTTTCGTGGGTTTCATAGCTACCGACTTGGATCGTCTGTCTCTCGTACCTGTGAGTAACCAACACGCTAGCTTCTAGTCAAGGGACAGTTCGAGCAAGTCTCATGATTGACCCAATCTGGATACTGCGACCCTAGTTACATTACAGGCCGACCTTCCCCATTTTTAGGACCTAAAGGGATCCGGGGACTTTTGATCGGGAGAGGGTCGTTGAGGTGAGGTCCTCGAGCCACCTGCGTGCGCTGCGAGGTATGTGGTTTATAGGTCACCGAACTGATATCTACGATTGCGGTTCCGACAGTTTCGTTAGCATGCTAGGAACAGTCAGTCCCCCCTCCCGTTCCCCTTTCTGCTCGGACACTCCTCTTCGAAAGGACTGGAGCGATAGGAAAGATCCCTGAATACGATTACTGAACATACTCGTACCCGGCACTATCTTTCCTCTTTTTCCGCTGGTGCATTGTCGTCGGTGCTTGGCAGTATACGGCCTTGAAAGGATTGACATTGGCAGAAGCTACGCTCATTGGGTTCTTGAACCCGGTCATCGTGAGTCGCCCGTATCGTATCATCCCGATATCACGAGGATGAGAGGAACTTGAGATCTGAAACGAGGACTACGGGGGGGGTTTTTTATGTGTAGACGGGGATTCTGGGTGCTGTTTGTCTAGGCGAGGTGAGTATATGTGAGGATTTCGTTGTCGATCAGATCGAGAAACGTCGGTCAGCTGATCGGTCGCTCGTCAACATCGTTCCCATACGTTCATGCGACATGGACCTCTACTAGAAATACACTCTCCGTCAAGCGATCGCCACGCTCCTCTCACTCGCAGGGATTCTCATCTCCCTCCAAACACCACTACAAACCCTGGGGAAGGCTCCAAGATTGAGCGCAGACCTTGGAGCGGGAGGCGGTATGGGGAAAGGCGTGGCGCTGATCATCGGCGTGGGCTCGGTCACCGCGGGGGCGTTGAGCAGTGAGTCGATTGCAGGGCGATGTTCGGGGCTTTTTGGGAGGGCTTTGACAAGGAGTCGAGTGAGCGTACACCAGAGCGTGGCGCGTTTGCTGACGATGTGGTACGTCTCGGCCGTAGGTATCCTGATACGCAAGATGGGCAAGAACGTGAGTCGGGTGAAGTCGAAGCGGGTCGTCTGGCGTGTTTCGACGTGGGATATTTAGCTCTGACGATGGTGGCTAATTTGGGTCGGGTGTGGTTTCGACAGGGCGATGTCGTCAGGCAGATCACGGCGTATGCCATGGTCTCCACTTTAGGAAGCGTGAGCCCACATCCGTTGACCCGGGCTCATCATCGTGTGTCGTTCGTTTGCGCTTAAGCTGAAGCGACGCTGCGATGTAGACCGCCTGTATTCGGTACATGCCCGGCATTCCCGAGTTGCCGCGCTATGGAACGTGGACGATATACGCGATCGTGGCTACCGTCTTTGGCTCACTCGGGCAGGTCTTGATGACGAGCGGGATGAAACGGGGCAAGGCGGGGACGAGCGCGTTGGGGAATTATACCGCGGTGAGTCGGTGTTTCGACGTTGGAGGTGGTGTCAAGTTGGTATGTCCGGGCTGACAATTTGTATGGCTCGACGTCCGGTGCAGATCATCTACGCGACACTGCTCGAGTATGCAGTGGATGGCAAGGTCCCCGGGATGAGGCAGGTGGTAGGGTGCGGGTTGATCGTGGGCGCGTCGTTGTACGGTCGGCGGTAGGACGGAGGGGGATTTATGATGTTTTGCAGTGTTTGTCCTGGACGAGTTCAGAAACTACACCTGTGCAGGTGGCGTCAAGCGCTCGAGTTCGTCCGAGTCGCTCGGGGTAGGGAGTCGCAGGAGCTCGCGTCGAAGTCGTCCAGGCGATACGCTTGAGAGCAAGTCTTGCACGATTTGGTCACGGGACGTCCGCTGTTAATAAACCTGGGTGGTTGATCTGGCTTGAAGAGGACTTCGATGGCCCCGTGCGCTTAGCGATATGCGCGATGCGAGCCTTGTGATTTGAGGAGGTATCGAATGGTCGCGGTTTCGACGTAGCGATGTCGACACAGGGAGAGCGCTGAAAGGACGACAAAAGCTAGCCGCTTGCAGGATCTTATCGGGGTGCAGCGTGAAGCCGTGGGAAGATATGCCGACAAAAGGGAAAAATGAATAAAAGAGAGTGTAGCGCAGCAAAAAAGAATGAAAGAGCGCGGCGCAGCCGCGCAAATTTTTGGCACCTTTGTGAGTATGGGCTAGGGAGCTTGGTGAGTTGGGTGTGGGTGTGAGAAGCTGCACAACAATCAGCCGGGTTGGCCCAATGGTAGGCGGGACGTCCGCCTTTCATTTTGGCACCTTTGTGAGTATGGGCTAGGGAGCTTGGTGAGTTGGGTGTGGGTAGTGTTGGCAAGAAGTGAACGCGTTCACTGAACGCGTGGTGAACGCGTTCAGTTTGTCACCCGCGGTGCTGAACTTGAACGTGAACGTGAACGTATTTGCCTGAACGTTTGAACGCGTTCACCTGAACGCGTTCAAAATCACGTTCAAACGTTCAGAACGTGACCGTAAACACCAATGGTATATGACAACATAGATACTAGATACAAGCATATATTGGTACAGTAAAACGTCCTAGCCGTACACCTCAGTATCGCTATCGTCCTCGTCGTCCTCGTCGTCCTCGATCTCGATCACCTGTCGCGAGGATGATGCCGACGTAGAAGCTACCTGATTCGCGTTCACGTTCCCGAACGCGTTCACGAACGCCTTCTCGCTCAAGATACCTCGCCCGGCCCAGTCGCCAACGATCATCTGAGCCGCTGTAGAGTCCGGCGATAGCTTCGTACGCCTAGCAGATACGACGAGGCCCGCCTTCGAGAACGCACGCTCAACCTCGACCGACGTAGCTGATAATAAAACATCATGATGTTAGCAGAAGACTTGCGTTCAGACGTTCAAACGTTCAAACGTTCAAGAACGTACCGGGAGTCCCCAACACATCGAACGCCATCTGCTTCAGCCCATCCATCGACGTCTGAACGTTCCACCACGCCAGCGCTTGCCCATAGAACGGAGCGATCGAGAGGTCCGTCCTTGGTGCGTCGACGAACGTGTCGAACGCCTGCCCTACGCTAGCAGGTACCTGGCTAGATTGAGCCAGGATTCCGTCGAGATCGTCGTATATCTGTATGTGTATGTGGCACGTTCATACGTTCAAACGTCAGAACGTCTAGCGTTTGAACTCATCTTATAGGTACTCACCGACGACGATGGAGGCTTGACGCCCTTCCCCTTATCGCTACCCTCCGCAGGAAGGTAGAACGTCTTCCACATATCACGGCCCAACTTCTTTGCCTCTGTGATCCAGGCCTCCGGCCATCCCTGTTCTCGGAGGTAGGCGACTCGGTACCCAGGATGTAGGACTGAACGTTTGAACGTTTGAACGCGTTCAAAATTAGTACAACATGTATAATACCAGTAATAACGGAACAAGACTTACGCAGGGCGACCCGATACATCACACTCTCGTCAGTCTTGCCGTAGTACTTGTATTAGGCTTGCCTGCAAGCCTGGGATAGTATCACACGGGACTAGAAGGTAAGGGTAAGGTAATGAATGTAATAACGGATGTAGTACAACTGGTACTACATTACAGTAACACATAGGGGGTGTTCTAGATATACTCCGTACGGAACTCCCATCGGAGGTCCCTGTAAAACTACCCGACGCGGGTGTTCGGTACGCGTACCGCGGATGCCATAACAACTTGTTGAGGACTGCTTGTCCCCTTCTGATGCCGTACTTAACAGCTTGACCGACCGAGGGATCGTTTCGGAAGGCGTCGAACTTCCGGGTGAGGGCGTCCATGACCGGGATGACGCCTGCGATCGACGAGCTGTCGATTCGAGTCTCGGTGGAGATCGAGAAACGTTTGGTCGCAGCTTGAAGGAGCTGTATATCGAAAAGGAAAAAAAGTTTGAACGCGTTCAAAAGTTCAAACGCGTTCAAGATACTGGCTCACCGACAACACCGGCTTGAACTGCTTCAACAGATCAATGTCACCTCCAGTAATCTTCTCCTCCTTCTTGCACTCCTTGCTAGGTAGTAGAGCGTAGAAAGATTTGCTATGTAAGATGAAGGTTTGATGAAGTTCAGGGAGATCAGCGTTTCAAAGTTTGAAGTCTCGAACGTTTGAACGTCTGAACGCTTACAGAATAGGTGCCGCATTGATCACCCCGTCCAACGTTGCCAGCGTCGAGTTCCACCTCGTTTGAACGTCCGGTGGGATGGCGTACGTGGTGGATTCGATCTTCTTCTTGTCGTGAAGATCTTTGATGGCTAATTGCCAACACCTCCTGTACTCCGATCGCCACCTCAAACGTTTGGCGAGAAGTCGACTCTACACGTTCAAAAGTTCAAACGTTCAAACGTTCAGTCACTTGCCCATCGGATATACTAATCGAAGAACATACCTTCCACAACGCTGATCGAGCCCTCTGCTGCTCCCCCTTGACCTCCTGAACGTCCTGGGAGATGTCGACCTGTGTGTCAGGGACGACAGGGACCTCGAGACCGTCGAGAATAGCCTGATCAGGGGCGAAATCGTCCCCGGTCGGCACCTCGACTTCATCGTCTTCGTCCTCGATCGTATTGATGTCGTCAAAGACATCGAACGTGTCTTCGTCCCCAACAACAGTCTCCTCGGACCACTTGTCCCCGGTCGTACCTTCAATGATCGCCTAAGTAAAGTAGTAAGATGATGGGTTAGCAAGCGTTCATGCGTTCACGGTCAAACGTCTGAACGCGTTCACTTACACCGACGATGAGGTTCAATACGTGGGCGAAGCACCTCACTTGCCCCTGAGCTTCCCCAAATCGCTCCCAATCGAGCTCGCAGATCTTCTTGACCATCACGTCGTTCGACGATGCGTTGTCCGCGATGATCGAGAGAACCCTGTTGTGGATTCCCCATCCTTGAAGACTCGACGCAAGAGCGTCGGCTAGGGCCGAACCGGTATGCTTGCCCGTGAGACTGAACGCGTTCAAACGTTCAAACTTGTAAGTATTCTAGCTGTTACTGTATACCAAACGTCTAAACGTTCAAACTCACAAGACGAAGTCGATCAACAACGAGTGATGCCTCGGCTCAGCATCCGAGACGTCCGTCCAGTGAGCAGTAACTCCCATGTACGAACCACCCGAACGATCGGTCCAGCAATCGGTAGCGATATGGAAGACCCCGTTGTGGAGGTGGAAGAGACCACCAACACGCTTCCGATTGATCTGGAATATGGCGCCGAGGTCCTCAGCGACTTGCCGACGGGAGGGGAGGATTGCCTTCATAGCTGGGAAGGACTTGGTGAACATTTCCCGAAACTATGAACGCGTTCAAACGTTTGACCGTATTAGTATACCAAACTTCTTATATCAAGAACATCGCACAGAAGCAAAGAATAAGAACTCACTCCGGGCTGTTCAACGACTCTGAAAGAGTGGTTGTTCTGAGCGATCCAGGATACGATCGCATGTCGGGTCGCAGCCTTTCGAGGTTCGCTAGACACCACTTCGAGGTTCTCGCCCAAGGTCGTTTGACCGGTAGCGGCACCACCGTATTTGCCCTGAAGGCATTTCTTTAGATGCGGGGCCAGAGAACTACCTGACCCTGCTGCCTTCACGGTCTTCAGTTTGGTATAGGAGTTGCAGTTCCTGATGTAACAAGCAAATCGAGTTGAGATATCAGCCTTCTGAACGTTTGAACGTTTGAACGTCTGAACGTCTGAACGCAAAGTCTACTTACTTGCACTTCCACACCCAAAACGCTTCATCAAGACTCTTTCGAGCCTTCTTCTTCTCCTCCTGCGTAGCCAAACGAGGTCGGGTAAAGTGGACGTTCGTCGGATTGGCCTTACCGCCATCGATGAACTTCGCACACCACCGTTCGAGGTATTTATGATGTTCCTCGTTGGACGCTGTCGGATCGGGAGCGGTCCCCTTGACCGCGGTAGAAGGTGGAGTGGCCTTAGTAGCCTTATTGGCTGCGGTATTTGTTAAAGTAGAATCAGTATCTTGAAGAACATCTAACCCGTTCGATCGTTTGAACGTCTGAACGTGAACGTCTGAACGCTTACCACTACCACCCAGATTTTTCAAGTTTATTAAGACCTTAGTGGTCTTCTGCTTCTTCGAGGCGGGAGTTGGCGAGTCTAAGGTATATCCGGTTATAAGAAGCAAGTTAGAACGTATGAACGCGTTCACCCACTAGTCTCGACCTCCTCCAACTCGTCTTCCTCTTCCGTCAACACCGACGATTCCTTACCGTCGTCCTCCTCATCTTCTTCGAAGGCGTCATCTGCCTTCCTCTTGCCCTTAGGTCCGTTGACCGTAGCCCATGATGGTGGAGAGGAGGGGGGGGCTTCTTGGTCGACGTTATCGGACTCGATGTTCTCGACGTTCTCGGACTCGACGTTCTCGTTCGACTCTAAGTCGCGTACCGGTGACGTTTGCGAGTTCCTCGTATTCCTGACCATCTAGACGATTATAAGACGCTATTATAACGTGTCCATGATGTCTAGATGTTGTTTGAACGTTTGAACGTATAATAACGTCGAAACGTAGAAGTTAGTTGATGCTTCTCGCGAATAGCTCGATATCGAGCTGACGTCTAAGTCGCGCGGATGCAAACGATCGCTTTCGCACGCGTGTTTTTGGGTGTTTTGCTTGCCGTTTGAACGTTTGAACGTTTGAACTAGATCACTTGTTATTTCAAGGGTGGTACATGTGATCTAAGTTGCTATTTGAGCCTACTGTAGTCCTAGAAGTGTTTGGTATGACGTTCAGACGTTTGACCGTTTGAACGTCCCATCGATGCCAGCCGTGAACGTGAACGTGACCGTGAACGTATTAGTGTGAACTTATGAACGCGTTCAGGTGAACGCGACGTTCAAACGTTCAAAAACACGCGTTCAAACGTTCACGTTCAAACGTTCACGTTCATTTTTTGCCAACACTAGGTGTGGGTGTGAGAAGCTGCACAACAATCAGCCGGGTTGGCCCAATGGAAGGCGGGACGTCCACCTTTCATTTTGGCACCTTTGTGAGTATGGGCTAGGGAGCTTGGTGAGTTGGGTGTGGGTGTGAGAAGCTGCACAACAATCAGCCGGGTTGGCCCAATGGTAAGGCGTGACTTTCCTATGCAATAGGCAATAGGTCGAGATTCTGGGTTCGAGCCCCAGGCCTGGTTTATCTTTTTTGCCCTTCCAGTGACCTGTTTCGAGCTAAAATCGCGTGCGTCGCCTGAAACGCGATGTCGCCCAGCGCCTTGATCGCCAGTTCCAAGACGCTTCACCAGGCAAACGAGATTGATTTCTTGTCGTCGCGCTCGGGGTTGGTCTAGGCCAAGCACGATGTAGCTCCCGGCACTAGACGTCATGAGCCGCATAGGCGGAGCATGATCCACTTGCTGAAACGCGACTGAAGGCGGTCCGGGCCGACCCCGGGGGTCAATTCTTTCCATCAGACGCCCCGCGTGTCGTAGACAGAGCATCGTCGAGGGGCTCCGATTCTATAGGTGGTCGCGTGAACCCTCGCGATCACCTATCCTTCTTGCAAACCGCCAGTGTCATGAGCTCCTCATGTTTCTCGAAACCACCCATGGGTGTTCCTTGCAGATTTGCCAGCGAGACGACCGTTACAGCTATGTCAGTCGCTCACTTGCAGCGCCTCGCAACAATCGGCATCGATCCCCGGACGACGACGACGCTATAGCCATCCGTGTTTCGTACCCTGCGCAGAATATGTCGTGACGCGGTCACCGAAAATCGTTGACAGTGAACCCCCGTCTGGCCGGGCCATCCGTGCGATCCCAATGATCAGCTTCAGTCTGTCTCCTGTGATCTCGTGCCGTTCGCAACTCCAGTCGGATCGAGTCGATCGACTCGACATCGTCGGACCCCGCGCGGCATCGACATCGACCGAGCCAGCTGATCGACCAGGTCTGCGCGACATGCAGTAGCTTTTAGCTTTGAGCGAGTCGAGGTCGATCTTTCCGCTGACTTGATAGCAGCCGTTCAACCAAGATCGTTCCGAGCAACCAACCTCCAGATACTCTGGAAAGGTGATCGCCGATTTGCGATTGAAAATGAAAGTGATGGGATCGCCGGCGCGTCATCGATAGCACCAACACGACCTCTCGCGCTTAGCGCTGATTTGTCCCGACTTGTATCGGAAGGCGCTCGATCGATCGAGCGCAAGACGACTGCAACCTTCCGGCTCATATTGTGCCTCGGCCAATGAGAGGTGACGTAACCACGATAGAGCATGTCATTCTGGACGACTGCCTCGACTCGCGAACGGCCTATCCGCTACCGTCAGCGTCTCAGGTGGCGGTAGGGTATCTGAAGGTCCGCTCTCCCTGTATCTCCAGGTCTCCTTGCGTCACCACGTCGAGATCGACCACTTCGCGGGACGACCGATCGGCCTCTTCTTTTTCTGCGAGATTGATGCTATTGAAAGAGTACCATCAAGCCCTACTGAGAGACGACAGCAGTAGATCATGTTCATAGTCGCAATGCCCGCCGCCGAGGCCCCAGCCCAGCCCGCCGCTGCACCTAGGACGAAGCTGGCCGCTGGAAAATCCCAAAAGGCTGCCAAAGTCGATGCCCTTGTAGAAGTTGCCAAGGATATTGTGGACAACAGCTCGTTAGCCATCGGGGCCATCTATCAAGTTCGCAAGATCGTGGACTTAGAGACCATTTTCCCGTTCAGCAACTGGGCGTTTTCCCATAATATTTCCAAAGTAATCGTCATTGGATCGCGGCTGCTTGATTCCTGAACATCTTCTCCCTCTCACCAACTATTCTGCGCCGCGCGTGGGCGCTTTTGAATGCAACATCTTTCTCTTACCAAATCCAAGTCCGAGAGCAGGGTCAACAGAGCATGTCGCGAGAGGAAGAGAACCTATCAGCCGAAACGCATCATCAGGTACCACCTCATCAAGCCATGAGAAGACGAATCCCAGCTCCGAGTGGACCTACGCAACAGGCCAAGCGGGCTTTGACATCGACTCGATCGTGAGAGAAGTGATCAGGACGGGCAATATCGATGCCGAACCTGCAGAAGCAGGGAACGATGAGACTCGACGGCCGCTGGATTGACTTCACCCTCGACTGAGCGATGACGATGACGGCGTCGATTCGCCTGCGTGTCGTTTCACACGACTCTCCATTCTTGCAATATTAATCGCCAAACCTCCCGATCAAGCTCCTCAGCGGTAGGTTACTGTCTTGGGCAATGGTTATGGATGCGGGAAAACTCAGTAGTGCTGGGGACTTGAACTATTGCCACTTGCACTGTGTATATGAAGCCTCTGTTTGCCCTTATATCTGACTCGTTTCAAGCGCGCTTTGGTCTGACCTGAAGCTATCAAAAGTAACATGGGTGACGGATATCTTGATTCTGTCTGTTTACTGCCACAAGATTTGCTCCAGAGCATTCGTTTCGGTGACCGAGGGCGGGCAGGGTTCCTGCACAAACAGGGGAGTCAGAATTTCCGCAACCTTGTAGTTGGCCATCTTGATCTTTGACATTGGGAATTTGATCAAGAGCCTTGTGGGACCGGAGCGGCCGGGCCAACATGAACGAACAGACCTTTGACACCTCCCTACTTCTTCACCATGCAATACAGGGCATAGAGAAGGTGCTTGTCTAACGTGGATCCTTCGATGACCAGCCATGATTTCGTGCCCTTGACCCGTCGCCAAGAGTGATCAATGCACTGACGATGCAGAGGCGCCCGGATGATGATGGAACGGGCAGCGATACCATAAGAGCTGTATCCGGCAACGTCGGTCGATGCAGGGTCAAGGTGCTCCGAGGGAGACGGTGGCGATGACGATATGCAATATCAAGGCCAGTGGACGTATTCTGTAGTAATGTATCAGTAGGGAAGTGCATCGAGGATACAAGATGGTCAGAGGGTCGGCCGGGATAGTCGGTCTCCCGTCATGAGCGAGAGGCCCCTGTCATGGAAGCGGGCGATCAGGATCGGATGTGAGCGAAGAGGATGTGGGGATGTGACCGGAGAGGAGGGTGTGTGTAAGCGAGGTCGGTGTATGGTTGCCTCGCGCCTCGTGTTAGTCGCTGAAAGACCGAGATAGGATTGATGAAAGAGTCAGCAGATCCAGCAGATGATCAGGCTCGATGAGTGCGACGGATGTGAGCTGGATCTACGCCGGTTCGTTATGAAGAAGCATAGTCGAGGCCGATCGAGTTGATGCGAGACCGAGGAACACAACGCCGACTTTGTGGACTGGGCGGCTAGTCGCCAAGTGGTAGATTGTCAGCCTCGACGTCTGTACGTTGCGGCGTCCGCCCCGAAGTCGTCGAGCCGTCCTCTCAGCGTTTGACGTGATCTTCCTTATCAACGTACTGATTGTATCAGGGTCCCCACCCTGATCTCGCCGCCGTGCCGTTGAAGCCGGATAAGCACGACACCAAGACCGAACGACTCTCAACTGACTGGGCACCCGAATTGGATCACCAAAACCCCGAGGCGGAAAAGACGAAAGATGGGAATAATCGTCATGCGACAAGTAAAACAAATCTCCCATATCGAGATACCGGACGTCGCCGACCGATCCGTCTCTTTTTGCTAGAAGAAGAAGACTCCTAGCGATCCATCTCCTCGTCGTCAGACCGTCTTGTTCCCAAATCCCGTCCGGCTTCGAGGGCTCTAGCTCGTCAAGTGGAGAAGGACGTGGTCGTCTACTTCTTCTTGGCGGGCTCACCAGCCTTTCTCTTGGCGGTACCTCGGACCTGCGAGCGTGAATCATCGAATGCAAGGTAAGCCGACACGGTCGAAACGAGAATGTGATCCGAGGTGAAACTCCGCGACTGACCTTCTTCTGCCTGTTCTTCCTCTCCTTCCTGTTCTTCCTGTTGGTCTTGTCGACCTTGGGAGCGAGACCAGACTGTAGATGTCGCAAAACCAAGGTCTCTTGTCAGCCACCCGACATTCTCGTCTCAACCAACATCCCCGCCCAACCCTGAACGCACCCTCACGAGCCTGTGCTTGGGCTCAAACTTCTTCTGGGACTCTTCGTCATCGTAGATCAAACCGAATCCGGTCGACCTTCCACCTCCAAACTTGGTCTTGAATCCGAAAGTGGAGACTCGGCCCTTGTCAGTCTTGTACAAGGCGGCGAGCTTCTCGTTGAGCTCGGACTTGGAGACGGTGGCTCGGGTGGGGTGGAGGACGTCGACGACGAATTGTCGTCGGTTGAGGAGACGGTTGGTGATGAACTTGCGGGTTCGGACGGTGATAGGGCCGGTGGGATCCTGCGAATAGTGGGCGGGATAGCAGGTTAGTACGAGGGTGGAAAGACAGACTTTGCGGGTCGGTCGGGCGAGCAAGCGAGAGTAGAGCACAAGGAGCGACTGGGGCTAGCAGGAGGGCAGACGGCAAGTTGTAGTATCCTCGTAATGTAGGCTGAAGAAGGACCGCGGAAAGAGTTCCCTTGGCGTGTCGATCTGTCCATGTCACTCGCCGGTTGTCTTGTCCTGAGTCGCCGAAAGAGGGCCGGCCCGGTACATGTCCATTCCGTCTTCCTCGTCTGTCATACAGCGTCTTCCTAGACTATCCCACGATCCCTTTCCAATACTGCTCCAACTCATCTCATCCGCTCGAGGTCCATATTGCGTTTGTCCAAGAGAGCTATCTCTATATCCTCGATATCCTCGTCGTTTGCTGTCCGTTGTATCCCAGTCCAAAGCGATTGCCCTCCGTCATCTGCCATCCGATTCCCATCCAGCCGCATCCCTACGCTCGCATCACGCCATCCTCTCTCGTTCGACGTCCGCTGCCCCACACCGCCCGACCGTAATGCAACTTGTGAAGGACTCACCATCTTGAAGGTCGCTCTCTTCTCTCTTGATGGGTGTCGGAGGAGGGGAGGAAGAAGAAGAAGAGGTCCAAAGGCTAGGATGATCACGTCGATTCGAGCTCGAATTCGATGTCGAGGTCGTCTTCGAGGTTGCCCGCGTGAGGGGAAAACAGCCCACAAACCAAGGTCGACGCAGGGTCCAAGCTCAAAAGGCACTGCTAAGCCGAGCCAGCGAGTACAGCGGTAAGATATAAATGTCAGGCTCTCAGCCAATTCCGTGCGCGCGCGTCGGGCTTATCGCCGTGGGGAGGGGAAGAACAGGTGCGCTTGCTAGAAATGCGCTTCGAGCTGGTCATGAAAAGCTCAACTGCGAATGGTTTCACGTTTCAGATTGGTAGCCGCGTTATCGATGTTTCACGAGCGAAGCGTTTGCGGCTGATAGGATCAACGAACGGAGTTCTCGGTGCCTTGAATCGAATGTCAGAATTTAGTGGTGTCAAGATGTTCTTTGTAGGAAAATTGGGTCGTGACAACCTGTTGAACTCAGATCTCGTTCATCCCGCGTGAGGTGCGGTGTAGCGACGGATCGATCGCGATATCGCATGTCGAAAATTGTAAGGGAACTCCACCTGCGATTCCTCGATCACTTCCATTGCAGCGAGGTTGTAGAAAAGCAAGACTCTAGACGCTATGAAATGGCCAGCGTTGTGTGATATGTGGTGATCGAGTACAGGCAAAGCAGCATTTGTGTAATTGGCAGGAATCCGCTACGCGTCCGTGATCCGAAAAGTGGCAAGTCGGCGCAGATGCAGTAGCGTTATTCCAGCATCGTGCAGAGACTCGTCATAGATGGTGCAAAGTGAATAGACAGCGAGTAAACCGCGCATCTTTGCGAAACAGGCGCGATTCTGTGCCACTAGAGTTTCATAACCGCCATTCAGAATTCGGTCTCAAGCAGACGCCTAAACGACATGGCGACGATCGAGCTGAGATGAGGCGGGTTGTGCAAACCCCTCCCTCTAGCAAGTTTGGACGAAGTCGAGGCACATCGAGGAATTATCGCAAGTCGTAACGACGCTATCGAGATGGGACGTTGTGTCTGAGCAAGCGCACTTGCTTGCGTATTCGTACAGCTCGATTGAAGATCCCGTACCCGAATGGGAGCTCGATTTCTTACCGCTATAGAGGGAAAGAGAAATCTGGGCATGAAGGCCTACGTAACTGATCTTTACCGCGGATCATCTTGAGCTTCGTCTATGACGAGAACGGCGGTTACGCACCACTCCGATCTTCGACACGCACTTCTGCCCTCCCCTACCAGATTGATTCAACCACCAGGACGCACGTCACCTGGAGTCCCCGAAATTCTAGGAAGCGCTTGTTTTGGAAAAACATGACATATAGAAATCGCCGAGGTTTCGAATGCTAGCACTGAGACGACACCCAGAAGGTTGTGCCGCTTCGAAGGAACCGGGTGCGATCAGCCTGCAAGACTTTCAGATCGCCTCGATCAGGCAAAGCAACTGCTTGAAATGGTTGTCTGGCCACTGCATGAGTGTCTTACTGCTTGCAGGCCATATAGCATCTGGAAATCGGAATTGATAATCGCTTGCCAGCGCGAAGACCTTACCTTCCCACCGGTGATGAGTGGAACAGGTATAACCTAGATCCGAGGCAGGACTTTGACTTGTCGCCATCATAGTACGAGATCTTGCGGCGCATAATCTATATATGTGGGGCGTCCGATCACTTGTACACAACGTCTACTAGGAGGTGAAGCCGAACTGCGATATACAACGATATCGTTGCTGCCGTTCATCACTATCGTCCATGCACGCTACCGCGCTTGGACGTGCAATATGTACCTGGTGAGAGAAGCGGGGATGTACCCAAATGATGTGAGGGAGGCGTAGCCGACAGGACAGGTCCAACACTACCCATACTGCAGCCACTCTTGCCGCTCAATCACCTATATTCGACTCGTCCAAGTTTCTGGCCCGAACAACTGCGCTGGTAGTTTAGACTTTTTCCTCTGTGATACCTTCTATCCGCTGCGCTACCATTCTTGTTTCTTCTGACGAAAGACAGAAGCCTTCAGACTATGCGCTGGGCTGTCCTTCTGGCTCCTCTCGTTCGTTTTCGAGATATCAAACGCTGCTGTGGGGTGTCCTGCTGCTGCCGCCTTAATCAGCCATAGCGTGCATCCTTGCAGTCGACCGCTTGTGAGTCGTCTCCCAGGGAACAATGAGGGACTTGGTGACATCTTGCAAGATAGCTGTATAGCGGTGAATCAGATGGTTGCCCAACAGCGTTTACGCTAAGAAGCATGCACCTTGATCATATAAATGCAGCGCGCCAAGGTCGAGCCTGAAGATCGCTTGGAACTTCCGCAAGCTGTTCGTCAGCCCGTCGATCTTCTTGTCAAGACGTTGTAGTCGGGACAGATGAAAACTTTCTCCCTGACTTTGGTCAGTGTCTCGTGTAACTTTAAAAACGACACGATCGTCTTCGAAGGATGCCGCCGGACTGTCAGTCTGTCAATATCTATCAGCGATCAGCTACAAGCTAGCCGGCGCGCGCTAGTCAAGAGCCATGCGACGATCAGTGCCATCCAGTTTCGGGCCTGCGGTATTGAAGCTTCAATCAGAAATCCCAGCGCCTTCCTCGAGCTCGTGCGTGATTCATTACATTGTCATTTCAAAGAAGCAAAGAAAGGAGACTGAGTGAGAAATACATGAGGTATCTCGAATGTATGGAAAAAATGGAAGCGATCGATGAGCGAGTCAGGATGTTGATGTTGGAGCTTCTATCGAGACTTGATGGCGTAAATAGGGAGACGGGCAGAAACGTGTCGATACGCGCCCGTTCATGAGACTATGGGAGGAGTTATGCTCTGTAAGCGAATGAAACGCTGCGGAAAGAGTGCTGCGGAAATTCTCACCAATCATGGCGTCACCGCCGCCTTCCGTTCGCTCCATAGCTCGGGTGGCAAAGTATCTACAGATAAGATGAGAACCGATCTGACATCAGCAAACTTGCACATTGACTGACACCTCTTGACGTCGCGTCCACCTACCGAACGTCGGCATCCGAATCCTCTTGCAGCCGTTGCAGAGCCGGGATGATCTCTTGCTGAACGACCTCTTGCCCAGCGGCATCGTTTTGCAGCACCGATGCCAAGACCTCGAGCGCCTTGGCCACGTTGAATCGAATGTTGGGGATCTCGTCGTTGCATAATCGTAGGGCGGTGGCGAGGATCTGTTGTTCGGTGATCGTCTCGGTGTTGAGCGACGGGGCGATGGTCTGCGCGTAAGGGTTGCACGGTCAGCTTTGACTCGAAGCGAACGATCATCTATACACCTCAACTCACAGTAATGGAGAACACGGTGGTCATCCTGTAAAGATAGTTCGGGTGCTTGCCCATCTCGACGATCTGGGGCAGAATGGTTCCCTTGGCCCAGTCCACACCGAAGACGTCGGTCAACTTTTTCAAGTTGATCGTAGCCGACTCTCGGATGCTAAAGACGGTGTCTCCCAACCACGTCATGCAGAGACTTCCGAGCTTTTCGTCGAAAAATTGCACGCCGAGCTGAGGCGCGAGGAGGGGAATGTATTCGATGATGGCTTGACGGACACGCCATTGCTTGTCCTCGGCGAGCTGCATGATGGCGGGCAACAGGGCAGCTGACAGTTCCTCGATTCCGATGACTAGAGAGGTTAAGCGATGAACGTCAGGAGGTCAGCATTGGTCTTTCTCCCCGCTTCAAGGTGCAACTGCGCAGCTCACCATCGTTGACCATCTCGAGCTTTCCGATCAAGTGCAGCCTGACCTCTGAAAACTCGTCCTTCAACAGCGTAAGGAAGAGGGGCAAGAGATGCTCCTTCGTAGCCTGTTTGCCGAGTAGAGGCGCCAACCCGCTGATCTGCTTGGCGAGAGCGGCTCGGACGTGTTGAGAGCCGTCGGTCGTCAAGGTTCGGATGCAAGGGAGGATCCTGGCGAGGATAACATCCCGGTCAATAAGCTGAGCGAAGCCTGTCGGACCGAACAACATAACCCGTCAGCTTCAGTATAGGATACATGATCTGACATCAGAACCTAAACGCACCTGGCAATTGACCCGAAGCGGCGGTCCTGACTTCAGCCTCGTTGTCGGTCAACAACTCGGTATAAGCCTTGACGAGTTCTTCCCTAACGATGTCTTGTCCGACGGCATCGGCGAGCTATCCAATGTAAACGTCTTGATCAGCATCTCATTCTGGGTTCCAAGGCCATCAACCCGACGACCCGCGACTCACCTCGACGAAATGGTCTGCGAGCATATACCTAACCCTCCAACTCTTATCCGTCCAACTGTCCTGCAGATGCTTCCCCAAGTCGGCCTTGATCTCCTCGTCCTTGAGTTGACTGCAGATGGCGATCAGGTCGGGGATAGTCAATAACCTCACGCTGTCCTGATCGTCGGTGGAGAGACGTTGGTAGAGCGGGATGATCTCGGATTTGAGCAGGGGAGAGTGGGCGGGGAATGCTTTGGCGTAGGGCTATTGTCGAATGATGAGATTGTTTGACATAACATGGGCGACAACGAAATGTCAGCTCGTGTGCCATTATTGCATATAACGTAGAAAAGGAGCCGGGACTCACTCCGAGTGCCTTGGCAGCAGCCCTCCTGACCATGGGCGTATCATCCGTAGCCAAATCCTTGAACAACCCCCTCATCTCTTCCTGGTTCGCTTCATCCACCAGAGGATAGGCCGTAGCGAACAAGGCGCAGGCAGAAGTCCGGGAGGTGAACCAGTCTCCTCGGGCGAGGCGTCGGAGAAGGGGGAGGAAGTGGGCTTGCAGATGAGGGAGGGAGAGGAGGGGGGTGATCTTGTTGATCGAGTCCGAGGCCTGTGATACGAAGCCCAGAGTGGGGTGAGGGTTCAGGTTGAAAGTCGATGTTGACGTCGAGATAGGAGTTCCGATTCAATTGAGGTCAAAGGAAGGTGGATTGATTGGAAACATCAGTAACAGTCAACACGCCTGACATGGCATCGGCTCTTTGACTCGCCTTCTCCCTAACCAGGGTCTCTTCGACAGCAGCCAAGTTCTCCAAAGGTCCCAAGATCAAGAACGCCCATTCCTTTCCTCCTACATACTCTGCGAACCCCCCAAGTTCCTCGGCTAGGACGAGGAGGACTTCATCCTCATCATCCAGCTGGTCCTGCAAGAACGGGATCAACTCTTCCCTCGTCCTCTGAGGACCCAGGGCCAGGGCGATGGTAGATAGACGACGGATGGAGGCGAGACGAAGGTGGACGTCGTCGGACTTGAGCTCGTCCATGAGCAAGTGGATCGGGTAGAGGGCGTCATCGGAAGAGGTGGCTCCTCCGGAGGGTTGTTGGTATTGTTGGACGCCTTCCATTTCGGACATCGGCGGGTTCGAAGATCGTCCTGTTTGTTACGGTGATGATTCAGTGAGAGCCTAAGCTGTGTAGTCTGTGATATATGACAAGAGGAGAAGAAGAAGTAAAGGCAGATCGTCAGATAAGTCTTGAAGATGAGATCGAGGTTCATAACCCGAACATCAGGCGGTACTCACGCTTCGGTCGACGGTCTCCGAATCGCAATCGATTCGTTCGAGGTCCTGTTCCGTGATTCCGCAGCAGTCGTACGAGGATAGTTCCGTTTCCAGTCCGATAGAACAGTGAGATCGATGGCAGTGATATGTAAAGGTAGGTAGGAAGACGATCAATTGATGTCGTTCACCTCTTTTGCACAACAACTGTTCGTCGACGTCTTGTGTATGCGAAGAACGCGACGTGATCGGACGACGGCGATAGCGGGAAGTATCACTTACGAGGCGATGAGAGTGAGGCTAGCGAGTATGTGGTAAGTGGTGGTGACAATATGTATGACAGTTGTTGCCGTTGTGACTCTGTTGATGTCTCCCACCCTTTCTCTAGCGATTGGCCTGTGTCTGTGTGTGATGTGTGATGGTGATGGTTGATGGAGCTGACACGTAAAGTCTGAGCTTACGTAAGCGATAGGAAGGGTGAGGGGCGACCTCGAGCTTAGCTTTCAACCATCTCCTACGATCGATCGACATCATATCTCAATCTATACTCAACTGCACTAGCTACAACACCAAGAGACACACACCAGGTAATCCTATTCCACGCTCCGATAGCATATAACTAGCCATCATGTCCCGCCCCTCCGCTCAACAACTCGACCAGCTCTACAAACAGACCCTCGCCGCCTCGAAACGTTTCGCCTCGTACAACTTTCGCGAATACTTCGTCAGACGTACCAACGAGAGGTTCACCCCCTTATTATCCTCGGCTACTTCGGGTAGTGTGGATGCATCGGTAGATCAAAAGTGGTGGGAAAAGAGGGTACAGGAATTGGACGTGCTCAAGCGGGCGGGAGAGGTGAATAGGACTTTCCAGGGGCCGAAGATGGTCATCGAGCATGCTAGGCCGATTACGGGTGAGCCCATCTTATCATTTCAAAGTCCAGGGGAGATTAGAATTTGTATTGATCACCTTTATTTCTTTCCCGACAATCTGCTCGTATACAGCCGGCGGTGGAGAGGGCGTCGAAGCCAGTCCCTAGAGCTCTCCCCGGACCATCACCACTCTATCCCTCTCATCCATTTCATTACCATCTACCTTCCACCTCTACCTTTCACATTAATTCAACCCGAACCTCAGATCCGAAGATATGGAATAACGACTGCTACTGTATTATCCCCGCCCTCCGATCGGCATGTATACAAATGCCATTTCAACAACCTCGGGCGATGCGTATCGTATACCTAGTGTGTATCATCACTTCCCCAATACTTTGCTACGGCGCTGTACGACTGCATGTGGATAAGCTGGAAGATCTACCTTGATCGTCGATCTTCTGGGAAGCGATGCGAAGGGGAGGTACAGCGAAGGAAGGATGACAGGCTCTGGTTCTTTCGAGGTGGGTCGAATGGAGAGGACCGGATGGAACTTCGCTCACCTTGAACTTGAGAACGTTTGGTCCATCAGATCGGCGGAAGGACGAAGATATGATCGTTACATCGTAGTGTTATGTGCTCATTCGTATCTTTCAAGCATTTTCTATCTATACAAGACCACGTTCGGGTTTCAGCGACAGCGTGATCCGTTTCAGGATCGTTAAAGCGCCTTGTCAGAACTAGACGGCTGCTGCCGTGGATAGAATGCCGTTGTTTCGAAAGATCCCTCGGCGGTGCGTAAAAATCGCCCGGTCGGGCTCGAGTGACGTATCGAGACGACACCGCTGCACGCAAAAGAACTTACTCCAGGCCAATATATATATGTCGCCGCGCCTAAAATGAACGCGTTGATAGGATGCGACGAAGATGAAGAAGCGGTCGCTGGCTGGACAGAAGGAGAGACGAGCCCTGGCGATTTTCTTATAGCAGTGATGTTAGGGAAGGCGGCTTCACCGAGTCTCACGGTATATGTGTGGTTTATCTGGCTGGTTTCTTGCCCTTTCCGACATCCGCGTCCGGTAATCTGAGCTCGGGCGGAGCGTCCGTGTCCTCGTCAACATGCTTTCTCTGAGTGAATCAACGGATGCAAAGGATAAAGACCCCAACGTCTGAGCTCCAAACGTGTGCGCGCGCACGAATAGCGTTCACGAGCAGTACTCACCTTTTTTCCGTTAACTTGTCCGGTCCCCAAGAGTGGATCCATGCCAGCCCGTGCGATCCAGAGCGCACCATCCGCAGTAAGGAGATCCATAGGTGAACCAACAGGATACTTTGTCTTCTTACGAGATTGACCAACGAGGATTGCTATCTTCTCCACAACTTCAACGCTGAAATTACCCAACAGAGGGAACTGATCTGGACCCGCTCCCTTGACGAGAACACACGGGCTACCACCACGAGGTGTCATGTCGGCCGTCGCGCCCGATTCGGCTGTAAGGTCGAGATAAAGGTTGAATCCACGGATCCTTCCTGTGTCGGCGTTTTCTCTGACGAAACATGTGTAGCGGTTCTTGGTAATCTTGTCATCTCCTACGGATTGAGATAGGCGGTTCTTCACTTGAACCGCTATCACATCGACTTGATCTGGCCTGAAGTTGCCCGTCGGTGACGTAGCAGAGAAGTAGACCGGGATAACACAGTCAACGTCCTGCTGGTCAACGGTTCCCAAGAGCGCCGCCTGGCGGGTCCAAGCCTGCGGGAGGAGGGTAGGCGGGGCGACATCGTCCAATGTGAATCGTTCCGCGAGTCTAGCATAGTGGGTAAAGTTCAACCAGTGCGTATCTGCCCACTCAAGCAAGTCGTTCGACCACTCCGTCGGGCCTAAGAGTTCTTGCAGAAAGTCGGTCACCTTGACGAAAGTGCTTGCGTTTTTTTGCTTGACCCCATCGACCTTCGGCTTTGCATTCTTGACGCTCTTGTCCATGGCATATGACATCAATAATCGGGCAAGCTCCTCGCCATTCCTACTGTGGTGCAATCGGTGGGTGTCCATGTCGTTCACCACGGCGTTGACGACGTGGCTCCACCAAAAGTCGGGTTCCTCGCGGAACTCACGCGCGACGGCGAGGCTAAGTGAAGATCGCCAGGTCAGACCTTTTCCCCAGACGAGTATGCACGCAGAAGTACCTGAGTAACGGTTCGGACGGAACACCTGTTTGAATTTCACCTCCGACCGTCTCGATAGAGTGGATGGTCCGCATATGGTGAGATACCTGCTTCTTGATAGATTGCATTGCAGATTGTGTATCTGTTACGGGAAAATTCTCGTAAGCACGAATCGATTCCCGCCGCAAATTCCGCCGCGACGTTACCCTTCATGCCGGTGAAATCCAACGGCAACCTTTGACTCGCAGCAGCGATGATCACGTTGGCCGGTACCTTCTTCAGATCCGAGGTTGATAATAATACCAAGTCGTACCCGGTAAGTCTGTAGAAGAGCAACGGCGTCGTCCTCCGGAACGCGCCGGGTCCATCGAGGTCGAGCCCCCACGCGTAATATGGGTCGTTGAGAAGTGGCCTTCCCATAAGACTGAGGTTATTGTGTAAGTCTTCAAAAGTTGCTGTCTTCTCCCCTGTGAGGATCTGGTTGTAATCCCTCGACTGCGGTTGCTGCATACGACGCGCATGGAGATCAAGGGGAACGCATTGTGAGTATACGACTTGCTAGGCTCGCTGAACTGTCCGAGCGTGATCTCACCTGTAACAAAAAGACGTCTTGAGGCATGGCGGTGAAGGGCGGCGGCAAGATCAGTTTATGCGGCGCTGTTCGCAGGTCAGTCCTTCCGAAGCTGCTGGGGTCCTCGATATCGGTGAGCTCGACGACCTTGTGGTTGGTATCCAAGAGCAGGACTCGAAATTTCGGGATCGGATAAAAAAACAACAGTCTTCGCAGCGCTGTCAAACGCGTCTTGGTCATGCTGATCGCCTCGTCGATTGCAAGAAAACAGTACTCGTCTTTGATCAAGTCCTGCAGAACCTCGAAAGGTTCTCGAAGGGTCTCTGCGAGTGCACGATTCAGTTCCTCGCCGGTTGATCTGCTCAAGTCGTCTAGTACGAGACGCTGTCTCGAGGCCGACTGTTGAATTCGTCGCAGTAGAGTGTCGCGGGGAGACCTTCCTCTTGTCAAAGGCTTAGTACCCGCAGACTCCGGTCTCAGCCGGAATCCTGGGGTGATGTCGTTCATGAGCACAGCGGATGTCCTCTGTACAAAGCTCGCCCAGCAATCATCCAGCTCGGGGTTTTGCTCCTTGATGAAACCGGCAAATTCGGTGGCGAAAGCCCAAAGCCAGCTGGCCACGGCTATCAGAGCTTGGCCTGTATTCTCGAAGCCCTCATCGTCGTCGTTGTCGGCATCACGATGACGATGCCGAGTCCTCACCCTCTCCGGAACGAGGTGCTCATATACCTCTTGATCTTGACTCGGTGCGGACTTGCGTAGTTCCGCACTCGTGCTGTTTCCTCTCGCCATGATCGGATTGTGCCTGATGCAAGTATACAGGCCGAGTCGCTTATGACAGAGCTGCATGACCGCTCTCGTCTTGCCCGTCCCGGACGACTGTAGGACCGCAAAGACCGGGACGTGGTCATACGGTCGCTGCTCGGTCAGATGGTCATCTAGGTCATCGACGACCCCGCCGACGAATTCGTCCTGAAAAGCCCAATCGACGTGATCCAGCGGAGGAGCTGCACGACGACTAGCTTCGAGGAGGAAAGCCGTGATCGGACAGTCTGCTTGGTCAAGGGACTCCATCTCTTTTGGCCGGACGCTAGGACCAGAGGCGTATAGATATACGACTTCTTCTATCGTGGAATCCTTTATGCGCCGAAGTTCGTCGTCACCGGGGAGAGGACTGGAGTCGTAAATGTCCTGTGCGTGTTCCTTCATGAGCCGCGATAGTTCCCAGGACCTCTCGACTACAGACGAAAGCATCGCGACCAGGAATAACTGTCCGAACATCGGCGGTGTTCCCGTTGCGGAAAGATCCTTGAGCATGTCACCCACCCCGTGGCGGTCCGTTTCGTCCAATCCCTCGAGGTGATCCCTCACACTCTCGACGATGCTGGGCGGAAAGTCATCCAAGGCGTCTTGTATTTGGACCCTCCATTCCTTGAGTGACGACATGATGCTTGTTTCCCGCTCCACACGGGGTCTTGAGATTGGGGTTGCAAGGGATCAAATTTGATACCTGCGAATCGAGAGTGATGATCGGACTGATTCGCAGGAAGACGATTGTGCAATGCGTGGGTTGAACCGGTGGGGGCTTGTTCCCGAACGGTCCTGGCGATACCAGGCTAGGAATGGTGAGATAGATCCTCGAAGCACCAGTATAGAGAGAGGGGACGATCTATATGTATCGAGTGTCTGGCTGATGATCGTCTGACGACGTATGTCCAGTCCAGTCGACATCGTCAAGTGTACTACTGTGTACTGTGTCGGTCATCCGCGTCGTCACGTGACCGATGATGCCCCAATGGGACAACCACCCCAGGCAGCACTCCCGGTCAACTGCGATTATTGAACCATGATGATCCATGCATGTTTGAGCAAAGCAGCTCCTTACATGGCCAAACCATCCGTACTTTACCAAACACTGAATCCTACAAGATGGGTGATATACAGGCCTACCTCGCTTCAAAGTGAGCACCGAAATCGGTCACAGCCGCGCCTGACAAGCAGCTAACACCGTGCTCTTCTGACCAGGTACATGTCGGGTGCCAAGGCCGATGCGATCCTCTCCCGGAGCGAAGCTGGACGTCCTAAGAAGAAGAAGAGACGGATAGATCAGGCTGTACCTGTAGCTGTTGGGGATGGGACGGGGTTGTTGATCGCAGATGAGGACAGTCTGGGGAATGGATGGGGACAGGCCGAGCCCGAGGAGGAAGATACGGATGTGCCAGGTGAGTTCAGGATTTCGTCGACATGCGTTGTATGTTCATGCTGACTCTTATTGACCTCTAATCTAGTTGTGACGGCCGCTGCCAAAACTCTACGTCTAAAGAAATCGAACTGGTCGCTCCCATCAGCCAGCTCTTCAACTCAACCTGAACCCGCCGCTGAGGAACCTCCAGCCGAATCTTCCACCGCCACCGCCACGTCCGCTCCACCTGTGAAGAAACGAAAAGGAGGTCTTTTAACTGCCGCTCAGTTGAAAGAAGAGGCTGAAGCGCTGGCCATCGAAGAAGCCCGTAAAGAAGCTGAACGGGAACAAGAACGCCTCGAAGCTCGACGTCGGCGTCGAGCCGAAGGGATCGAGGACGACGAGGATCTCGCCAATGATGATGATGATGATGTTGATGATCATCCGGATCATCAAAGGACGGTCTATCGTGATCGGTCGGGAAAGATCGTCGATGCCCAAGCTGAACGGGCTGAACAGATCAAGGCCGAAGCGGAAGATCGAGCCAGACAGGCTGCGAAGAAGGATTGGAACAAGGGGTTGGTACAGCGGAATCAACGGGAAGTGGAAGCTCAGCGGGAGAGACAGGTCGCCAGCACTTCGTTTGCTAGGTGAGTATGCAGAATTTTGAGCTTTCCGGCCTGTTTTGAGCTGATTTGCTTGGTTCGAATGGGGGATAGGTCGGCAAATGACCGGGATATGAATGATGAACTCCGAAACGAGGTCCGGAGAGAAGACCCAGCAGCGGCGTTCTTGACGGTACGTACAACACCTAGTCTTCTCGGCCGCTCGACAAAGCTGATCCGATCTTTCGCCTGCGGCCTCGACCCCATAGCAACGGAAAAAGAAAGGCCCGCAACGACCGAAATATACCGGGCCAGCACCTCCTCCGAATCGGTTCGGTATCCCTCCAGGGTTCCGATGGGACGGTGTCGGTAAGTCCCGTTCTCCTCCCTGTCAACGATTGCAACAGCGACTTGATTCTGATTACGACGATGTCCATTCTTTTTTCCGACACGACACCTTTCTCAGACCGGTCGACGGGGTACGAAGCCAAGTTGTTCCAGAAGATCAATGAACGGAGCCGGAAAGCCAAGGAGGCGTATCAGTGGAGTACCGAGGAGATGTAATGAAGATTTGACATGCAAGCGGTTTGGCTTGTCCTTTCCAGCCGTGACGACCACTATACAAGTCATCGCATATGGACGAGCACAAGTCAGCGCGCGACGATGAACAGCGGATAATGGCCACGCGAATCGGCACCCAGCAGATTGATTTCAGGTTTGACACGACCGAAAGACAATTAAACAGGAGTTGAGAGCATGCTGCAGTCTGGGCGGTGACTAGCATGTGCAACCCGGACTTCCGGTCAACGTGCTCATCTGGACATCATACACAGCTGCATCAGTTGAACCTTTGGCACGCGCAAAGCATCTCAGTCGATAGGACAAGGTCACGCGGACGGTAAGCGGATTCGGACCTTAACTATATGGACCAGCCCCTGCATCAATTGTGCCTTGTTCGAAGCTCATACAAGGTTTATTTCCTGGCCCTGATCGTGTTTCCAGGACCTTCGCTGACGCCTTTCGCAATGGTCCCTGTCTTATTTGCTGGCAATCGGCGTGGTCAGGTCAGTGGTCAGGTGATCGAGCCTTCGCACATTGTGATACGGACTCGGCATTTCTACCCGGAGAATTAGTTCCGAGCAGCAGGTTGCCAATTGGTGAGTAGGGATCGAATGTCAATCTGAACGAGCACACGTATATGCTCTCATCATGTCGGCGCTAACCGAGCGGATGTTACAGATCCCAGGTACCCTCGGACTTTGACAGAACTCGAGCCCCTGAAACGGATGCATATGTTACATCCTCATTCACAAAACGGGTCGCCTTCGTGAGTTTCGACGCTCGATTTCAACGCCAATCTGTTTCCGTGAACCAGCCTGTTTCGGACGCATCCGTTCACAAGCCATCAGCCATCAGGTACTCACCTGGTCGTCCGCGGTTAAGACTCAGCTCGAGCTAAGTCGACATACGGCCGTTGCACGAGACTTCGAGTAAGGACAGTCAAGCAGGTGCATTCTTTGGACATAATCATGCCAGCCCGGCAGGGTCTGGTATGTATATATAGGCCGACTATCTCACTGTATCAGACTTATGATACCCCTCCGCCTCGACTGATACTTGCACTCAAAGGCTCTATAACGATGGACGCGGCGGTGCAAGACCTTGTAGGCGTACTACGCAACTTGAAGGCAAGTCAATTCCTGTGGGCAGAATCTGTACCGAGATGCTGACTAGACTTGATCGATTGGGTGTAGGAGTTTTCCGTGGACTCTTTTTCCAATCGACTCTTTAACAAGTTGCGCTTATGTGACAATATCAACGACTTTGTGCAGTATATTCCGGCTGAGGAAAACTACGGTGAACGACAGGAAGACCTCAGTATCGATGGGGTCGACGCTTCGGTTTACTTGAGGACCTTTGCTGAACAAGCTTTTGCTGATGGCTTGTGCCAAGTTGACGACGAGAAAGACAAGTTCAAACTGAAAGACTGCGTACAGCGGGTATGCCGTGCGAGATCTTGCAAGAAGCAAGACGAATCTGTTGAGCTGATAACGTGGTCATGCCGTCGCATCTTAGGACAACGTCAAGGCCGCCAAGAGTCAGCTCTTGCCCAATCTGACCTCGCTATTCTACGCCGAACACATCAACTGGGCTCTGAAGACCGCCGGTAAACCGTCTTTAACCGAACTAGGTGGACGAGATGGTTTCGCGGAAGCATACGAGAAGCGTGTCAGATCCCAAGCCTTCGTTTCATCTGAAATAGCCAAAGATCTGCTCGCTGGGAACCATGAGTACAGTCTCGCTATTCTCTTCGTTTGTGAATACCTTCATCATGGACCTGGCACGGTTCCTTCGGTTGACAACGAGATTTCGCAATCACGAGCGGCAAGCGTACTGTGCGAATGGATCGGGCACTTCAGGACAGTAGACGCCATGAACGTCTTGTCTGGCTTACTCTCGAAGGATGGCATGAATCTACTAGCCACGATCAGCAAGGCCTCCTCGATGGTTTTCGCCGTCACCGTCGATACCAATCTAAGATCGACTGGTCTGTTCGACCTCGCTGGGGCGATATTGCGCGACCCAGCTTTATCCGGCGCCTTGTCCGATGTTTTTGGAGGCATCGCCGCCATAAATGCCACCATCGGGGGGAGGTTGTCCACTCTTCTCGCTCTAGATATTCAGGCCTGGAGGTCCCATTGCCAAGTCTTGGGGTCAACATGGGAGACCCTTGCAGCGCAATACGGCAAGGCGGCATCGCAAGCTGTCAGCAAAGCTGAGCAAAGCTCTATACACGTGAACGGCAATGACGGAGAAGAATTCGGCAGAGGGTTCTTGACGGGTGTGACCTTCGGCGGGGTCGGGGTGAAATATCTGCAAACGACTACTGTCACAGGCCAACAAGTAGCTGACTGGATCAACAGAGGTAAGCAATCGCTCCCAACCCAGCTGTTTATTCTTAAGGCAACTCATGCATCTTCTCACAAAGGTCGTCACTCGTTTCCAACTATGTTCAAGGCCGACTCACCGAACGTCAAAGAAGTCGACCGTTCGACGGAAACTTACAGCCCAATTGCATCTTGTTTCGTCGCTGGAACGAAGATCGCGACTGTTCGTGGAGAAATTCCGATAGAAGATATTCGCGAAGGCGAGCACATCTTGACGGACAACGAGACCATCGCGTATGGAACCGCTTCCGACGAGCAGGTCGTGTCGCGATTGAATGTGCCTGTTTTGATAGGCTTCAGTCAGTCCCGATCTTCTCTGACAGCAGATAACTCGCACTCTGCTGAACCGATATGCGTCTCGTGATAGATGATGAACCGGCTTTCTTCACTCCGGGACACGTCTTTCATACCACAAGAGGTCTCCGCGCGATAACGCCGGACATTGCACAGGCTGAAAACGCCTGGCTTCAAGTTGGCAAATTGGCTGTCGGTGATATCATCTATCGTCGGAGACCGAACGGAAAAGGTTATGATCTGGTGCCGATCGATTCCATCCGGGTCGTTCAAAACGCAGAGGATCAAATGGTATACGGAATCCATATGCGCGATGGTCACCGCAGATATCACGCCAACGGATATCTGGTTGCAGTCAATTATCCAGAGGTCGGCATTGCCTGTTCTCAGACACCTCTGTCTACTCACTGACTGTATCCGCTATGTTATGGCATCCGACAGATTACTATCAAGTCTATCGCGCGACTACTGTCTACCTTCAAGAGTCGTGAACGTATGCGACTCCTTCGCGGCATCAAGGAATTACAGCCTTTATTCCACAGGTTCGGCGTCGATCAGATGGACGAGATTCTGAATAGAGAGCTCGGCCAGATCACGGCCGTGCATACAACCGCGACTCGATGCAAAGTCCAACACAAGCATCGATCTTCGTTACTTCAGGTCCGACGGACTTTTTCGCTCCATCCTACCACACACACTCCTCAGACGAAAAATTATACCCTTCCGAAGGTCAAGATACATGAAGGGACATTGTTGATCGACGGGAAAGTCGTACCGCGAGTTCAGATTGACACGAAACTGCACACAATCCGATGGACCCGTCCTGAACCAACTCATGGGTGGGAACACGGATACATTCGACTATGGGCATCCGGACTTGACGGTGTCGGGAGCATCTATGTGTCGAGCGAGGAGGATGCCAATGCGGAGTCACTCGCTCGGGAAGGCTTGCCAACGATCCCGTTTATAGTTACCAAGGCCAACGTGAAACCTCACGACGAGGGTAAAGCGCTTCAGCATGCTGCAGTCAAGATCATTCACCCAAACGCGTTGTCGCCAGATCTGCATAAAGACCTGATCAAACCGGTTCCTTTCTGTCTTCAAGGCATGAGCCCCACAGACATGACAGACTCGCCTCGACGAGCGATCACGGCTCACCCAGCTTTCGCGGAACCGGAGTCGGACGAATCTTATACGGACGGGGAAGACTACTACAATATTTTCGTCGATAAAGATCCCTGGGCCGTAAAGACCGACAAGGACCAGCCGAGTACACCGGTAGCATTCGGTAAGATATCGTTTGCTACTCATCACGTAGGAGGAGCGGAAGGAATGTCGCTCCCAACGGTGCAGATTGAAGTGCTCGACAAGATTCGGGACGCCATCAATCAAGGCAAACAACCGGATCAGCAAATCGGGCCACTGTACGAGTGCGTCACGGAACTGGATGACAAGAGTAACATCGTCGCCACCATAGATATGGTATCGCCTACCGTGATTAGCGCGCTGGCCGTCAAACCTGCCCCTGGCCAAGGGCAGACTTCTGAGGACGTTCTCCCTCCAACCTTTGACGTCGATTTTGCGGATTATTCGCCAATCAAGAGCAAGCTACCTTTCTTCTTCACGGTCCTCAAGCTTACCATGTCGTGGGACTTTGAATCAGTCACTGGCGTAGCCTACGCATGGGATCCTACAAAGGTAGGATCCCTCGGGACCCGATACAAAGTTGCTGGACAGCACATCGACATTAGCACTACCCTGGCCGTCAGGCGATCAATCGCCACATCCTTAGCAGCCATTCATGCGACACCACCTGCGTTGACTGGTTTGCATGGATTTCAACCAGCCCCGATAACCTTGGCTTTAGCGAATCCAGGAACTGCTGGATTGAACACCTCGGCGCTAGCGGAGATGCCAGATTATAACGATGCGACGGTTAGTGTCTTCGTAGAGGCAGTTGTACAGGTCCCGAATCATTTCGCTCAAGCTTCCTTGTTCGACAGCTACAAACCACTAGCCAAGGACTTTTACAAAAGGCGATGCTTTATCATATGGAAGAGGACGACAGGAAAAATTTTGTAGGAGTGGTCAAACCGACGGTTGACGAGGCTGTCTTTCCCAGCGAGCTAGCGGATAATCTACCCGACGACCTGAAAACATGGCTAAAAGATACCTATACACCGGCGTACATATCCTATATGCTCTCACAGGTGGATCCGAGTTCAGAGACATGGAAAGGAGACTTCGATTCGGAGCAAAGGAACAAAATTTGGTATTGGTGGACCGGTCAAGTCTGTCTGCGTTCAACAAATGATTGTGTCATGGAAAGCAAGAGTACTGACGGCTTTTGTGAAATCACAGGGAGACGGTTCTCTCGCAAAGTCCTCTGAGTATAACAAGCTGAACCATGAAGCCGCTACCGCGGCCATGAAAGTGCTGTATGGAAAATATCTTGAACCGTACAAGGCAGACGGAGCGAGCTGGGCGCAGAAGTGGGGAAAGCAGTGTACCAAGCCCATTTTCATCAGGAACGTAATGAAAAAGCCTATCACCGCGGTAGGTTAAGCGTAATAGAGGTCGGTAGGAAGATTTTCTACTGAGAACGAGTTCCCTCGTGCGTTACTTACAGGCCTTCAACCCCGTCCTGAAATATTGCAATATTCTAAACTATCTCGACCCAAGCAAGGACTATGCGGACGGTCTTTACAAGGCCACCATTGCTCAATGTGTCACCAAGACTTTGTCTTCAGCTTACATCAATCGCGATGACAAGGATGCCGCTCAGGCCAGCTCGTGGTTGAAAGACTCGATGCTAGTTCTGATCACCAAGGTCTTAAATGACGATCCCGCTATAACGGAGCCTATCAGGAGCAATCTGAAGAAGGACCTAGCCGAGTTCCAGAAAGGCGAAGCAGTCTACGACAATCTCAATGCCGAACAGAAGGCAGCTCACATCATGGAGGTTGTAGCGACGCTGACAGTCAACCTGAGCGGCTGGATGAGTGCGATCGGGAAAGGTCTGGGCGCCGCATTCAAACAATTTTCGCGCTGGGGTAGGGCAACTGCCATCTTTGATGCCGGTCTTCAGAAGCTATTGCCAGCGGCAGCCGGTAGGACTGCGCTTCTCAAGGGGTTATATAGTATCGCCATGGTAAGTCTGCCGTTCGCGAGACTTGTTGAACCGTCAGCTGATCAGTTGGTCGATGCAGGTCGGAATGTATGGTTACATGGCGTACTCTCAGTTTGCACAATGGAGCACGGCTAAACCGGAAGCGAAGGCTTCAGCGATCATCGCTACCTTGACGCTGGCTGTGGAGAGCGCCAAAGTGTCATACAGCGCATTCCAAAGCGTCAAGGCATGGAGGCAATCAGTTGCAGATCGAGCACAACAGCAGGTTGACGCCGTCATTCTCGACGACTCATTCGACATAGTCGCTCGCAAGGATTCGTCATTCTTGATCATCGAGAAGGAATTGCAAGCCGAATTTCCTGAGCTCGGCATACAGGAAGCCATTGGGGAAAAGATCGCAGAGAATACTGGAGCGACGATTTACGATCCCGATCTTGACATGGAATATGACGAGATGTTCGACGTACCTCTCAACGAGGTCGAACCAACCCTTCCAGCCGGCAAGGTGTCTAGCAGATTAGCCAAGGCGTTCAATACACCCGCCAATTGGTTGAAGGCCGCCAACATCCTCCTCGGAGTGGCCATGACAGTGACTATGTCGATCAGCTTATACCGGAACTGGGGCGATCTGACCAAGACCGGCAAGGCGCTCGGCGTGGTCCAGGTAGTGATCCAGGCGCTGACGGTGATTGCCGACGTGGTAGCATTTGGCGTCGATATTGCTGTCACCGCTGGCGTCATCGCGGCTGATTGCACTTTAGCCCTGGCCATACCTTTCGTTGGAGCGGTGCTCGCTGTTATCGGGGTGGTCATTCTCATTTTGTCTCTGGCTCTGACAACGCAAGAGAAGAAGGACCCTCCGCCTACCGTTGTAGAGACCTTCTTGTCCGACAAGGGACAGCCATGGGTTGCGGGACTCAAAGTCAATCCTCCAGCCCAATCGCTGCGATACTTGCCCGAGAAGAACGATTACACGGCGGGATCTCAGCAGACGGTCAAGATTACAATTCAAAACCCTTCTGATAAGAGCGTCGAGTTGAACGAGACCCGACTCAGCTTTGTGGGTGGCACGGGAGACAACGATCTCTTTACGGACACAACTCTCGCGCTCAAGACCCCTGCCCAAGACGGGCCTATCGTAGCCTCTGTTGACGGCTTGGTCTCGGCTAAGCTGGTTCCGACCATCAAAGGCGAAAACACGTTCTATGATCTGGTATTGAAAGGAATCGGTGGCGCCTCGAACACGACCAGCCATCTGATCATACCTGCCAACAAGACCTTTACAGTCGAGATGGCAGGAACAATCAACAAGGCCGGCAAGACCATCCTCGGCATCGTGGAGACTCTCTCAAACGGAGACCGCTGCCGGACGGCTCCTGTTTTTACCCGCAAATGACAGTTCGAACGAAATGACAGTAGTATCAGATGATCGCGTACCTTCGGATTACAGGCCTGAAAAAACAAGAAACAATCGAATCTATATTCGCAACTTCGTGTTTGTATGTTATCAATCTGTAAGAAACCTCTGTCTGTGAATGCAGTGTGACCCTTTGCACAAGAGGCAGGAGTGGCGTCAGTTTCATCACCGATAGCCAAGTATAAGTGAGACGAGACTTGCAATTCATCAATTTGATGTTCTTCCTTTCAAGCGTGATGTAGACTGTCGTGATATGATTTCGACCAATGTCCCGCAACATACACTGCAATCCGCCCCGAAATCCGTGGTCCGTTCAAAAGGGGATTTGCGCGTGTGACCTAAATGCCGGGTCCCGCGCCTCCAACCCAATGTAGTCGGCCTATGCCTCCTCGATGATGCGGTAAGAGTCGCATCAGAATGCCTCATATCAGAAGTGGTTTGGTGAGGATTGCGTTTCCTCTGAGCAAAAGACTTACCTGTAATCGTACACTTGATCGAGGGGCCGGAGTGAAGGGGGTCTCTCAAACTCGTGATCAGCTACTGCTGTCCGGACAACGTATCTGGATGAGGGACTGCGTTTCGATGCTCTTCCGCGGGAATGACGCGTCTGATGGAGACAAGGCAAATCCTCAAACGCGAGGATCTTGGCGCGACTACTGTAACAGTATGATTATATTCAACGACAATGACCTGACTAACTAGGATATGACAATAGAACCTCGCTTTGTGTGTGCGTGCGATACTGGCGAAACGATACATAATAATTGCTTGAGTTGCTAAACTGACGAACGGAGAGCAATCTAAATTGAAACAGTCTGAGGGAGATCAAACGATCGAGCTGATCAAGCTTTAGATGGCCCGACCGATCTGACCGGACGATCGGTGCGAGTTGACGTGATCGGTCGGGACGGGGGGTGCGTCCCTGCTGGACCTCTGTCCTACGGGTCGTCCGGGCGAAGTGGCGGAAAAGGACGATTTCCTAGGCTTGTGCTCTACGTCGGTGGCGATCCGCATAGCGTTCGAACCGGATCGAGACGAGCTCGAGACGTGGCCCCGGTCGACGTTGCTGCTGTTGCTGTTGCCTACAACGAGACGTTCACCAACAAGCTGGACCCAGCCTCGTCGACCGACGACAACGCTCTCCTTCTCGATGGCCTCGTATTCGATGCCACCGACGCTCTCGATCCAGCGTTCCGTGTAGACGCTACCTTCGCTTCGGTCGATCTTGGTTCCGAGGACACGTTCGGCGGCCTCGTCACCGATGACCTCGCGCCATTGACCTTGAGCGTCCTTGAACAGGTGTCGAGTAGGCAAGATGGTCGGCGAGGGGTCGTGAATGGGTTGGATGAAGGGGCTGCGAAGGGGCGTGTGTCAGCTGTTGTACTGATGTTGTGAAAATACGCCTGGCTAGACTCTCTAGATGTGGTACTTGTGGATGTCCCTGAAGATCATAAGCTCGTAAACCTCGGTCTCGATGATAGCGACGTGTTCCTGCGAAATCAAAACATGAATAGGGTCAGACTCCACTACTCGCAATCCTGACACATGCGCCTCGACAACCCACCTGAATGACGGGCTCCAAAACCCTCGACTTGACATCCACGGTATCCAACACGCCCACCTTGCTCTCCCACCCAGCCTGCTTGAAGACCTCGACGCTCCTCTCATCCAGACCGTTCCTCGGCTTGATCCCCCTGGCGCCCGAACGCTCGGCGACGGCCTCTTCCCTGGCGATCCGGCTGACGAGCCCTTCCCGCTGGTTGATCAGCTCTCGGTCCCTCTCCGTGGTGGAGACGGGGATCCCGGGGATGAGCGGGGTGTACTTGCCAGGCTTGGAAGCTCCGGCTCCGATCCGGCTCATTCGGGAGTGGGTGAAAGAGTTGCTAAGGAGGGCGAGGTGGCGTTGGATGTGTTCAGGAGAAGGGTCGGTCGCCCCGGGAGGCGAGGGGTGGAAGGCGTATTCCCTGATGGGGATGTAGGCCGAGAGGGCGCTCTGGGTCGAACCGGCCGTGGCGAGCTCTCCATCGTGTTGACCCTGACCTCGAGCGACAGTCCCGATATGGTTGGGCTCCAACCGGCCGACCTTGGATTGAGCGGTGACGAACCGCCTAGATTCCTCGGCGATGACCTTGGGATCGGTAACCTTATAAGGCGCCAACTGTCGGGGAGTCGTCAACTGATGCTGCTTGATCAACGGACCCGATCCGATCTCCCTCCATTCCGCCGGTTTCTCGGTGCTCCCAGCGACATCCTTGCTACCGAACCCGAGACCGTGTCGGTGGTTTTCGACGGGAATATAACCCATCGACCCGGCATCCAGCTCGAATCTCTCCCTCAAACCCGGAGCCGGTGCAGACCCGCCCCCTACGGATCGGCCCAGGAGACCCGCTTGAACCTCGTCCGAGAACGCCGGGGTCTGGGGGACCGTCGGCAGAGCAAACGTCCCGTGAGACCTAGGAAGGCCGGATTCGGATTTGCTGGAAGATGACGACGAGGAAGTCTTGGGAACGATGGGGAAGCCGTCGGCGTCGAACTGGTTGTTGTTGTTGTTGGCGACGTTACGGGAAGAAGCTGGGACCTTGGAAGGCGTCCTCTGAGCCGCAGCCACGGGTTCACGAGCGTGTTGAGCGTGATCACGGTCATCCCGCCCATGCGCTCCGGGAATAGGGGGCAAACCCTTTCCTTCTCCTCTGCCGGTCAACCCAGATCCGGTCCTCCCATGACCTTGATCGAGGTTCTCTCTCGGTGCATCCCTAGACTCTCGTTGCTGATGCTGCGGGGCCTGCGCAGCCTGATGAGACTGCTGCGAGTTGCTGTTGTTGCTAACGGGATCACGTTCGAGAGCCGCATTCGCATTCCTCGCAACCTCCGTATTGCCATCGACGTGATTATGAGCGCCTACCAGTTCCTGCCCCCTAAACCCGGTCCCTTCCCCGCCTTGTTGTTGAGGCTCTCGAGAAACGTTCGAGGAAACTCGAGGTTGGTCGACACTCTTCCTACTATTATGATGGTGGTGGTTGTCGGAAGAAGCTCGACCTTCGCGGATTCCCGATGACGAGGTCGGAGAAGGAGGGTTCGAGTTGGAGCCTCGTCGGAGCTTGAGCTTTTCGAATACTGAGGAGAGGGGCATCTTGCGATCGTGGAAGAGTCGAGGTTTGAGAGAGGTGATTTGTTCAGGAGGTTGTGGGTAAGAGAAGAGAAGACCTAGGTGCGATCACTCGAGGTTCTGATGAATTGGAGCTGAGGGATACCGGTTACGACGTGTAGATCGTAGGTCTGCACAGCTGACGACCGATCGACCGAGGATGTCGAGTTCGGTTGAAAGAGGGGTGAATCGAGGTTGTAGATATGGATAGGACTAGGACGAAGCTGATGGGTTATGCCGACAAGCTAGAAGTCGAGCTAGAGAAGAAAGACTAAAGTGAAACGATAATCAAATCAGAGCACCAGTAGCGTTGTAGGGGGGTGGGAGCTGCGAGAGGCAGGGGAGTTGGTGCGTATATAGCGATCGGGGGGTGGTAACCACGCGGTTCAAACAGATCGAAAATGATCGACCAGCTCGGGGGGGAGCGGACAAGGGGCAAGGGGATACTGCAGGATCGAGAGGTCGTCGTATACGGTGTTCCCAGCGGTTGCTGTGTGGCTATGGGGGCTATGGATCTATGGAGTTGGTGGATGATTCGAGCAAAATCTCACGCAAAAGACGTCGGTCGATTTTAGGTCTGCAGGAGTGAGGTGATGACGACACCCATCTCTCCTGCCTCGGAGCGGAACCTGAACGACCCGGCAACAGATACACTTGGACACCGAGACAAGATCTCGTCCGTCCTGTTTCTCCCGGTGACAACTAGCCACGAGCTGCAAGCTGCAAGCTGCAAGTGAACCCGGGCGGCTGCTACTAGCTACCAGCGACTGCGAGGACAGAAAGACGACGCGTACAATTCGTTCAACGAAGAGATCGATCCGAGCATCTGCTGCGCAATTGACAGACTACGAGGTAGACGCGAGATGTACATACAAGATCCATGTCCAAAAACGTCCCAGATTGAATGGGGTTGCCACTCTGAGCTTACCTGGGTCGCCTCGCCGTGAGATCTCGTGTCAATATCCACCCCCCACCCGACTTCGCAGCAACTGAAAGGTTGAACGAGTTTCCAACCCGTGGGTGACAGGGTTCGGGTGCGATGACGTATCCAACCTCGGGCAATGATGACGAAGGCGCGAGGGGGGGAGGGGGAGGGTGCGTAACCGAGGGGCGAGCATTCTCTGGTCCCTGGATGTATGCCAGCGCGCGCTGTTCAGATCGTTCAGACACTACTGTCAACGTCACGGCGTCCGCTAGGATGGGACCATGTCATCAGCTTTCGATCGGGTGCCAGTCACCCCCTTCGCGTGGGTTGACGTCAAAGTCCGGGTCCTCCTGCGGCCTCTGCCGGTAGAAACTCTCGAAATAACAGAGGGCGCGAGGAGGAGGGGGATCAGGTCTATGATGTCATCCCTTTCCCCCTCGTCCGTGCGATGACGACCATCACGCAAACAAACAACGAGAGAGGGAGATGGCTCGTCATCGCCCTCGCTCGCCCTTGGGTGGGCTAGTATATAGACCGGTCGGGTTCGATCGACCACCTGATCGAAACTACAACTATCACGTTTCCTCTCCTCTTCTCTCAACAAAACAATCTTCATCGCATCTTCTAGGCCAATCCCCTACCAAACTCAACTAAACCAACCTAACTCTCTCGAAATGTCTGCCAACACCAACGTTAACAACACTTCTTCCACCGGCGGAGTCGTCGACCACGTCAAGACCTTGTGAGTTTTCGCGCTTTTCCCGTCGTCCCGTTCGATTCTATCCCGATCATCCCCGCTTACCCTCGTCATCGTCTTTCCTCCTCTTCCCTCTTTCTCTTCCACGCCTGCCCTCACGTCTTTCGCCCCACGCCTTCAGCTTGTCGGGATCCAACAAGGCCGACTCTACCGAGGTCTGCACCGAGACTGCCCCCGCTGTCGTCCAGGAGCACGTCTCCCGTAACGAGACTGTCGAGCAGATCGAGGCCATCGACAGGGAGAGGCACATTCACCACCACCAGCACCGAGTTCAGCCCATCGTCGACCAGCAGACTTTGCCCACTCAGCACCAGTACAATGTCGTCCCCGAGGTTAGTTCGAGTGGGATCCGAAGGCAGATGTGGTCTGGTTTCGGTACTGATCTTGCCTTCGATGTGCGTTTACCAGGTAACCAGGGAGTCCAAGCACGACATGCTCCCCGAGCACAGGGAGAAGCTCGAGCAGCAGCGAACCCTCTACCGGGACACCAAGGAGGTCGGTGAGACCCAGCGAACCTTGGCTACCGCCCCCGCCGTTGCCGCCGAGCACGTCCACCACCACGTTCACGAGACCATCCAGCCGGTCATCAACAGGGAGACCGTCCAGAACACCCACGTTCACACCACCATCCCCATTCACGAGAAGATTCACGACGCTCCTATTGTTCACGAGCACACCGTCTTGCCTACCGTCTCTTTGGCCGAGTGTGAGTTTGAAGCCCGGCCATGTTGATTATTGTTCGCAAGTGAACACGCTCTGAGACGTCCTGGTTTCAAGCCGACATAGTCCAGGCCAAGGTTGGAGGTGAACACCAGCACAAGGACGGTGACCACACCCACGCCTACTAGTTAGTAGACCATTGCTATCTTCTCGTGCACGTTTATTGCCGTAGCTGATCGAGTTCTTGTCCCCGTAATCAGCGAAGGTGCCCCGAGGGTCGGGGCCGACGGATCCAAGCTCTCAGGGGACCACCACCACAGCCACCACGGTGCCGAGGCCGCCGTTGCCGGTGCCGCCGCCAAGAAGGCTCTCTAATCGCATCGTCGTGTAGAGTTTCCTTTCCGACAACCCCTCCCCTTCTTCCAGACCAGGTCGTGAAGGACCGGTCTTCATATAGTTTTTGAATATCAGCAACGACCAATGTATCGTCCAGACTTCGTACACGCTTATTAATATGTTGACGACGTGAACATAATCTGTCCGCTTCTTGACTTGCCTGTTCAATGTGACCGTCGTCCGACATCACTGTAGTATCCGACGCTCGCTCAGTTCTCGAGACATGGCGACGTCGTCTTCCAATATGCTCGTCGACTTTTGCTTCCGCAGGCGACGCGCTAGAAACATCCCCGTGGACAAAGTCCGACGTTTCAAAGGGACTTTTGTCGATGGCCATCATCGGGTTCATCATTCAGAGCTTCAGGCGATCGACCCGCTCCATAAGCTTCTTCCGCCACCCGATCGTTGATATGGCTCATGGTATTTCTATATATGTTTCCCGCATCACATCTATTCCAGTGCAGGTATGGTCGGCAAAGAGGGCAAGAGCGAGTGACAGCTGTATGCACTGTATCGAGGGGTTCTTTCATCCGTTCCTTTCAAGAGATCAAGAGAGCTTGTATGCACCTGTATTGAAGATTCCAAGCGAGAAGCCAGAAATGCGCCTTGTCTGGATCATGTGGGTTGTTTGAGGACCGGCATGAGTACTAGCCTCTTGCGAGTCACTTACTCTACCATCTTCGAACTGCAGGGTAATTTGCTCATCGGGCCCATCCATTTCGGCCAATCTTGCGACTTTGAACGGGACCACTCGACAAGGCCAAGAGGTAGAGATACAGTATCTCCTCCCTTCTGCGGCCTCTCTGTTTGGTTCTGGATGCTTTGATTTTCCTACTGGTCAATTGTCCTGATGTCAGCTCTGCGCGCTTTCCCATTTCTTGTGGCGATACATATTCTGTCGACGGGAAAGTTTCCGGCAGCACCTTCATCAGTTCGATAACCACGTAACGATCGGTTCTTACCGGCAAACCCAGACGCTCGGTAGGTCCTCTGATCTCCAGCGGGAACGCTTCCACTTCTTCAGGCCTGCCACCCGAGTTTCCATCGCGTGGGCGAGTTGGTTTTCCCGATAGACCCAGTCAAACGTGACAAAGGCGGCTAACCTCTCTTGCTCTGGATGCCTTTGCCCATATTTGGCGCATCACGGTTCATCGACTCCGCTCAACCTTTCCATCTCCGGTAACATGCCGCCCAAGTGAAAAGGAGACCCCTTGATCCTCAACCCATAGTCTACCAATCTGTCAAAGAGGATCTGATCCTGTTTTGGAACATCAAGCACAGCCTGGATTTGTAAGACGTCGATGACACCGTTTTGGTAGTCAGGTGTTCTTGAGATCCAGTCCGCCGCCCTCGCAATCCACTCCGTGAGGTCCTGGCGGTATTGAAGCTGACTGGCCATATATACGCCTTGAGTGGTTGTTGCATTTCGATCCGACACTGTCCGTACGATTAAGGGTCATAATGGACGGACGACTATATGGTTGACTTCATCAATCACTACGCCTTCAATTCGCCAGGACGCATAGGAGCAGACATCTGTGTCTGCATCAGCCAGATATTTGTAGTCTTGTGCACACTAGCGTGCCCTGAAGACGTTCTGGCTAGATACTCGGCGATGATCTGTAAACGAGTCGGTGGACCGTTGAATGAGCCTCGAGTGCGTCCGTCAAGAAATAACGAACAGTCTGAGGAGGCACGAGGCCGGTGTCAAAGAATGTGTAGACCTGCAGGTCCAGCCGTCTCTCGCAGTGTAGCTGAGCGAGGGGATGTCCCATTATGCGGCAGGACTGATGAAGAGGTTTTAATCCACCATCATAGCATAAAGGAGGCGTCGTTGGTGGAACCCGTTCGGTCATCAGAATGATCGGGATAGCCCTTGACACAGGTCAAGACCGGCGTCTCGCGAGCAGAGCAGAGCATATCGCATAGAGCCTACGAAGCGATGCGCAAAGCCGAAGTCCCTCCTCGTTCAAGCGAAGCATCTCTCAGCTAGTTCGATGCGCCTTGACAGTATTTGAACGGGGGAATGAAAGGCTTCCCGCAACCGATCAGCAGCATAACACACCAGCCGGGGCAGAATATACAATCCATTATACAATATCTGGGAAACACGTCGCCAAAGAAATCTATTTTGTACAACTTTGAGGTTGTTTTTGTCGTCAACGGTACGCCTTGTCTCAAGCGAGCAACTCGGGCACATCCACCACCTTGGCCGTCGTCTCGCCTCCAACAACCTTCTTGCTGTCCTCCAACTCGGCGTCGTAGCCATTCCTTTCGTCCACATGACTCGGGTTGAAAGTCCACTTGGGAGAGTTGGCCAGACCGTACTCTTCATACTCGGACTCGTCGATCTCGTGGAACCGCTCCTTGGTCCGGTTCCCAGCGGCGGGCCAGAAGAGGTTGAGCAGGTAGTAGACGGCCATTGACACGGCTACTCCGGTGAACCAGCTGAAGGCGTAAATCTTGGTGGCGACTTCGGAGATGGGAGCGGGATCGCCACCGGCAGTCACGACGGCTGTTGATTATCATGGACAATTTTGAGATTGTGAGCTCATATTACTGGGCGTAGTGTGGAAGGTATAGTGCTTACCATTGATGAATCCTGGCATGTTAGGAGCGATACCAATGAGATAAGCGATAAAAGCCCTGATGTTGAACCCCTGTCGAGCAAATCCCAGTCTGTCAGCTTTGCCTCGTCGGCTTCACAATATGTTTCACCGCGGCTAACCTTGGCATAGTAATACCATCCCTGAGGAGCGTTGGTGTACAGGTCGGTGATTCGGTAGCGCTGCAAGAAGATTACCATCGGGTAAGCTCTCCGTCGGTACGGTCAGCATCGAGGCGTCTCGTGACTCACCCCTTTCCTGATGAGGTAGTAGTCGCAAAGCATGACTCCGCAGAACGAACTCAGAAAGACCGAGTACTGCAATCAACATGGTAAAATCAGCACAGTTGTCGGACGAGAAACTTCTCAAGGCAACACTCACAGCTCCGAGATACGAAGTAAAGGCGTTGCTCGATGACATCAATCGCCAAGGTCCCCAGGCGAGACAAGAGATGACGCAGCTGGATATCATAGCGAGATGAATCAGCACCGAATGTGTGGTTGAGGAAGAGCTTCAAGACTAACATGAAAGAACCCCTACGGATGTTGATGTATTTGGGGCTGGTCGAATCAGAGATTGAACGTTAGCTATCTTGGGCGCGCGTTTCATCAAATCTACAATAGGGTGGGCGTCACTCACAACAATGCGGTCATATCACACCCCGCTCCGATCGAGTTGGCCGACAAGTTCAGGATCAACTGAACGTAGACGAAACAGATGGCGATGACGGCTACACCAAATCGCTCGGCATGGCTCGGGCTGCCATCGAGGAAACGGGCGAGGTGCTCGATAGGGTCCCAGATAACCTCCCCGTAGACCACTTGACTAGACGAGGCGATAAGAATTCCCATGAGCGAGGTGATGGTGAAGCCGAGCGGGAGAGTGACTGAGGGGTCGGAAGCGGTATGATCAGCTCAGACAGAGCATAATATCGTCGATTTCGAGTGCACTTACTGAGTTGAGGCAGCATCGCGTCGGAAGGCCTTCGAGCGTTGGCCGCGATATCTGGGTTGTTTGTAACTATTCGATAAAGAGAGGGGTGAATGAGTACCAAAAGCTCAAAGCGATCGACCTTGATTATTTCTACTCACCAAGGGTTGCCATATTACTCATACAGCTCATCTGCAAGTCAACAGCGGGCAAATTCAGTTAGAGGCTATCAAGCCGATAAGTGTCGGAATACGATACTCACCATAGCCTGAACTAAAGGAAACACAGCCGCAGTCCCTCGGAGCTTGGGCGCCTCATGTACAAGAGGTCCCAACCCTTTGCTTCGCACCAATGCCCAGATGAGATAGGTGAAACCACCGATAGGCGCACTGCGATGACATAATGGTTTACGTGTGAGCGCATGTCGATGAAGCGGATTGACGGCCGAGACTCACATGATGGCTTTAGCGGTGAAGAGGTGACGAGCCTTCTCGATGGGAGGCCAAACGGTCGGTAGCGACAACAACCAGTAGATGAAGAAACCCAAGAAAGCCTGGGTTGTCGTTCCAGAGTCGGGGATCCCGTTGGGGATCCTCTTGTAAGAGGGGAAGATGGCGGAAAGGAAGACGGACACGCATTGACCCCCGATCCAGGCTTGAACACCGAACCAGATCATCGACATGACCGTCCGGTTGAAGACCAGCCAGTAGGATCCCCAGATACCGAATGATGATCGAGCGACGGCAGGGAAACGGATGTGGAAAAAGGCTCCCTGGCGACCATTTGCGACCAGGAACGGAGCGGCTAGCGAGTAGCCCAGGACGACGGATATCAAGGTCTGCCACTGTAGGGGGATAAATAGATCTGTTAGCGTTGCTAGATGACGCGGCCAGACGGTCCATACTCACCCATGATAATCCACTGGAAGGTAGGGAAATCGAACGCGCTCAAGTTAGTTCTAGCGGTTCCAGACTCCAAAACGCCGGGAAAGACCAACCTAGCAAGACCGGTTGCGGCAATCGAGAAAGTGTTCACATCTGCGACGCAGTTGCAAATGGGGTCTTTCAGTATCAAGACGGTCGAATACGGTGCGTGAAACGGCAAGAGGCGTACTGAAGCTGTCGGCGATCCAGAAGTTGACATAGGAGAAACTGGTCCATTGTCGCTTGTGGGGAACGACGGGGAGCAAGTCTTCGGTCGCCAATCGTCGTTCGGCTTTACTGGTACATTCCGGTGGTGAGGGGATGGCGATTTTGTCTACAACTGTGCGGATCATGCTAGCAACGAGTTTGCCGTTAAAGATGTTTGCGGTTTAGGAACAGCCCCAGCAGATACGGTGTACTGCTCACAAGACTCCAACTCTTGTCGACTTATATGAGCAGCTTGTTCCGGTTGATATCTAGGCCGAGCGGATCGAGCGGATGAGCTAGCTCGGGAACGTCATGGGAACAGAGTACAGAGTTCCGGATCCAAGCCATAGATAAGAGCCTTGTCGCAGCTGGCTCATATCACGCAGAACGATATCTGTCATACTGGTCCCGCCGCCGTCGGAAACAATCCTTGCTGGAGCTACGGACCTGAAAGACACTCACGAGATAGCGATGAGATTACACGGAGTCAATAATCTTTCGGATTGCGCTAAGCGCATCTTTGCCCTCTCGGCGCCAACCCCCGCATTCTCTAGCGAATGGCGACTCGCTATTTGCGGGGGAATCGTCCGCGACGACGTCTCGGTCGATAGGATGGTGACGAAACGCCCGAGATGTGCGGCATCGGCTGACCTCGGATTAGCCAGCATATCGTGGCAATACGAATTTCGGGTCGGACGAAGGGTTGTACTGGTATACTACTGGTATTATTGATAACGACGGTGATCTACTAGTACGGTCGATGTGGCCAGGGCTGTGTTATAATCATGGCTGTTTATCGACGAAAAGTCCGTTATACGTATTTTTCGGCACTTCGAGGTTTGTCACGTCTGACATGCAGGTCAATGTAACTCACCTTGAGCGAGGATTATCATCATGTTGGTGTCTACGTTTAAGGGAAGGTCTTAGCGGCTGCTCAAGATGAAGTCCTCGATCTCATCAACGACCAACCCGGGTTCCTCCTGTCCCAGCCCATCGCATCTCGATGTAGTTCCCCCCCACAAACCAAGTAAGGGGTGTCTGTACGTATGCTTTGGGTTGAAAGAGGCGGCTTGGTTCGGGTCGAGGGAGGCTGATAGGTCCGGGTCGACAGAGGATTGTTGGGTCTGATTCGCGGGAGGCGTCATGATTGGTGGGTATGTGCCAACCCGTTCGATGTGAAAGTTGCCGAGACGGTTGAGAGCATTCCATGAGCTCGAACCGCGAGTATCTGTACCTGATAATCCTCTTGAGTATCAAAGTATTTTGTTTAAATATTTCGTAACGATCCACGATTATCATTGAGCATTCTCAGTCGTTGCTGAAGTGCTAATCAACTTCTTGCAATGAGTTGTCATCGGGGGAACACAAGAAGATGAAACGATGCGCGTTTCCCAGAGTCGACCTCTTGCCTCTTTACCGGCAGGTCAAGACGACCGCCACAGCCAGCGATCAGTGTACAGTGCAGTAGTTCCTTTGCATGATCACGCTTTTCATTCATCCTATACGGCAAAAAAGACTATCTAATGACACAGACCGGGAAAAAATCATCTCTCTCTTCGCCCACTTGACTCTACTGCAAACATCTAGTCGACGTCCATGTCCTCCTCGACCTCCTTGCCCTCCTCCATATCGACATCGTCCTTCTTGGCCTCTTCCTCCTTGGCAGGCGTCGGGGTCTCGGTCTTGGCGACCTTGGGCTTGGGCCTGTTCATGATCCCGGCCGAGGTGAACTGGACGTCGTCCCGACGAGACAGAATCTCGGTGGATTGGATGACGGGGTCGACGTTCTTGCTTCGCTCGGATTGACGGACGAGGTTGTCCTCGAGCCACTTTTGGTTGGTGGCGCACTTCTCGATCTGTAAGACATCAAGAGCGGAATTGTTATGGTCAGCTAAGATTCATTTTGACTTATATCTCGTGCGACCTGATACTCACGACCTTCTCCTTGTCAGCGTCGGTGATGTGCGAGTACTTCTCGTCCCCACTCTGAGCGATGCTCAACCAGTTGTTGACGACCTCCCTGAGCGCAGCCGCAGCCTTGGGCCTCTCCTCGCTCTCCTTCCACCTGTTGTAAACGGGGTCTCCCGTCTTCTTCAAAGCCGACAACTTTTCCACGTACGCCGACTTGCTGGCATCCTCGCCCTCGTCGGTGTACAACCAGTCCTCGGCGGCCTGCAGACCGGCGAGGAGCTCCTCCTTCTCCTTGGGCTGGACGAACGAGGCGTATCGTCCGTCGAGCTTGCCACGGGTGTCGTAGACGTACTCTTCGAGCGCGTTCTTTCGCTCCTCGGTCTCCATGACGAGCTTGTCGGAAGAGGCCATCTTGCCTTCCTCCTCCATGAGCTTGTTCTTGGTCTCCGAAGTGAACCCGCCGTACCCGCCGACGAGGTTCAAGGTCCCGGTCCTCTTGACCTTGCGGACCTTGCGGGTCTCTTCCTTCTTCTCGTCACCCTCGCCGGTGGTGTACTTTTCCTCCTCCTCGACCTCTTCGACGGTGTAGGCCTCTTCAAAGCTGAGGATCCCGTGCAGGTTGAGACGGGCCTTGACCTTGACGCAGGCGAGGTCACCGGAAGCGGTCTTCTGAACGCCCTTGACGGCGACCTTGCCGATCCAGGGGTTGGTACCGGCGGGGATACCCGAGTCCTCGGCGTACCTGGCCTCGAGCTCGAAGGGTCCAGCACGGTGGAAGGTCAAGACCTTGGTAGACGGGATGGCGTTCTTTCGGGGGAAGACCAAGAGCTCGGTATCCTCGTCCGGGTTACCCTCCTCCTTTTCCCAACAGATCTTGATGGCGTAAGGGTTGATGTCGTTGACGGCAAACTCTCGGACACGGAAGACGGGCGACAAGGTGGCACAGGCAAAAGTGGCTCCTCGGCAGATGGCCTCTTCGGCGTTCAAGGTGGTCGAGAGGACCTTGCCGGCGCCAAAGAACTTCAAGAGACGTTCCTTGATGGCGGGGATTCGGGTGGATCCACCGACCAGCTCGATGGCGTCGATCTGCTCCAAGGTGAGACCGGCCTCGTTGATGGCCTTTTCGAGGGTGACGGTGACCCGGTCCAAGAGGTGCGAGGTGAGCTTTTCGAAAGTCTCCCTGGTCATGCTCGACGAGGCGTCGACGTCGTTCATGATGCTCTCGACGTTGAGGATACCCTCCGAGTTGGCACTGAGGATCTTCTTCAGCCTCTCACACGAGGTCGAGAGACGGAAGATGGCCTTGGGGTTGCTCATGACGTCGATCTTGTACTTGGTCTTGAATTCTTCGGCGAAATGCTGGATCAACGCATAGTCGAAATCACGTCCACCAAAGTGCGGGTCGTAAGCGGTTCCCTTGACGGTGAGTTGACCCTTGCTGAACCCGACGACCGAGGCCGAGTAGTTCGAGTGACCGACGTCGACAAAGACGACGTTTCTAGCGTTCTCGACGCCCTCGGGGAGGTCGGGCTTGGTGATCCCGTATCCGAGGGCGACGGCGGTGGTGTCGTTGATCAATCGGAGACAGTTGAGACCGGCAATGTTGGCGGCGTCGAGGACGGCACGTCGCTGGACGTCGGTGTACCAACCGGGCACGGCGATGACAATGTCGGTGACGGGAGCCTTGAGCTCGGCGGCGGCCGTGTCCCTCAACTTGCCCAGGTAAGAAGCGACCAACTGGGTAGCGTTAAAAGTCGACGTCTCGCCCAAGTACTTGACCTTGACACCGACGGTACCGTCGACATCGACCAGCTCGGCGTTGATAAACTTCTTCTCGTACTCGTTGATCTCGGGGTCGGCGAGCGTTCGGCCGACGAGTCGTTTGAGGGATCCGATGGTGTTCTTGAAGTTGGAGGTTTCGGCGGTCTTGGCGGACTCTCCGATCAGACGTTGCCTCGGGGTGAACGAGACGAGGGAGCTGTGGGATGTGTGGCAACAAAGATGAGCACGGGACGACGGGAGACGGTCGAGTTCGTTCTGCGACTCACGGAGTAGCCAAGTTGGAGACCTCGTTGGCGATAACACTAGCGAGCGTCGACAATATCCATGTCAATTACTGTGGTTGAGGTAATGCCTCAGGCAAGAACTCGGAGCACTCACTCGATACCACGGTTACGGGCGACACCGATCTTTGATGCCAAGTTTCCGAGATCGATTCCGACGACAGACTGTGACGGGCATCAAAACTGTTCGTCAGCTACATATTCCGAACCTTTCATATTCAGCTCGACCTGTTGACCCACCATGATGCAAGTTATTCTAGTTTATAAGTTTTGGTCTGGTTGTGATGGAGCGGGGGGGTCGTAATGCGAAACGAGGTCGATTCGCTTTTATTCTGGACTGGTTCGTCTATGTGTGTTTGGTTCGAGTATAAGGAAACAGAGTTCTATACACAAGAGATGGGTTGGTAGGTAGATATGATTGGGATGAAAGGGAGTTGTATGAGGGTTGATGATGTCGATATCGACAATGTCCCGCTGGCCGCTGGCTGCCCTCGCTCTTTCGAAAGAGAATTCGACTTTTTGCGCGACTTTGCCAGAAAACACAGGTCAGTCGTAAAGAGTGATAACGTAAGCATGGCTATGACGGCGGAGCATTACGTCACATCACTATCAATCATCAACACCACTATGACGTGTCATCTCTACTCGCTTGGGCAATTGGGCAGGAGTGTTTCAGCTCGACAACGGAAGACCTCGCAGCGATCGCGGATCGTGTTACACAATCGCAATCAGCCACCCTCGTTCGTAGCATGCTAGCCAGAGAACAATATCAACTCGACTCAATACGATGTTCGCAAACACACTCACCTGCTCATCGCAGTGCATAAGGCTTTAGACCTAGAGCGTCAATCCCTATCCAAGTTCCGCTATCACACATACTAGCACGAGAGACAAACAGGTAGATCGCGACAAGCGCCACATTTCGATCACGCCGACTGACATACCCCGCAACGGACACTCTGCGCTCACGAACCACACTATCGACCCCTCGTCCCCTTCTTCCCTGTTCATCTGACTTTTATCATAACCATGCCCCTTGAATACAACACCGCCCCATTCCGCCGGAACCACGAGAAACAAAAAAGACTACCCCCTTGGCTAACTAAACACCCTGCGGTTCTGAATACGCTGAAGACAGTAAGGTGGTTGTTACCTCTCTCTGCGGGGGTGCTTTGGGCGGGAGCTTGGGGGTTTAGTCCAGAGTATTTCGATTATGGGGTACTGAGGAGTAAGACGGGGGGTGCGAGTGGGGGAAGGGTAAGGTTTGGAGGGTTGGGGTTCTGCGTAGGGTGAGTTTTGATTTTGGTTCTCAAGGGCTAGGGGTTTGGATTTGGTTCATCGGTCGGATAGAGGAAAACAAGGGATGAAGCTGATTGTTCGATTCCGATGTGTTTTTGTCCTTATCATAGGAACGAGTGCACCATCTCGCCGTGGTATGAGATCCCACCGGGTTATCTACCCGGAGAACTTACGGCCTATCTTCCTTGTTTGTTGACGTTATTCAACTTGCTCGGTGAGTCCAGAAATCTCACGTCCCTTCATTCAAAGTGGTCGAATGCGATTGAGCTCATTGATCTCTACGTCCAACCGTCACGGTACGACATCTACATCGACATCGATGTCGATATCAGGCGGCCTGGTATTACTACTCTGGTGTTTCTGTCGATACGCCACCCGCCCACTCGCCTACTTCCGAACATGGCGGAAAAACCGCCCCATCCACAAATCCGCCAAACAATGTGGAACCAAGGTCAAATCCGACTCTATGGACCTGTACACGACCGAACCGTTCACTCCCTACATCTTCTTCGACGCGGCCACACCAGGCATCCATCATTCCCTGGAAGCGTTCACGGTGATCAGTATGGGCTTGACGATAAGTTTCTTTGTGTCCTATGATGGAGAGACGGGAGGAGGGGTTCAGATGGTCGCAGCAGGGTGGGGGTGTTTTTTGGCGTGGAGAGGGTTGGAGTGTTTGTGGGAGACTTGGGAGGAGAGTGTGAGTTATCTGGAAAAGAGCGAGAAGGGGAACGGAGCGGGAAGGGGGCGGGAGGGGACACATGAGGTTGTTTAGGCCGATGCCGATGCGTTTCTTCTAGCCTCGTCGCATCCGGTACCGTTCAGCTTGGTACCCTCGAGGATTGATTCTCCAATGCGTAATCACAATCAGCCTTCTTTGTGATGCTGATGTTCTGGGCGACGGGTGATTCAGACTTCGACACCGCAGTCGGTAGAGACTGATCTGAATATGGAAAGCTCGCCGTTTTATCCCATGCTGATTTGACTGGAGCTGTCGCGCCTCTACCGGGGTTCGATTGATGAGTTTTTTATACACAGAGGTTCTTAAAGGGTAAATAGGACGCAATGCGCCGATGAACGGATTCTAACTCGCCGCTTACCGTCGCCGAGACGGCTTGTCCTTCGAGCGAGGAAAGCTCAGATCTCAACACAGCCTATATTGAATGTTCCCAGTTCCTTTTTGGCTATAGATCGTCTCGGTAATCTTTCGGAAATGTGTTCGTCGATCGTCGAAAGATGGACGGAGCCTAGGGTCGATATCGCAAATATGGCAATTTAGAGTTTCGATGATCGCGCGACCTTACGGCATTTCAGGTCGATCACCCTTCTCACCCGAGCTTCATGTCGTTCTTTCGGGCTCAATCGTCAGGTATATATGCTCACAGTGTATCAATAGACCTCTTCCATCTCAATAGAAAGAGCCGCAGCCACAGAGCCTGACTAGCTTGTATCCCGGTGTCTTGGCTCATCTCCCAAGCGACGCCAGCTGTCTTTGCACAAAAGCAGCTCTTGCTATCAGCCGGAGAATAGCGTCGGTCTCGACTCGCACAAGGAACGGCATGACCGGAGCGGACCTCCTCCCTCCGATGCGGGATGTGACCTCTCAGTTTCTCTCTGCTTGTCAAGGTGAGCCTGAATGCTGCCTATCGCCTCGCACCTCGGCTGACGCTCTGAGCTACGGGTAACTCGGGGGGACAGGGCTGCAGTTCGGGGAGATGGTCAAGATCCCGGATTTGGGGATGATGGAGGCTATGAACGCTCTGGTCATGCTGGACCCTCGTATGGATAGCGGGTGTTCGAGCAGTAACGATGAGGATAACGAGAAGGCAGAAGACGAGCTCTGCGGGTTGGACCTTAGTCCCGCGGTCGTGTGCGAGATTATGGATAGGTTGATGCGGCTCGAGGTAAGTCAGAGTTCCCGGTCGGCAGAGCTAACGTGCCTGGCTATAGTTTGAGATGGCTGACCTCGATTTCTATCTTATCTGCGGATCTGGTTAGATGACCTACCATACCGGAGCCCCCCTCGTCCAAACCCTCTTTACATCCCGGTACCTCCTCCAGCTCAATCCGCTCACCTCCCCCTTATTACAAGCCCAATCCGGAACGGACAACAACCTGTTATATCACGTCATCATCCCCTACATGCACGCACTCAGGTTGTGCATGTATCTCGTCTGGAACGAACTCACCAGGGGGCATGTTTACGACGGGGAGGATTTCATGAGCGATACGGCTGGGTTGTGGGAGGGCGGGAAAGAGTGGTCGGTGCCCCGGTTACACGAGAGGGGGAGAGGAGGGAATGGGATGAGAGCTGGAAGTGCAGGTGCAGGTATGAGAGAGGAGGAAGGGATGGACATCTTGGGGTATGATGAGTGTGATTTGATGTTGGAGGATGTCGTGGAGCGGATAGACGCTGGAGTCGAGTGGTTGGATTCGGCAGGATGTGAGTAGTATAACCGAGGATAGATGTTCGACGTTGCTATGTTGCTGACAATTCGGTTCTGCGTGACGTTGCGTAGACCCGGAGGAAGAGGTCGCACAGCTCAGGGCTCGGATAGGGTTCCGAAAGGTGAGTCAATCATCATGGACCCAACTCAGTTCGCTCTTCCACTGATGTGAACAATATATCCCTTGCTACCTCTCACAGAACTTATTATCACATCTGATCGTCGTTCTCGCGGCCTCTTACGAAACAATGCCCATCCCGTACCCAACGAAGCCCATCTCAGAATCATACCATACCCTCGAACCTTTCCTCACCCGCCCGACTGCCATGAACGAAGAGGAACAGGCTATGGTCGACCGAACATTTGATGGAGCAGTCTATGCGAGGTTTAGGCAGATCATGCCGCTGCCCAAGATTGAGATTTTGGAGGGCAAACGGTTTACGGACAGGTTGGGGGATCTGGTGAGGGATATGGAATTGTGCGAGAGATTGGCTCGGGATGGGGACCTTGATGAGTGGGAGGTGGGTGGTTGGGTTCTCGAGGTGTTAGAGGTTGGAAGCCCGAAGCTAACTTGAGGTACGGGCTTGATTAGCGAGAGTTGATTGCGCTGTCTGTGGGAGAACGGCCGACTTTGCCTTTCGTGCGGTCGTGCTTGGTGGTAAGCAAAGATCATTTGTGACGTGTTCAAGCCAGTGCTGACTCGGTTTCCATCTTGTACAGTCAAACCTCACCCCTACACCGATAACCCTCGTCACAGGGTTGGCACTACCAAGAAGCGCCATCCGCGACCACTTCTTCAAGCAAGCCGGTATCGGTCTTGATGAGCTGGAACAGATTGGGGAGGTGATCGCGATGGACGATCCGGCTGCCGGGCGGGATTTCGAGCGGTGGCAGAAATTGCTCAGCGGGGTGAGTTCAGGTTGCTGTCAGGTTGTCCATTTGATCAGACGGTTGCTGAGGTGTTCGGGTTGGTAGCACTGGCTAGGGTACCTTTTGAACCTGCTGCATAACCGTTCGCGAACGCGGCGGAGTTTATTGTCATCGATGGAGAACTGGGACGACCTTCGTGGAAAATTACCACGTAGCCCGGCCTTCCGTCAGACCGACTTGGACACCTTGGAGAAAGCGCTCGAGAGACAAAGGTTGTTCATGGGTCTACTAGGCATGTTGGGCGGGCTTGATAACGAGCTCTGGCCACCGGGACCTGTTGGGCGGGGCGAGGATGGGAAGCTTGGAGCTGGGGGACAGCCGGAACAGCTGGCGATGATCTTTTGGTGGATCAAGAACATCGCTGAGCGTTATCTCGAAATCGTCGAACCCGGCGAGTCTATCAAGGCGGATGATTGGAAGACGTTGTGGATGTCGTCCTGGTCACGCATCTCCAACGGGATGTTTCTGGTGAGTCGAGGTGGCAGCTTATGTGTCTGCTCTCGCTGAATCGATCTCGGTGCAGGCACTCTCCTCAATCGAACAGCGCGAGCTCAAATCAATACATGCGGCTCCGCCAGCAGGGAAATCGAGAATGCTTCGCCCCCGTACTAAAGACATTTTCGATATCAGATTTAAGCACTTTACGGGAGCCGGTCCAAGCCTGCTCGGTCGGGAACGTCTCACGGCTTGTTGGTCGCAATGGCGGACAGAGTGGACGAGCCTTAAGACAAATCCAGTGAATGGCTGGCGGCTCGAGATCTTTCCGTTTCTGAGCGCTGACAATGGGCATTATTTGCTTTAGTATGAGAAAGAAATCCCCGGGGCGGCGTTTGTCCATCAAGCAATCGCAGTGCTAGAGTCGCTTGTCGAGACGCTGCACGGTGGGCTCTTTAAGGTTATTTGCGGCAAGTTAGTCTACTAGAGCTCAGGCTGAAATATGTTTTGTGAAGACTTTGTGCATTACAGTTGGTGAACGATTGGAATCTCTGCTGGTCTTTCTTTCGAATCCAGAAAGGGTCCACATGGCAATGCCGAGTCTGACGCAACTAGAGGGGGACTGCCTGCCATGTTTTCTGCTGTGGATCCCGGTAACATCAACAAAACCTGGATCCGGATAGATAAGCAGGTCAGGGCGTATTGTGGCTCTTCATGGATGCCGCTTTACGGCCGATGACAACCTCCCCAAAAGACCATTTTGCAAAACCGCGCCAAAGCAGAGACAAGCAAATGAAAGCGATAGTCAATAGCGAGAACAAGGCGAACCGCTCGTGTACAGGACAAGGAGAAAGCTGGACCAGGCGATGATTAGTAAGGGCTGATGAGATGACATCCGCAAAGCACGACAGCGGACACCTTCTATGGTTGAGATGCTCGACGTGAATATTACCGTTTCTGCTGTCGAGCCTGATTTCTCTGATCCGTTCTTCATGCCTTGCAATTTGTTGTACTGCATCACTCGCATATATGGAACATCCGGACAATCACGTTGGAAGCTTTCCCCCATCAATGACGGAGCAGGGCTAATTCTGCGAAGTTCGCGCTGAGCCATAGAAGAATCTACACAGAGAGAGAGAGAATTCATAAGGTGTCTTGTGCCTGCGGCCTCTGAAAGACACTAAACACTTTTATCTTTCACCCTGAATCAACCCAGTGTAGAGTAGGTCGAAGCCTTACAGCCGCAGTGACTTCTTGGCGGGTTCAACAGCTTGTCTAGGGGATCAAAGGCAATATCGTCATGAAAGGACACTCAGTAGATTGCTCGTCTCGCACATGTATACTACCGCGAGCATCCAGATACCCCTCACCTCCAATAACCGTATAGCAGTGACCAGCAGCTAGAGAGGAGGACTCAGTGCACCATCAATACTGACCTCGATTAACACATTTCGCCCTCGAGCTCAATTCCAGCGGACCGCTGAGCCAAGCGCAAACGATTTTCATGCCTGTTACTGCCTGTACATCAACTACTTTCTGTACCACTACAATGCGTCTCCATACCCTGAACGCGCTTCAACCTAGATAAAATATGTGTAGATTCTGGGTTCGGTCCGAACGCTGGCAGTCACGGTTGTGTCTCCATCCGGAGTCGACTGTATCGTTTGCTGGAACCGCCAGGGATGATCACCAATTGTGACACTAGTGCGATCCCAGGTGATTCCGCTTAGGGATGTAGAGGTCGATGAGGAAAGGTTGACTGAAAGACCGCCTGACCTAGCTGGCGAGTCGTTGAGAGAGGCGCGGAGGGTGTCCAAAGCCATGCGACAGCACACCGGGGTCGCTTTAGACGATGGATCGAAGATTCCCCCATGACGTTCCATCCCCATCGGTAGAAACGACCCGTGCCATCCCCCTGTCGTGCAAAAGAAATTCAACCAAAACACTGATCACAACGACAAGACGACTCACTCGGTTTGTAGAATATGGCCACAGTACGGATGTTCCAGACCCATTCGACGAAGATGTCTGCCTGATCGTCCTTGACGACGGTGACGTTCTTGTCATCCTGTCCAACTTTCCTAGCATACGTTGCACAATAGTCGCGGAACCACTTCGCCAGATCGTTGTCCTTCGGGGATTGTCTAGCCTGTCCCGCTCCGGGAAGGTGTTGCTTGTCGTGCCAAAACCACTTTAACGTTTCCTCGTCTCTGAAAGCGAGTAGCAATACCATGGTCTGGAATCGCTGCAAGCCAACTTCAATGGCACGTTTCTTTAAGGAGTACGACGAATTCCCGTCAGCCAATGCCGAACGTTTGTATTATCTGAAGGTTCGCGCCCCTGAATACGAACCTCTAGCTGCTGCTTGAGTTGGTCTTCCTAATTTCAAGGGCTTCGGATCAGCCAAATCGCACGTTGAGGCCCCGGGATATTCTCTTACATCGTAGTTGTTCTTGATAGTACAGTCGAGGTCGATAGTACTGTTGTGACTCATGATGACAGGGAAAGAAGACGCGCTTGTGCTGTTTTCCGCTCAATAATTGTCATCTTCAGCAAGCCTTCCCGATTCCTGAATTGGGGCATTGATTACGATATATATACCCATCGATAATACGTGGTAGAGCCAATCGTGTCTTCATGAGGGATGATGCAAGATTATGGCCTCCTTTCTCGAACCCCTTGAAACTAGGCAAGGGTTCGCTCGCGACCTCCTAGCCATGCGCCGCTCATGCTTACTTGGTACGTAATGACAGTATCACCCTCGGCCTCTCCTCAGAAAAAGACGCGAACATCGTCTGTCGACAAAGGATAACGAGTTGCGAGGCTGTTGCGAGACTACACTACGAATACCCTATCGCCATGATGGCGTTAGATTTGCTCGGCTTATTATGGCGTCATCTTCACTGACATGAGGGCCTTGTTTTTTCATTACTTGACGTTTCAAAGAAACGGATATAGTCCGCTGCTATCAGCGGTATCGGACAGCCTCAAACTCAGCAACGAGTCAATGGCCGTTCTCATACTTTCTCGAGGGAACACCACCACCAACCGGGGCTTAGTTTAGTGCGATTCGGCAATGCAGCTCCCAGGCGCCGGCTCCAATGCAGCGTCGCCATTCATGTAGACTCGCCGTGCACGATACCCCTGGCATGGATGTCGGATTGAAAAATACAGTAATGCGTTACGGGTCCAATGATGCCTGTCGTTGGAAAATTGACTTGCGGATATTTTACATTATGTGACTTCGTTGGGATGATTAGGCTGAATGCTGCACACTAATTAGACTATTCTAATCATCGGCTGGTGATAGAGCAATCAATATACAGACCTTTCCATACGAGGCAAATATCCTGGACTCTTGCCACGATGGCAACCTTACCAGGAGTGTAGGCGCTCATGTGATCTGTAGCAGTCAACGATTATGTTTGTGGATCGGTCAGGTGGATGACTTCCGAAGAGAACCGTACTTTGTGCTCACAACAATGGACATTGCCTATCATGTGTAAAGCGGTGAACGGCTAGAATGATACGCTGATTCCAGGATGCTACTAGTGAATTGGTTTGCTCGCTCCTACGAAGTTCCGATCCGTCGTAGTCGTCGAGAATCGGCGGTCTGGTGCTGCTTTTTCGCCATGGGATCGATGGCATAGGTGACCTGAAGGTTCGTCGATCTCAGGTAAGAAAGCACGATTACTTTTACGGAATGTCAAATCTCCATGCGTCTCGATCAGACGACGGTTAACATTTGACGATAATAAATACAACGGGACAATGCGCCCTTGCGTGGAAACCAGTGATAGTGGGATTGGACGCAGACGGTTCGTCCGTAACGGAAACCCCTGAGCATCGCCGAGATAATGGGAGCCGGCGCTCTTTCGCAACGTTACAAGCGATCTGCCGCCCTGCAGGAGCGGGTTCTCGAATGGTCTGCGGAGACGTTACGGCCAGGCATGGCCGCCCTTCCCAGGTATCGCGCGCATCCCTGGATGGGAGAACGGCACTACAGAAAAGACTGGGGATATCAAGACAAGTGAGCTGACGAGTCGACGGTCTAGGGTCAACCTCGAATTGCATGAGGGCGATAGATGATATGGACTGGTTTTGTTGATAGAATTCGCTTGTCACAAGCTATTGTTGTGATGTCTAGATATAAAATGAATATTAAAGACATTGCTGGGGATATGGTTTAGTTGGTATAACATTCCATTAGCACTAATCAGCTTATCTTGGAAAGGTCTGGCGTTCGATTCGCCATTTCTCCATTGCTTTTTGCCCGGATTCGTACTGTCTTTTTCCGATTGTCTCCCTAAGAGCTTCAGGTCACGTGAAGATGTCTTAGAAAGTCACGTGAGAGCGCTCAGCGGAAAGTCGCTTTCTCACGCTTACCCCTCAAGCAACTGATTTCCGCGTGTCCTCTCACTTCGTCAACCACAAAAACCGCAACCTCGATATTCAACAAACCTCAACCCTCACCTTCTTCATCCTGCAAGAGACTTTACCAACGAAGAATACACCACCGTGAGTACCATTCTTTACATCTGTTTCTCTCTTTCTTCTTCCCGCCTTGTTCCCCTTCGACCCCATCTTCTCGTTTCCCCACTCCCCGCTCGAATGATTATAAACCTACTTGTTATCAGAATCGCTACACGGAGATTCGTCAGTGACAGCATAATAATTTATACCCAAATTTATGACACCTACCCCATTCTTTCTGCTCTTCTGATCTGAGATCACTACGAGATCGTTACCGAGGGGAAGATGGCTGACGAGACTATTCGCTTGCTTCGACGCGTTTTAGGTTTCTTTTCTTTCTTGCTTTTCGGCTCGTTTCTGGTTTCGAGTCGTAAGTCCTCTTACCGTACTATCTATCCTCTTCCTCTGTCGTCTTCTTTCGTCTCCATCCCCCTTTTTCCTACTCCCCCCTTCCCCATGCTCTAATACCATCACGCCGAAACATCCACCCCTCCATCCCGACGAAATTTATGATTAACACCCAAAATCAAAGAAAAGACAAGCATATGTAGGACTCCCCTCCCCTCTTTCCCTCGAGGTTCATCCGGAGGTTACGGAGGGGATTACAAGGGGACGTGGCTACCTTTTGATCAATACCTGTATGATTCCTGCTCGACACCTCTATTTTCTCTCGATCCCCTTCTGTTTCTGAAGCCAGCGTGTCTTTCGTCGGATGGGAAAGCTTATTTAGTTTCGAATTTCGGATTTTTCGGCCTCGGTTAGGTTCCTTTCCGTTAAGAATAATTCAAGTCCATCCTACGTTTGGGTGGATAGCAAACATAAACCGTGAGTGTCTTGCCCGATCCCGATTCTTTCCGTCTCCGTCTTCTTCTCCTCCTTCCCTCCACGAGAGGAACAGTCCACCTCATCGATCTCGCTTGTTCCCCTCCCTTCGAAACGCGCCGTACAAACAAAATGATTAAAAGAAAAAGGGTAATACCCCTACTTGACCAAACCCCTCTTCTCGCTCGTCCACAAACCGGGCGGGAAGATGGGGACTGTCGACAGAACCAAAATTTCTCTAAATTCAATGTCTTCAACCATATGATGTTTTGTACCTACCCCGTCTTTCCTCTTGACGAGGATCATCTTCTTGTTTAACCCCGCTCTGTGTGGGCGATTATGTTGAGGAATGACGCTGATTGAGACGGTCTTGTCCTCTTTGCGCGGGGCTTTTAGATCAGGCATCTTGCGAAGTTGAGAAATATGATGGACAGGGTGAGTCTTGCTGGTCTGTCTCGGTAGCAGGGAATATCGAGGCTGACGTTTGGTCACGCTCACAGCCCCTCGTCGTCTGTGGTCCCTCTGGTACGGGTAAATCCACCCTGCTCAACCGACTCTTTGCGGCCCACCCGACCAAGTTTGGCTTTTCCATCTCGCATACCACCCGTTCTCCCCGTCCGGGCGAGGTCGATGGGGTCAACTATCACTTCACCACCGACGCCGCGTTTGTCGAGATGATCCAGCGTGGCGAGTTTATTGAGAACGCCCAGTTTTCGGGGAACCGGTATGGGACCAGCGTCAAGGCCGTCAAGGACGTTGCCGACCAGTCTCGTCGGTGCATCCTCGATATCGATACCCAGGGGGTGAAACTCATCAAGTCGAACCACCCCACCCTGAACCCGGTGTTCCTCTTCCTCTCTCCGCCGTCGTTGCCCGAGCTGAAGAAACGTCTGACGGGCCGGGGGACGGAGACGCAGGATTCGTTGCAGAAACGTCTGGATGCTGCCATTGCCGAGATCCAGTACGCCGTCGAGGGGGGTCACGATATCGTCGTCGTGAATGACGATGTCGAGCGGGCTTATGGCGTCTTGGAAAAGGTCGCCCTGGGGGAACAGGTCGAGGGGGACAAGTTGCCCGAGTTTGGCTTGTAATCCAGGGCCAGGCGGGGTTTAGTGAGAGCGGTGGGTTATCAGTTTTGGTAGATGCTGGTAGTTTCAATTAGTTGTACTAGGGATATTATCGAGGGCGATTAAGCATACATTACATACCATTTGTTTAATTTATTTTACGCTTTGACCATCTCGCTCGATCGCTGTTCACCATCTTCGTATCGATCGTATCAATTCGGTCGAGGTCTCGGGTTCAAGCGCTTTGTTTCTCTGTAGGACGGGGGTCACGTGGTTCTACTGCTGGGAAGCTGACGTCACCTTTTACGTGATTGTGAGGCTGACATCTAAGTTGTCTATCACAGTTTCCAGCTTACGTAAGCAACTCTCACCTTACGATTTCAAGCTGCGAGGGTTGTCGCTTGATCACCATATTCCTCTCGATCCGACTTGTAATCGCAACAATAACAACAACCTTCCCAACTTTATTACCATACAACCATCAGACCATGTCATTCCCAGAACACACCCACCCGCCTAACATCAACATCAATATCAACCCCATGCATACTCCCCCGCCGCTACCGTTTAATCCGAACGCCCATCATTTCAATTCGGCCATGAACAATGTCGGGTTCGGGTTCGGGGGCGCGGGAGGGGGGAGGTCGGGGTTTTCTTCTGGGAATGGGCAGGGACAGTATCAGCAACAGCAGTTACAACAGTCGCAGCAGCAGCAGCAGCAGCTTGGGTTTGGGGGGTTCGGGGGGTTCGGGATTGGGACAGGGACAGGGACGGGGTTTGGAGCTGCGTCTGGAGCTGGGACGGGGTTTGGGTTTGGTAGGAATCAAGCTTCGTCGTCTTCGTCCTCCCCTTTCGGACAAGTGCAAGTTCAACAGCAGCAACAATCTCAGCAACAAGCTCAATCGCAAGCTCAATCGCAAGCTCAAGCTCAAAATCAGAGTCGGCCTAATTTGTTCCATCACCCTACCACCCCGGCACCTTCGTCCGCTACCACTACTACTACTATCAGCAATACTTCGCAATTCCCTACTTCTACCTCGATCGCCTCTCCCAGCCCGATCTCGTTGACAACTCAGAAACAACAACAACAACAACTACAACACCAACGACTACATTCGAACGGCGATAATACACCTGCACTTACGCCGGGAAGGAAAAAACGAGCGAGATCGAGATCTAGGTCTAGATCTTCTTCTCCTCCATCCGCATCCGCATCTATATCTATATCTACATCTATATCGCAACATAGATCGACACCGTCAGGGAATGGACAAGGGAATGGGCAAGGGCAAGGGAAACGTGGTCGAGATCGAGGTCGATCCAAGTCTACTTCGGACTCCGGGAGAGATGAACACGAGCATGAGCACGAGCGCTCGGCAGGACCTCAGTCCGATAAGAGGCAGAGGGCTGGAATTGGGATGGATCGGGACGATAATACACGAGAGAGGGAGGACGAGGGGAAGAGGGTGAAGAGACTTCGGAGGGACCCGTCCGGTGACCCTTCTGGGAGGACTTCAGACAGATCTAGAGGAGTTTTAACGGGCGAAGGCGATACTGGGAACGATCCTTATGTGCGGGATAAGAGTAGGAGTAGGGTTAGAGGCGGGAACCGAGGAGAAGTAGATGGAGAGGGGGAGGATGAGGATGAGGATGATGATTATGATGGGAACGGGGAAGAAGAGGATGTTGGGGTTCTGTTAGGTAAGTTGATCTACTCTTCCGGGGGCGTTCCTCCTCGTTTCATATAGGAGAGAGGACGTAAAACTGATAAACTCGAATTCCGCTTGCTTCCCTGGTGCATACCCACCCCTTCCTCCATCACGCGCTATGACCGATCCTACCCTCAACAACGCCCCGCCCATATCTCAATAGCTTCCCTCCCGACGACCTCCCTCCTCCCACTCATCCATTCTCTCCTCCAAACACGCCCTTCTTTAAAACCGCTCCTCTTGACACTGATCCCTACGCCGGAGATCGAGGATGTCCTCGGAGTGCTCAAAGAACGGGCGAGGGCTGTGTTGGGGAGTGTGCCGTTAGGAGAAGCTGGGGATGGGTTGGTTGGGGTGAGAGTTAGGGGCAGTTTGGGGGAATTCTGCACGGCGGTGAGTTTCTGGGTGATGTGAAGCGGTTTGGAGGGGATCGCTGATCGGAAGTGTTTTGGTGTGGCCGTGATTTGAGCAGGCGATGACGTACCTACCGAGGTTCATCATCGAAGAACCGTCGACCGGGTTTCAGACCGGGAGCAACAACACGAATAAGAACGCTACGAATGCGACGAACAGGACGAATAATCACAATAACGGTATGATCAACATGAGGAACGAAAACATTACGAACAACAATACTACGACAATGACCACAACGACGAAGATGGACCCCCGACGTGCACCCGTCCACCCGACTATCCCTCCGACGCTCCTCGTGCCCCTCTCTCAGACGATCCTAGCGCAAATCTTCCCCATCCTCCCTCCCAAGCTCAGAGTCCGGGAGAACGTTTCGTTTGACCAGCTCGAAGCGCTATGCGACAAGGTCTTGAAAGGGTGGACGACATGGGTCAAAGTGGTAGCCCGGACGGTCAACGTGGAAGGAGGGATGTTTAGCGAGGGGGTCGTCAAGGCTTGGGAAAATGGGCTGGACGAACTGGCAGGATGGGTCTTGCAGCGAGAAGCTCAGCTTCGGGCTCAGCAACTCCAAGGACAAGGACAAGGACAAGCGGGGAACGTGAACGCTGCTGGAACCGGGGCCGACGATCCGCGCGGGAAAAAGGAAGTGACGATCGAGAGGCTGGAAAAGAAGTTTGGGGATGGGCTGAAGAGGGTCAGGGATGAGTGGGTGGATAGTGTCGGGTGGATGGTCGGGAGGAGCAGGCCGGTCGAGGGGTTCGAGGGTGCTGCGGGGGAGGATGTGAGGATGGGGTAGGGCGGGCGTTCGTGTAGAGGCTGGCAAGGAGATGGCTGTACTGAAGGATCGGCTAGACTGGGGCGGCAAACGATATGGGTTTTCTGATTTTCTATTCTATACGACACGACGACGATATTACATGATGAGACTGCTCTTTTTAGTTTTGTTTATGGTTTTCTGATTTTTTTGTGCGATGTATCTGTCTCTTATCTTCAATACCATTCTTTGTCCGCTTCACCGTCTTGGTCGCCTGGTCAAGCTCCCCATCCTCAAAGGAGCCATCTTCCAGGCCTCCAGTGGTGTTCTAATCTTCCGAGTACCTGTCTCGCAATGATAGCGACATTTCAGCACTACTGCGCGGCCGTCAGCAGTGATACATCGACATACAAGTCATCATTATCGCTGGGCATGCCGAGTGTGCCAGAAGCGCCAGTCTCGGTGGATCCGCTAGGCGCAGTGGATGTTCGAGATGCTCGAGATCTGTCGTAAATGGAATCCCGTTCGATCGCTAAGGTATGTGAGGAACTCGAAATAAGGAATGCTGCTTAAGTGCCCTGCGACCGCCTGTACTTGCCCTTTTTCTTTATCGTCCAAGAGACCTTCTTCACCTCACGTAAAGTCACAGGCTCGATCTGCCATGTATCGAAAACTGCACGATCAATCTTGCTGCCCTCCTCCTTAAGAGCGTCTTCACCCTTGTCCGCCCACCAGCTTTTCTGCCAGTCCTCGAGGCGCTCCTTTTGAACTGCGCCGACCTTTGCGACCACCTCCTTGCCCCTCTGCTGGTATGTGATGACATAACGGTTCTGTCGTGGCTGCTCCTATCGTTATGATAGCGAATCAGTATCATCAAACGAACCTATCGCTTACACATTCCCTCTTGTGCGTACGGCTTCAACCTTAGGAAGGTATTCGAGTAGCGTTTTCTCATCCAATTGGGTTTCCTAGTATGCGAGGCCCGGTCTTCTCAGCAAAAGTGTTTCAGGCGTATATGATGGATACGGGAAGCAATAACTGGCTTTGTCAGCGGTCATCGTGTATGGGGAAGTACGAAGTGAAGGTGAAGAAATCTGGGAAAAGGGAGAAACGCGATATTGCGAGCAGTCACTGTATAGCGATGAGAGTCTAATTCCCCCTCGTATCCTCCTGACTATATACTGTCAGACTATGCCTGCTTATTCTCATCCGCCGGGGTTCTCCAAGGTATCTTCCTTTGTTCGTCGAGTGCGAGGAAGCTTGACGAACCAGCCCTGCGAGGCGTAAGGCTATAAAAAATGGCGTCAAGTGCAAGGACTGCACGTGATGGCATTCCATTGTTCGTCTGAAACTTCATGTCATAGTGGATGTGGAGTCATCTCGAGGGGTATCATCAACCAGTGGGTAGCCAGGGAGGAGGGTTTGACGGGCCAAGGACGAAGAAGTACACTTAGATGTGCAGGAACAACGATAAGGATATGCCGAATGAGGTAGGAATAGTAGATTGATCCACGTCATGTTTGATCTTGGCAACAAGCATCAACCTGAGGCGGCGACGGGATTCTCGAATATAGCTACAGAAGGACGCCCTGTCTGATATGCGGGTCATGTGATGAGACAACAGTCAGGAAGCTTTGTACCGATCCGTACATACCTCTCTGGCTGCGCCTATCGGCAGTGATCGACTGCGCATCGTTAAGAGACCGTGGCTCTCCATTCTCGATAGATCTTGTCTATATATCGATTGATATGGAGCTACAGTATATTCTATCATATATGAAAGGAAGACGGCAATACAGAAAGCAGTGGTGCTCTATGTTTCTGTTATGGGTTTTTCTTCTCCTTTTCTCTAAGCGAATCATCGTTCTCAGTCTTCTTTTCATTCTCTCTACCCATGTTGCGCCGCAGTTTATACCATTCCCCACATAGAATATCAGGCTTGATCCGTAGACGCAACATCGGTTCCGGTCGTCTGCGTGCTTTGATCGCTGTTGATACGCCAATTGATCAGCGGCGAGACTTCTCTTCTCTTCAAGCATCTATCACTTCTTACTTACACAGGGTCGAGAGGGACGACGGATTGCCCGGTATTCAATGTGCAGGTTTCCATGAACCCTTCATTCTGCGAGCCGAAGGTTGATCCAGACAGGCTTGGCGCGGCCACGGTATGTTCAGGTAACAAGGGTGTAGAGTGAACCCGCCGTTGATAGTGGAGGTCGATTTTGTTGGCGGGGGAGATGGCTGACTCTATGTTTTCGCATAAGGCGTGAATAGCAGGAACATCATAGGTTCTCAACCGGAGACTCACCAACGGTGAATTTCAAGAAGTCATGGTTCAACGCCTGGAATGTGACCCGGCAGCCACATTCAAACGGGCAGGCAGGAGGCGATGGAAGAACTCCGTCTCGACAGCAGTTGAGGCAGTAGCTACACCACTGCTCCCATGACTGCATTGATTGCCCCCATATTTGACTCGACTGCTGCCATAAGTTGTCCGTGAATAGCATTCCCCCTTCGTACCAGAACATGCCCTCCGAGGTATAACTGAAAGTATTCAGGTTAGAGGGTTTGCGGATGTCGAGGGCGAGGGGCCGAACGAGTTGCTAGCATCATAAAATGATGGATCTCAGTCAACAGATATAAAATAACTTAACGGTACTCAAACGAGGTTACTTACCACGATCGGGCATCCGGGACGGTTCTGTCATCTCCATATTCTCCTCAGTAACAAGTTCTTGAGGTCAATCTCGGAGAAGAAAAAAGTCTTACGGGCTGTGTCTGAGCGTAATAGATACACCAGTCCCCATCGAGCTTGCTTTGTGACATGTTCACTGAGTTTTGGCGAAGAAAGATAGAGACAGAAGCACGAGAGATGGATTCTGCGCTGGTTCCTGATGCTACGATCGATGTTGGCTCGCTCATTACCCTGATCTTAATATACATGATCGAATACCGCTTGCGTTCGCAGGCCACTGATCAGGTCCTCTTTCCTCCATTGTAATACGTATCAAGTGGCGCCAGAGATCACGTCAACAGGGCGTCTTTTGTTATCGCGTTCATCACTCCCGATGTCGTGATAGACATGCCGCTGCTCTGGGGTTCACTATGAGGCGTGAACCAGCCAAGTCAGACACCGGAGTCAGGTAAAAGTATCATTCTAGATGCCTAGTGTATGACGAGTATTACAGCTCCACTGAGCATACCAATACCCTTAGAATAGCGTTCGGACCGTATAGCAATGAACACGTACTCGAAAGGTGATCATTGTTCCTTTATGATGCCTTATGCTGAACGACTAGATCGAATAGGAACACGAGGGAACCTGCATTCATTAAATCAGGCCGGCGAAGTACCTATCGCGCTCACATGACGCAAGTGAGCATTATGGCAGTCAAAAAGACCGAAAGGTATGCCGTCATGGTGCTGTCCCATCTGTTCAGAACTTGATGGCAGCTGATTCTGATGAGTCGATTACGACCGGATTTCTGCGATCTCGATGTAGCGGTAGTCTAAACTCAATCCGTCGATCGATGCTCCCCCACAACCCGGAAAGGCAAAATATCGAGGGGATCGAAATCCATTAACTCGCCATCGTGGCTGTGTGATGGAATATGTGATCATGCTATCTCGGCAAGAGTTTATCAGCAGCTGACGACAATGGACGTCACGGCATAGTGGTTGTGACATTGCTATCGCGCTCGATCGATTGGTCCCGATGTTTCAAAGCTAGTCTCAGCGCGCGCCGATCAGATCCATTGCAAGACGGGCTCGATGGCGTTATGGGATGTCGACATTGAGACACACAAGGGAAGCTCGATTTACCTCGGGTTTGCGCTATCCCCGTATGCCTTTACTCGTTTGACGTCACGGGATGAGACAGGTAGAATGGCGCCTAGACTCGTGACCACAAAGGAGGGATGAGTGTCAACTCCGCTCGATTTGGCGCTGGATAAGGATTCATGATGCGATACCGAGATCGTCCCGGTGTACATCCTGTCTGGATCATATATGATTGATCGCCAGGCCGGGTTTCGGTCTCATTTCCAAGTAGACAATTCTTCCATCTATCGACCTCTATCATTCACCATTCAATAGACCGAAAAAGGCAAACAGAAATGTCGCAGTCAGACGAGGAACGCAACGAGGAACGCGACGAGGACTGCACCCCGCCCGAGTACAAACCTCTGGATGATCCAGTTTATCTGCTTCTGTACCCCAAACTTTATGTTCGTCCAGTCTAGTCAAGCGACCAGTTCGACCTTGATGATTTGTCTGACTTTTCTACTTCCTGCGCAAATCTTAGGCCGCAGCAGTTGCACTCGTCGAGCTTGGATCTCAGTTTTCCCTGCGATCGGAATGGAACTCCGAGGAAATCTTCTGGAAGAGTTCTACCGGAGATCACGGATGGATCGAGCTCGATCAGCATCGCTTCGATGACTGTATAGATGCCTTGCTGACTTTCAAAGCAGCCTGGGTTCGCAAGTACTTTCCATGTTACAGGTCAGGCGGGATGTACGGACATCATCTCACGGCCGTGAATCACAGTCGAGGGGGTTACCTAGAGATCGATGGGGACGAGTTCGAGTTGCTCATCAAGTTTCATTACAGTAAGCCTTCATTTGGTCTTTCAAATATTTGAATCGAATTGATTGGCGCATGGCCCGGTCGTAAACTAGCTCCTGTTCAACAAAATCAAATCGATCGGCCCGGGTTCTCTACAGTTCCACCATCGGTGACGATTTCTCTCAATGGCTTGACTTCTGCGACCCGCACTTCCCTAAGCAGTGTATACACTGCCTAGTATGCTGAATTGCTTCAATGCGTACTCCCCTCTCACATTGTATACATATGTCTCATCGTATAGAGTTGGAATTACTTTCTTCGTGCCTGACCAGCTTTCGACGGGGTGATCATTGTTGCATTTTGAGGTACGGTGTTGTCATGGTCGAGTATTTTCGTATTATTATCAGCAGACGGTAATTAGGTCATAAAGTGGATCGACTTGTTTCTCTGTACCCGCGTGTACTGAGAAATCTAGCCGTAAACACATCTGTCTCTCTTCTCCGTGCGTCAAGAGTTATGCCAATCATTGAAGCCAATCGCACAGCATAATACCTCTTACGAGCACAGCGAGGGTATCGATAGCTGGCGTACTAGTAATAGGACCTGTCCAAAGCCGTTAGACTTCAGCATCAGTCGGGATGTCAACGGATCCGTAGAGATACTAGCTTGCCCTTGGAACTGTCCGGCGGTCGTTGGATCGGTATAGCTCGTATAGCCACTCCCGTCATCCTGCACGATACCTAGATGCTGAAAAATATTAGGACAGGCCCGTATAACGAAGTCAACGTCGATGGTGGTTTCACTTACGTCTTCGAAGAGTAAAATTCACCGATTGTCCGTCGTCGCTTTTCTTGGTTTGAGCAAGATCGTAGTCGCCTCCACCGAAAGGTATCCTCATCTCTTCTGGCCGCAACAATTTAGTTGCAAGCTCAACCCAATAGTCGACCGTACCTTTGTACGAATGATCCAGGTAACAGGATTGATAACAACTCTCGTCTTCCAGTTATCCTTCCAGCCGACTGCTTGAGGGTATGACACGCAAGATGAAATTTGCAAAGCCGAAATTCAGCTTGTCGGCAACGACCTGGAAATCCACACCCGTCAATTTGAGATCAAAATTTCACCGAGCCAATCATGAGAACTTGCGGCAGCGTGATATCCGAATTCATTATCCTGGAACGAACGTATCAGTAAGTATCTAGATTCTGTCAGAAGAACTCACGCGGTCGAAGAACTGCATAGTAAGGTGATCTTGCGAGAGTAAGTTCAAAGGGGCGTGCCGGAGCTTCGAGAACCAAGACCTCGTTTTACGGGCAGACGAAAAAAGTGCACTCATATGCAGGAGTATATATACGCTCCTAGTGTTTTGTAGCTTCTTGATAGCTTCTTGATAATGACGACTCCTTTGATCGGGAATGAACGGGCATGGTCGGCATGACATCACTCATCCAATGCTGACTGCTTGTCTCGTCTGGGCCTCGGCACACCTTTCAATTGGCACGACATGGTCTGATCCACGCCGGAAGAGGGTTCTCTCGCCCAATCTCGTGACGAGTGCTATCATCTCGCTAAGATCTGGCGCCATTTAAATGGTGTTAGTCAATGGAAGGCCGCCAAGGAAAAACAGGTTCCCAGCTCATAAACCATGATCTCCAATCTAGGCCACAGCCGAAGGCTCGTTCATCACACAATTGGATAAGCTTCAGTGAGGGCGCATTCTCCATTGTAGGAGCCTAGAATGGCTGCATCGAGTGTGCCGGAAAGTATCGGCAAATCGGCATGACACGGAACTGAGGGGTTACAAAGGAAGTGCAGGCCTCCCGAGGGCAACCCACCCGTGTTCACGTTGACCTGCTTACGGAACTTGCATCACCAGTCGGGCCTTGGCGCTAATGGGTCGTCTTCTTCGTTGATAAAGCTCAACGCCACCGTTGATGAGTGAAACGCTTTAGCGAAATGTTAATGGCCTCCTCATGCTCCATTAGATCCCGATGAAACGCGTCCCTTCAGAAGCGCAGCGGAGGCAATCCGCGAAATTCGCGCTAGAGCAGAGCCTTGATCAAATACAGTATGACGGCTCCAACGATATGAAAGCAAGTCGACATAGTGGCCGCTTCTTGTCGGGGCCAGACAGTCATGGTTCGCGGAAGGAACTATCTTTCTTGTTCCCAATTGATCACCCCCAACCCTCTTGATAGCGATGCGGCACAGCATTTTAAGGCGGGATTATCGTTCGCGCTCAAGGAACAACTTGTGATGAATCTCTCCGGATGGGATATCGAATGGTCGCTCAGCCCGGCCGATTTCGTCTTGAAAGATCGACCGCTTTGATTAATTTGAAGTACAGCTTCTTTTTAACCTACAGATCTCTATCCGAAATGATCATCACGTGGAAGCTGCTTTGTCAAACTCGGTGCACAGTACGATATGGTCGTTCTTCCAAGGCCATCATGCAAGACATCGACATCGGGTTTAGTGAGCCGGTCCTTGCGATCGAATTGCTGACAATCTTCTACGGTCTTGTGAAGCCAGCGGTCGAGCCGATGTAGGAATGTTCTGAGGCTCGTCTGCAGCTTGTAGGATTATCCTTCTTTTTGCCTCGGCAACCGTATACGCAAGGCTTAGCTGGAATCAAGCGGCCATATAACGTTTCTCACTTGTAGATGATCTCGCAAGAAAAATGCTCATCCCAGTTTTATTCGCAAACCAATCGGGTATTGCCCTACGAAATATGTGTCGCCAAGTAATAGGATGTAAAGTTCATATATCCGCATTGCCTGTGGCAGCGAGTCATCGCTCGACTCTGGTTAGCCTGATCGTAGCTGGTAGACGCACCATTCAATGCTATAAAAGTGGTGAAGTATGGCATTGGGGCTGGAGTATCACCATCTGCGTCTTCTATCACGTTTTGATGTCTGCTGTGAGATACGCGTGGCAATAACATGTGCGGAGCTGGGCAACGAGGCAGGATGTTCCTCCTTTCATATGTCATCATCGACATGGGGGAGAATTCAAAAGACGGAGCCTCAACATCTATAGGTCCAGCTGCTATATCCTGCACGAGTGAGACATCATCGAGTTGAAGATTCACTGTGAACGATGATTGCCACGATGCTTGACCTCAGCGTGTAATCAAGCAAAGAGATCGAGAAGGATATCGCGTACCTTGGCATGTTCGTGGCTGTGTCACTGTTTCCGTTCGAGGTCATCGATAGGCTCAGAATGCTTGAGGCGAGATCTCTATGAACAGGAAGATCTGATATGAAGCATTAGATAGTAAACGTATTAGCCGCGCTCTGAAATGATTGAACGCTCGTCCAAAGCGTACTTTGGTAGTAAATCCGGAATTGATCCAACCCGTTCTCGGGGTCGACTTTCTTGACCCAAAGTATTCCTCCATCCTGATCGTCTACATCTTCAATAATATTTTCCTCATTGAACTTTACATGGAGTTGATTGAAGAGCTGAAGCCAGACAATAAGGTCAATAAGTCGCGTGTTACCGGATCCTTCCAGATTCTTCGGACCGGTGGCATCGGTGTGCCATATTGGACAGACCGACACGACTGATAGAGATAGCTCGATCGCAATCTGTACCTCCAGTTCGAGCACTAAACTCTTTTCTCATGGCTAGTGTCAGTGCTGCAGGGAATCATAGCGACCCCCATGGCGAGTAACTACTCACTTGCATCTGACTTCTTAGGTTTGTCAACTGCCGTCAGATCTAGGAAGTTTAGAAAGCGCGGCTCGTACAGGTTTTGGTACAAGGTTCTCACCTGGAACCTGGAAATACCTGTTGTAGGTATCCTCCCGCTTATGCCAAGGGATTTCTTCTTCTGACATCTCGGGCTCCAGACCTCTACGAACCGTTGTCTACGGTATACCTCAGGGTCCCGAGTGGTTTCCTGATGACAGAACGGCCACGCGAAGATGGCCATGTGTAGCTATATAGTATGTATGTTCACGTCTCCTCATATCTGCTCAGCTGTTTCTTCCTTTGTCGCTATCAATACGTAATGATGCCTGTCATGGCTGCGAGAACGTTTGGCGTTATCTTGCGTCATGTCGCACGATCCTGGCAGGCGATGTTTCACCCCGCCCAATGGCGCAAGGATAGCGATGCATTCATCAACAGAAGTACAAGGAGAATACAGCGTAGATTTCGATACAATCTCGTTTCAATGCTCTTCATACAGTCTTGGCAGGATTATCGTTTCGATCAAGCGGGCAACCCACGTGTGGATGCGTCACCTAGATTTCCGCGTTTGCTAAACATCACCGATCGGCCAAACAGCTACGTCTGCAGATCAGGCGAACCTTCATTGCTACTCGTAGTCGACGGTTCATCCCTCTTGTCTATCGAACCATGATATTAGGTACTGGCGGCTATCAAGATTAAACTTGCTTACTGCCGTAGAAGATCCAGACTCCATCGTTCCATCCCTTCTTGCTTCTTGTCACTTTCACTTCAAGCGGCCCGCCTTCTGCTTCGTTGTAGTCTCGCACTGTCTCCTCCGATTGCGCCACCCAGCGATCTTTGGCAAAGTTGCGGAACCATTGAATCCGCTCGTCATCAAGTCCTTCCTTGGTGGCAAGGAACCTGTCCAAGGGCATGAAATCTTTCTCGAGACCAATCTCCATTTGAGGTATCGATGGTCCATCACCGATAGGAACGAGAATACGAACAGATCTCTCCAGCTGTATGCGACAATCATCAACCAGATGCTATGTGTAATACGCCCCTTCAGTACACTGAATACTTGTAGGCGTATCAACCGGCCTGGCAACTTACTCGCATACGCAGTCTCACTGCTGTCATCTGGTCGTCAAGTCAGCCCTTTTGCTCGGGATGGGGCGGCCAGCTTCGATATTCTGCTCACATCTTGTGCAGTTTCGCACTGCTTGTCTTCTTTTCGATCGACAGAATCGCCCGCTGACATGTTCGCAAATGTTGACTGAACGCTGTCTGTATTATTGGCAGACCCACTGTGTTAGATTTACCATACAGAGAGATAGATATAGATGGTCCGGTATTTATATTGGGTTCGCTGCAGTATGGGCTCCTGCGTAGTCCTTTGTCCTCTTATCGGAAGGCTGAGTGCCAGGAAAGACGGTACGTCATACACGTTTCCAAGGCCTGTCTGTAGGGTCAACCAGATACGCGTGTACGAGAATTGCATCAATTAAGCCTCAATCATGCCCCTCGACTCTGACAATTGATACCACATCTCGATGATCAACGATTGGTGTCGGATAGGAGGGTAGTTTTGCTTGAGTCTTGTACACGACGTCAGAATAGAATACGAGCTGGACGATCTCAGCTATCGAACGCCTGCTCTTGTCAACCGTGACCGTTTGCACCATGCATATATTCCTGTATTTTTACTAATCGACCGCTGAACCCGGGTTGCTTCACAACAGGATACAGCACCTGGTTTGCCAGCGTCAAAACGCTGGAGACCGAGTATCACATTGCCAAAAAGAAAACGAGAGCATCACAGTACTCAGGTCGGTCAGGTGCGACCGGTAAAAGCATATCATACGTTTCATGGCATCAAACGGCCAGGGTGAACGGAACAGGTGTGGGCTGCGTCTTGCGAACGGACCTCCCATATTCTGAAAACAACGTTTCACATGTTTCCGGTTGTACGAGAGAAGCTGTAGGGGCATTGCGAGTTTAAGGTCAGTCCGTCTATCACATACAGAAATGTCCTTCGATGAAAAAACTGACATACGCATCGGACTGATCTGAGCCGGTCGAGAACTCCAAGTAAGACGTCCCGTCCTGACCTACTACACCTCGAAGGCGGAGTCTTTCGAGATTCTCTTGGTCCAACATTGAAGCCATCCGTCTTGAGACCTCTCTGACGAGTTGAACGTTGAATACAGGGGGGACCAATAGAGAAGGGTCCGTGACGACATCTTCATACGTGTGAGAAGGCCCGGTGTCGAAGGAGGACCTTGAAGGTATTAGCCTACCGGTCCCGTAGCGATACCAAGTTCGTGTGGTATCCCACTCATCGCCTGCAAACATGGGCCAGGATCAATCCTGATTCACTTGCTGGACCGTACACGATTGCGGAGGCCGACACCTCGATCGTTCAGGATAGGATCGCTGCGATACAGCCTCATTCTCTTCGGAGGAGTTGTATTGGGTAAAACCTACTTAGCGACAAATCCCGTGATTCTCCAGGTACGTTTCTAGCTAGAATATCGCTCAAGCGGCAATTGGTCAAGCTCATTTGATTGAGGGCCAATGCGGAAAAAAGTGCTACTTACTCGTCACTTCCCACGAGATCGTTACCAATGTGACCGCCATGTTCACGATAAGTCCCACCTCTTGTGCATTTGTCAGGTACGTCTTTCTGTCCGTACCGTCTGGCAGACCGAGGAGCCATACCCCGAATCCTCTTAGAAACTCATGAAGCGGGCCCTCAGACATAGTATGTAGACCTATACTTCCGTGCCGAAACACAATTTGATGCTGGGAGCCGACGATGGTTTCGAAATACAGGTCTGAACCGCTCAGAAGCTGAAGTTCATCGGCGAAAGCCTACGCTGAAAACTTTGCCTTAGCAGCTCGTTCAGATAATGTAAAGGATGATCGGCTGCTTACCTTGATTCTTGATAGCAGGGAATCAACCTATACAGCAAGAATATCAGAGAAGGAGTTACCAGGTCAGATTCGGTCGACTGGCCTTCGCGTAAATACGATGATCGGTATATATGGTCTGCGGCATTCGAGAGCTTGCTGGGTGATGTTTGCGGTCGATTGAATCACGGGCAGATCGTTCCCATCGCGATCCCGTCTCGCTACCCTGAGATGGATTTGGTACATGCTATATATCTGCCATCGAGAACCTGGCATGACAGGTACTTCCTTTGTGCTCTGATGTTGAGCTGCCGATTGGGTTACCGCCTGGCGCGCGCGCGCAACCTACGATCGATAACAGATGAAACTAGTGTGAGCCGCGCTCCTGCAGCTTCTACATCATCATGGATCGTGAGGTGACTCGGGGCTAGACAGACCGTGTACTGAAGAAGATCACAGATGCTGCTACCGTGTTCCTCACCAATTTGCCTTGCGGAGACCATTGGGGACTACAATCTGGGTGGCGATTGAGCATGGCAAACGAAATATACCGATCAAGTGTTTTCCTTCGTTTGCCGAGAGGGCCTTCATGTCTCTTAATCCGATACAAAACCTATGTTAGATCGCTCACACCATAGTATCAGACCGAGTGCGGGCCCTTCTACCCAGCGCGTAGTTTAGATCTGATCGAATTACAACATGCTCGATTGCAGATGCATAAAACAGTTAGCGATATGGCAAAATAAGATAGAATGCGAATGTTCTTTTTCATATACAACCGTCGATCTATGGTCTGGCATTTATCTCCCTTTAGACCGATTGTGACTGAAGGCTGTGTCTTCGCTGGCCGGCGTCTACGTATTCTTGTGCTTCTGGGTCCCACACAGGGTTGAGGAAGAGTCCAGCATAGTTGCGCGGAATCCGGGCATCATCCGTGCTTGCCAATGTATGAATGGTGGAGGACAAAGCCACTCCCGCTGAAGTTGCGGGGGGAAGAGAGAAAGCCGTAATAGGTAGATGAGGTGAATGACCAATGAGATATCTCGCCAGATATAGTATGGAAAGGCGGTCCGTTCACGTACCCAGTGAGTTCTTCTTCCTCTTCCGGATCCGAACCGAAGTCTTCTTCAGCATCAGTTGAAGCGGAAGACGTTTCCGCGTCCGTACCGGTCCCAGCTGGGTCTGAAGAGATACATTGATCTGATTTCAGTCGCATTATTGGTCGGCATCAAGGGCTTCTGCATTCGATTTAGAATGTTATACCTTTGTTGTAGAACCAGACATTAATTTCAGTGTCGTTCCATCTAATGCCGAATCCCAGCGCGACAGCCTGCCTTTGGAAGGCGTCTGTGTAGCTTTCAGATTCTTTCCTGTCAACCAGGTTACGGAACCAATCATAGAACTTGGTTAACCAGTCTCGCGGGACTTTCTCTTCTTCCATGTCGAACGGTATACCATCAATTGTCAGATCGATCGATTCGGGAGAGATCCTCACTTCCATGTACCACTTTTCGTCTGCTTGTTCCTCACCATCCAGTTCCTATATGGTGACACGTTCTTGTCAGATAGGTGACGGATCAAACAGGGATCTTATACCTACCCTCTTGGATGCTGCGTAAGCATCTTTGCTCTATAACACACAACAGGCAAGTCAGCGGGCGAAGATCTGTTCTAAAGCATCTGAATACCGACCAACGTCTTTAGCCTTTCGATCATTTGTTGTGCCTACACAGGAGTTAGGTCATACATATATCACTTTAGCCTGTCCTTTCCTGGACTTACCATGCAATCGATTTCAGCATAAGGATGTATCAGTTGGCCCATGTCACCGGATTGTATTATCGTGGAGAGTTGTATCAATTGGGCCGTGCGACTCCCAGTTCGACTGCGAAATGGACTTTTTAATTCAGGTATGGACCCTGGGCTATGTATTACCCTGTCCGCCCAAAGCTAGCTATGCTTCTCTGCACACTCCTTTCAGTATGACGATCGCGATTGTATCGCCAATTTAAACTCTGCCTTGCCTGTCAAGCGCCGTCCGCATACTTAGTGTTTCAACTGCTCAAAGCACCGTATGGCCAAGTTATAGTCTGATTCACCACTTCCTCTTGCTGCTATGTGAGAACAGTCTTTCATCGTACGGACCATTTATACACCATGGATAGTGTCAAACATAGGCCTAGCCGATCAATAATAGTGTATGAGAAACGACACTAAGGCCATTCGTGACAGTACAGCACTACTAAATCGAAACTCGCACAATCGCAAAAGCATTCACTTGTATACAGGAAGTCTGAAGGCTATCCCAGTCCATACGCTTTCTCATTCTGTTGCCACACGGCGCAGTCAAGGGTGCGAATAGACATTAAGTAACTAGCAGGGAACGGCGAGTTATAATTCACCAAGCGCTTGCAAAATGCTATCTTACAGGACCAAAAGGTTGTTGGCGGGGTAGCGAGATAGGATGGCACGGTTTATTCCTTGTCCAGGTTTGTGGCGCCAGGATCGGAGCGCGATGTGATTTGTTGTAAGGACACCCATCTTGCTACCTTGTTTGCACTGCAAGCGTGGCGCGCCAGTCTGAGTACGCCATCCGTCCATCGGATCTAGATGACGATGATATCCCGTCGAAGCGTCTGGCTGCTTCAAAGATGGACGTTGTACTACGAGAGAGCTCTTCCGATGCTCCCGACGAACTTGAGGCGGACAGCGACGAAGCAGAAGACGATCTTTGCTCGGTACCGTCTTCCCCTTGGGACTCAGAATTGTCTACAGTTATAGTAATCTGGGATCTACGGGGTGCCGGTAAGAGACGGCGGTTCCCCCGAGGTATAGGCCTACGCCTAGGTCTAGGTGTATCCGAATCAGATAGTTCACCCAAGGGTTCTGAGTCGCTCGCGTCCGCTTCCTCGACAGGTGAAACCGTATCTGCATCCAAGTTCGGCCCGGCATCAAGAGCCGATGTATCAGACTCATCTAAGAGGATATTCATGAGCTTCAAGAGTATTTCATCCAGATGCTGAAACATGAGACACACCTTGATTCAGGTAGGTCAAGTTCAGATACGGGTTTTCCCATGATACGCTGAACCTTAAAGCACTAGCCTGTTTTGTGAAGGCGTCTTTTTTCTCATCCGCTATGAATCCAGTGCTGTCCAGGAGCTTCATCCACCAGTGACGAAACTCCGTGATCGATTCACGCCATGTTCTTGATACGAGGAAGTCTCGTTGGCTCCCGTCGATCGAAACTCGGATCTGGTAGTCAAGGAGCGACAATTCAAACTTCTTCCAGGTGACGTTGTCGTGTTGTATATCCTCGCTTTCCTTCAACGCAGAAAATTGGCATCATAGTACCTAGAGATTGAGTAGGAAACGATCGCATACCTTGAGCTCAATAAAAGCCTCCTTGCTCTAGATCAAAATAGTCAGATCATCAGGAACTCTATGCGATCGGTGAAGTCCTGGAAACTCACCATCTCTTTCAGATTCCGATGCAGCTGTTTGGCCTATACAAAGATCATGAGACGGTTAGCGTTCACCCGTCAAAATCGAAATTAGACTCACCATTTTTAGACTTGGTCGGATTTCACTGTTCATGAGCTGGCCCATTTTTCCGGTTGGAATTCACAATAACTAGCTAGGCCTGTTTGATTTGCCACCGTGACCAGCCTTCCTACAAGTCAAAAGTCGATTTCAGATATCCCATATATACCACTATACAGGCCCTATCCATCTGCTTCCTGCCGGTTCTAGACTGGTGCTTCCATACATACCACGATCTCAACTCTCCGCCTCGTCCTGATGCCTGGCGGATCTGTCATATGATCATGTGCTTAATCACGTAGAATAAAGGAAGTACTCGATGACCAGCTTCGCCGTCGCTCCTTCCTCCCTGCCACGTCGTACAACCGAAATGACGAGCATGCTTCTCCAATCTGACTCGCACGTTATGAGCCCTTCCGGCCTGACAAACGCTGTGTCTCCCTCAATTAAGGCACTCAATTCAATCTATATGTTTCGTTCATTCTAGTCTACTACACACAAGGTCGCGATTCTGTTCTGTTTTTTTCGGGTAGATACATTCGGGTCAAGACAAGAGGATGGATGGCGGCGAACCGTCTAGCTACCGGTGCTACGAGCCTCGGCACCAGCGGGCGCGGGCTTCTTGTCGGCGGCTTCGCCCTTCTGCTGGATACCAGCGTTTCGGGAGGCCCAGTTCCAGTCCTTGAGATGGGGACTACCGAGACATCCAAGCGAAGTCAGCTCGATTCGTTCGGAAAAATTCAAGCGTTCCGCACAAAAACTCACACGTCGATACCGTTCTCGAAAGAATACGCGACGGCCCTGATCTGCTCGTCCCTGAGCTTTTCACGGACGGCCGAAGCCCTGTTGTTCAAGTTGGGCATCTGGTCGATGGCCTCCATGGCGAGACTGAATCGATCGGCCTTGTTCTTGATGGCGAGCTCGAGCGGGGTGTCAATGTTTCCCTTTTCCCTGTATCCACGGACGTGGATGTTGCGGGATCCGTTTCGCCTGTAGGTGAGTCGGTGGACGAGCCAGGGGTACGAGTGGAAGTTGACAATGACGGGCTTGTCTCGGGTGAAGATGCTGTCGAATTCCTTGTCCGTCAGACCTGCCGTATGATGTATGATGTCCAAGCGGTTAGTAAGGGCGATCACCAAACCGCGCGTCGTTTGGGCGACACACCGTGAGGGTGATCCTGGTGCGAGACCAATCGGAACAAGTCGACGACGTTGACGAATCGGATCTTGATCCCGGGCAAGTTTTCCTTGAGCAAGGCGGTAGCGGCCAAAGCTTCGGCGGTGACGACATCACCGATACCGCACATGACAATGTCGGGTTCCTACCAGATTAGACGCGAAAAGTTTCAGCAACAGGCTCGAAATCGCCGAAACCCCGAACCGGACCGCAAGGACTCACCTCATCAGGGTAGGTCGAGGCCCACTCCCAGATGCCCAACCCCTTCGCGCAATGCGTCATCGCCTCCTCCTTGTTCAAGAACTGCAAATGCGGCTGCTTGTCGTAGACGATACAGTTGACGTAGTTCTTGCTCTTGAAACAGTGGTCCATGGTGGACAACATGGTGTTGCCATCGGGAGGCAAGTAGATCCTGACGACCTCGGGACTCTTGTTGGTGAGCACGTCGAGGAAACCGGGATCTTGGTGGGTGAAACCGTTGTGGTCCTGCAAGGCAACCGGCATGTCGTCAGTTTCGAATGTCTTCGATGTGAAATACGACCACTTTCGCCGCCTCTCACCTGACGCCAGACGGTACTGGTCAACAAGATGTTCAAGGACGAGATCTTTTTCCTCCATTCGACCTGGTTGCACTTTTCGATCCACTACGCAAGGCAATCAACACGGGACGATCAGAAAACGTTTCAATTACCTGAGTGTACGCCTGGATTTGAGCAGAAGATGCTTACCTTGCAGTGCTGACCGACCATCGAGTCTACAGATCGTGCCACAACGCAATAAGAACAGATCATCAGCAAAAGCGATCGACGTCATTGATAACCCAGTACGCCCGGACAAGCCGAGGACGCCAACTCACCGATAATATGAATGAAAGGCTCATAACTGTTCAACAACCCATGCCCCCCAGCCAAAATATACCCCTCCAACCACCCCTCCACAGTATGCTCGGACAACATCTCCATGACCCTCCCCGTCGGGCTCAAATTCCCACCGTCCTCGTCGTACTCGATCGTATCCGCCAACCAGACCTTTTTCCCAGCCTTGTACACCTCGCCAAGCTTGTTGGATTCCGTCTCGTCAGGACCGAAAAGTCTGAAGTTGGTCATGTTCCCGGCGACCACGTCTCGGAGCCATTTAGCGAAATTGGTCATCCCGGATTCGAGCGTCACACCGGGATCGACCTGGAGGGCGTAGTCTTGCCATTTAGGGAGGTCGAGCGGTTTGACGGGGTTCCCACCGTTGGTCACCGGGTTGCTGGACATGCGCCTGTCTCCCTCGGGTGCCAACGCGCGGAGGTCTTCCACGAGCCTACCTTCGGCGTCGAAGAGCTCGTCGGGCTTGTAAGACCTCATCCACGCTTCGAGCTGTTTGAGGTGTTCGTCCGAAGTAGCGACGTCGGTCATGGGAACCTGATGGGCCCTCCAGAAACCTTCCAGGTGGTGTCCACCGACTTCACTCGGTCCGGTCCATCCTTTCGGGGAACGGAGGACGATCATCGGCCAGCGAGGACGGAAGGGTTTTCCGCTGTCCCGGGCTTGTTTCTGGTAAGCCTTGATCTCGGTCACGCAGCGCTCGAGCGTGGCGGCCATGGCCTGGTGCATCGAGTCGAGGTCGGACCCTTCGACAAAGTAAGGGGTCCAGCCGTAACCCCGGAAGAGCATCTCGAGCTCTTCGTGCGAGACTCGGGCGAGGACCGTGGGGTTGTTGATCTTGTACCTGTTAGCGCACCCAATTCAACATCAGCATCATTCCACCCCCTTATCCACCTTCTCCCTATCCCGCCCTTTCGCCGACCCGGCACTCACCCGTTCAAATGCAAGACCGGCAAGACGGCCCCATCAGTGACTGGGTTCAGAAACTTGTTCCCATGCCAAGCCGTAGCCAGCGGACCCGTCTCGGATTCTCCGTCCCCGACCATCGTGAGGGCGATCAGGTCGGGCCTGTCGAAGACGGTCCCAAAGGCGTGGGAGATCGAGTAGCCGAGTTCACCGCCCTGCGAAACGCACAAAAGAAACACGGGAATTCGGACGATCAGCTTCTTCTTCTTCTCGCTCTCTTTGCTCTCTTCGAGTATGGAACTCCCAACGCACCTCGTGTAAACTCCCCGGAACCTCCGGCGTCGCATGACTCCCCATCCCCCCCGGAAACGAAAACTGATGGAACAACCTCTGTAACCCCTTCGAATCCTGTGTAACCTCGGGATAGGCCTCCGTATACGATCCTTCCAGGTACGCATGGGAGATTATACCAGGAGCTCCGTGCCCCGGGCCGCTGATGAAGAAAGCGTCAAGGTTGAGTTTCTTGATGAGACGGTTGAAGTGCAGGTAGGTGAATGATTGGCCGGGGGCGGAACCGAAGTGCCCGAGTAAGCGGGATTTGAGGTGCGAGGTTGTTAGGCCTTCGGGGGAGCGGAGGAGGGGGTCTTTTTTCAGGTAGATCATACTAGAGTGGTGGAGAGATCGATTAGGGTCAGCGAGATTGATCCCGGACGAGATCTAACGAATTCGAATGAAAAACTGGTACTAGCTACCAGTTACCAGCTAGGCTAGACGACAAGGACGACAACGAGAGAATGGACGCCGAGACTCACCCCAAACAGATATAAAGCGTGGCATTGAAATACCTCGTATACTTGTCCAACTCTTCCTTAGTCAACGGTTGTTCCTTGACGGTCGACCTGGCGAGACCGAAGGGGGAGATGTTGTTCTCCTGGCTCGTTTCTTCGGACATGATGTTGGTTCTCGATCTTGTTCGAGCTTCAGTTATCAGTGATAAGAGCTTCGGCGGGGAAGGTATCGAGATGGTCGATCTAAGTCGTGGATGACACTCACCCTTATATACCCTGACGACCGTTCGTGACGTACCCACGACCACATGCGAACTTCGTCATCCACGAGAGCGATTCGTCACGATACGCCTGCATGGGATGTGCGGATGCAAATCATGTGACATGCGAGTTAGGCCGGCGGCGAGGGCAGGAACGGCAGGGCGGGCGATAACGGCATCCATCCAACGTCCTCTTCTCGGTGGCCGAGGGCAGCGCAAGAGGGAGGGGTTGTCACCGGCTCAATCGGAGCAGAACGTAAGCGCGGATGAGATAGGAAGGTTGGGGGGTTCGGTCAGATCGGTCAATGTCGGGCGTCGTTGCGATTTCGAAAGGTGAAACACAAACACGACCCCTGCGTCTGAGATTTCGAGAATCGCCCCTGGAACATCCGAGGCTTTAGGGGTTGTGCGATCCTTTCCCAGACTTCAATCGATAGATGGCGATACTACTATTGGCGGGCCTTGGGAATGGGATGCTCTTGAACAATAACAGTACTCGAGTATATTGGCAGTGTGGCAACTATGTGGCATCATGATTGAAATTAATGAAGAACACTACTATATTTACTATAACTCGAATCCGTTGGCATCGCATCCGTTGGGGGTGCTGTGGCGGGTTCTGTAGTTGGTCGAGGGGGTCCGATCGACCGTCCTAATAGGTCAGATGCGAAGTGTAACATGACAGCACTCTGATGTGCGTGCTTCACAAGCTCTCTACGCCATGCACCCTTTGGATGCTCCTAGTTACAACGAATGAGCTTGCTGGTGTGGTGGTGTTACCATTGACGGGATGACAACATTGTTTATTCTTGATGTCGATGGATGGAAGGGGTTTGATGGGCAAAGGAATCGCGCATGAACTCGTCACGAACACCTTTTGACTTCTAGCCTCTAGATCTTGATCGAGAACCTTGAGTTGACCTCCCGATCAGCACCTTATACTTGCGCTTACGTTTATCGCCTGGACATCGATACTACTATACCCAAGTCTGGCCGGGTTGAATCTGACCTTTTCTTCGTATCAAATCAAATACGATCAAATTATAACGTCCGCAAGAACGACTTTTCGACCTGCATCATGTGATGTTAATCGATAGGCCAAGAAGTTAAGAATCGAGGGAAAACGATGAGATGTGAACGGATGTAGATGTCGAGGTCCAGGTCAATTTGGGTTCTTCTGGGGTACGGATCCGTACCTCGATTTCGAGTGTGATTCCCATTATTGTGACCGTATTCTTTGAGTTCAAAAGTACGCTCCAAATCCCCCCACACCCAGCACCAGCAAAAGAATAGCGAAAAGCGAACACAGAAGCGAACACAGAAGCGAACACAGAAGCGAACACAGAAGCGAACACAGAAGCGAACACAGAAGCGAACACAGAAGCGAACACAAAGTCAAAGGCAAAGGCGAAAGCGATAGCAAATACGGCAGCCACAACCGAATCTCCTGAAAGAAACAACGACGACGAGGACGAGGAGCACGACACCTGCCTATCTGGCACACCGGGAGAGAGCACTGGGAGGGATCATCACTGATGTTATCGATCTCACTTACCTCTACCTCTACCTTGTTGATGATGATGACGGTTACCTTGAACGTGATACAGACACTGCGCTCTGCCCTCCAAGTCCAACGGTTCCGGCCCAGCCAACTATGTTTGCTTGAACCGCTTCGAACCGTCGAACTGACGTCGATGCTTATTCGGAGTGGGACGGGAAGTCAAACCATAACCATCTGTATCATTGGACATAATAGGATCGGGTCTTTCGTGTCTCCCAGCAGCACTGTGATTCTGATCATCATCATCAAAGCGAGAGGGTGCCGTTCGCCGTGTTTGCTTGTCGTCATTTTGACATTTATTTGTCATGATTATCGTCCTCGGTATCGTCGAGGTCGAGTCGATCCCCGTAGAAAGCAATCCCTCTTCTTCCCCCCTCCCCCGCCTCTATTCTCCGTTTCATCTCCCCTCTCCTTCTCACTCCCGACTCCCCGCTTCAGCGGACCTCCGCCTCACCAACCCCGCCTTCAACCTCGTACTCTTCCCTCAACAACCCCCAAACATGCAAATCCAACACCTTCCCCTCCTTCCAGACCTTTCCCCGTAAAACGCCTTCTTCCCTAAACCCGCACTTTTGGAGTACGCGCATACTAGACCGGTTTCCGGAATATACGTGAGCTTCGACCCTGTTCACCAACTCAGAGGGGAAGGTCTGGAAAGTCCAATGTAGGAAGAGAGGGACTAGGGTGGACATGACGCCTTGGCCCTGGGAGGAGGAAGAGAGCCAATAGCCGAGTTCTACGGTCCGGCGGTGGATGTCTGAAGGGGTCGTTTTGAGGCCGAGCCCGCCGACCACGTTCCCGCTCTCCCGGTCGACGATGCTATAGCTCGTCAACGGGTCTTGCGTCCGAAGAAAATCGTAGAAATCTCTAGCGGATGAGATGGTGTAGGGGAAAGGAACCCGGTCGGTCATCCATCTCGTTATGGAGTGGTCGTTCAGGGAAGAGGTCAGGGAGGGAAGGTCTTGCAGGGTGAGAGGGCGGACGAGGTGGGTCGGGGTGGATATGATGGGATCGGTTCGGGTGGGGATGATGGCGGTCGTGGAGGTGGGGGTGGAGGTGGACATGGTACGTTCTATCGGTACGTCTTGCTGGAAGTCGAAGTTGCGGGGTTGCGAAGGTTTCCAGGTTGCGGGTCCTTCGAGATCCCCAGGCTTTTGAGGAGACCGATTTAAGGTTATATATTCACTAGCTACTAGTACGTTCGACCCAAAGCGTGCAGCGCAGTGACTTAGTGACGGCCAACCTCGAGCGAGTATCACATAGAAGCATCTGATAACTTGACTCACCTGCAAGCCTGCAAACTGGTAGTTCCCTTGATCAGACCTTGATCGAGGTCAAATTCCGACTCTGATACGGATTCCCTCCCTTTGTTCTCCCCTTTATTCTCCTCTATGATCTTCCTTACTCTTTCCTACCTTTATGTTCTCCTCCCCACCAAATCGTTCGTCGAGTCACGAGATGATATCCCGTCCTTGATAGATCTCGTCCCAGCCGAGTCAGACCTCGGGAACTCGCCGCTGGCCGCTCGTCAATCTCCGCTGGTGTTTACTTCAAAGCACAGGCGATATCAAATTTTCTTTTGGGTGTCGGCATACGATCATGCATTGCATCGTTCGGAGAAGATGATGAGCTAGTAGCCCGGTAGGATAGTAGCTCAGTAGTTGGGCGTCTTTTGGTTCTGATTTTTGTACGGAGGTCGAGGTCGAGGTTGTCGTCGGGGATGACCGAGAGCACGATAGGACATGGCGCAAGTTCATAAATAGTCGGGCTCAGGCTCTGGGTTGGGGTCGGTACGCAAGCCTGAAATTGACGGACGATCAGATCATGGAATAGCGGACGACATGGGGGATCAACAGTGCTGGCCATAGATAAAGAATGATAGGAAAATGACACACGGTCCCGACTAGATGAGGTGAGTTGAGATGGAAAAATGGAGTCCCCCGCACCCTCTCGCTCTCTCTCGCCTTCTTCATTCCCCGTAGCATGACCATACCCTGATACCCCTCCAGGAGGCACAAGAACAACCCATGCTCGACGATGAACAAAACAAAGCGAGACAACAGGGAGAGCGGAGGGGGGGACATGCTCGTTGTCTCGCCAACTTATACGCCTCGTAATGGTTTTCCCCGAGTTGATCTTGCGGGTGGGAGTGAGGCACCTGTGAGTGGCATGATGTTCCACCGGGGCGTGTTGTGTCGATCCCGGGGCATCAGGTTTTTCTTGTCCGCTGGTGGATCGTGTTGTTGTTATCGTTGGACAACGAGATCCGGTTTCGAATTGCAAGAAGATGTTGAATTGTTGAACACGAATGGGGAGATGGTCGGGGAGGTAGATTGAGCTTGGACTTTTCGATGACCCCAGCTTTCGTCACCATCCGAGCATCCAGCGTCCACCGCATACAATTCGAATCTTGGTCGACCATCCCCCCCCCCCCCCCCCCCAACGACTCAGCTCATAATCACTGACTAGCATCCTCAAATCCATCAGACTAGCCTTCTCTTAGCCCCGTCTTCCAAATTACCGGAAGATGCGGTCGACCCTCACCGCAGGGCTATGGTGGACGGCCACCTTGACCCTGACCTTGTCTTCGGTCTTAGCCGCGAGTTCGAGTTCAGCGTCAACCTCTACGGTGAACGTCTGGTTGAGGTCGAACTGGGACGCAGCGCCGTTGTTGCTCGAAGTCTTGTGAGCCGCCGTATTCTCTGTATGAGCAAGTGATGAGATTCGTGGCATCCTGCTTAATGCATGCCTCTCGCTCTCTGTTATTCTTCATTCCGACACTCGACTTGACCAATGCAGGGAAAGCGCAGCTATAGAAGATCCGACGATATACTACCCGCTCTTATCACTACTCACCACTCACCTCCCGCTCTTACAATCCGGAGCCGACTCTGGATCTGGATCTGATGATGAAGATGGTTCGGCTTCGCGGTCAAAGCCGAGGACTCGGGACCGGGATCAGCTGGAGATGGTCTACGACCTCGTAGCGAATTACGACTCTCACGAAACCACCACCACCGCCCACAACTCCAACAACTCCAGCTCTAGCTCTGATCCTAGCTCCAGCTCTAGATCTAGATCTAGATCTAGATCCACCCTCCTGACCGCCCACCGGGAATTCGACCTATCCTCCTTCAAAACCTCTTTAGCGATGCACGAAGCGTCCCCGAAGATTCAGGCTTATTACCAGTTTTATGAGACCGTCATTGTCAACTCGCCCGCTGGAAGGGAGGTCACGCAAAGAGAGTGCGAGAGTTGGGTGGAGTGGAGGGGAAAGGGGTTTTGCAGCGTGGAGGAGTTGAGGAGGGATATGGAGTTGTCCTTGGATCTGGGTTCAACGGAGGGTTCGGGACGTGCGAGCGGGTGAGTGGACCCAGAGTCGGGTGTTTGCCGTGATTCGCGGTGAACGAATGTCTTGAGCTAATTCTTCGTTGAAATTCCCGACGATCAGTCCGACGACGAGATCTATACCGCCAAAAATCCTTCCGTTCGACCACATCTACCCTCATTCTTATTCTCGTTCTGGAGGATTGGGCTCGCATCCGGTCGACGTGGCGATTCTTTATATCTCGGACCTCTCGCCCGCTCAGGCGGATCTTTATGAGTACCTCATGCGTCGTCGAACCAAGACCTCCAACAATAATGACAATGGAAACGAGGATGCGGCTGAAGGGTTGTTCGATATCATCGTCCGGTACAGGCCCCTCGTTGCTCGGACTCTGGATTCCGATTCGGTAAAAGCGCAAGAGGAGAGTCGTTTGCAGGTGCAGGACGTGAATAGGAGGAAGAATTCGTTAAAGGGGTATGGGGTCGAGATGGTGCTCAAGCGGACGGATTATCTTGCGGTCGATGATCGGGATACGGGGAGTAGCGTGGGTGTGGGTGCCGGGAAGGTCGAAGGTGAGTTCAGCCGCAGCATGCGTGTGTATGTCCAGGAATACGGGACTCGGGGGCTGATCCGGTGTGATATGGTGTTCAATCTGCTAGGCAGGCAGCAGGAAGTGTTTGAAGCGCATGGAAAAGAGGGAAGCAAGGCCGGGGCGGAGGATGGATATTTGGGAGTGATCGGGAGGGGGTCTTGGGACGAGCTTGTCAGCAAGCCTCTGAAGCTGGGGGAGATTTCAGGCAAGTCTACCACTGCGTCTCGGTCCCAGATTCTCTCAATCTTCCGAAACTAAAAGGCCGACCCGTGTACCGCTCCGCTCGACAGATCTCGGTGTCAAGACGGCCTCCCTGATCATGTCCGACCCAGACCCCCTTTCGGCACTTATCGGCATCTCGCAGGATTTCCCTAAACACTCGGCGGCGATCGCGAGAAGGGTCAAGGCGGACGAGTGGTTGGAGAGGGATGTGGCCAACGTTCAGGCAAAGGCGGACGTCAAGAGCGCGTTTTGGGTCAATGGGAGGATCGTCACCGACAAGGAGCTAGACGCTTTCAGGTGAGTTTGATCCGCGGGGACAACTAAGGAGGTCCGCGCTGATGAGAATCCACTCGAACCGATAGCCTACTATCGATCGTCCGGGAAGAGAGACAGAGGATGTTGGCGCTCACCTCGCTCGGGCTGACACCAGACCAGGCGTTCAGCTTGCTCACGGACGACGACATCGTCACGGGCATGACCGAGCCGGAACCCATGATGGGGATCGTCGATGCCGGGGACGAGATCGAAGGAGGAGGAGTGATCACTTGGTGGAACAATATCGAAAAGGACAAGAGGTGGGCGTCGATTCTGATGTCGCTTGGGAGAACTTGGTGTTGAAGATTTTTTTTCCGGCTGCTGCAGGTATGCGAGTTGGCCCAGCTCAATCGCGGCGGTGAGTACCAGTCGTGCGGCCAGTCAAGCTACATATTGATTGATACCAAGCTCCACGACTTCACCGACAGCTCGCCCGACCCGGCCGACAAGGACCGTTCAACCAGGTCCGGCGCAACTTTTGGCACGTCATCCTCGTCATGGACATGTCCAAACCTTTTTCCCTGAGCACCATCTCGCAGACGGCTCAGCAGATGATCAAACGGGGGATCCCGTTCAGGGTCGGTTTGGTCCCGCTCATCTCGGAGAGCAATGACGATTTGAGTGGGTTCGATATCGTCCTGGCCTCGAATTGGTGGCAAGGCTGAAGTTTGGCGTTTGACCCTGCAGGTATCAAAATGGCTCGATTACTAGCCTATCTCGTCCGTAAGAACGGTCGTGCCGAAGCCATGGAGTACATGCATACTGTAAGCTTTCAATCATCGTGATCTATTTTGGCGCTATCTTAAAGCCCGCTTCTCTAACAGCTATGGAGAGCTTCCCCTCGAGGCGAAGTCGCTTTGAACATCGCCGAGAGCCTTTTCCCTGGTGAAGGCGACGATTCGTTCGCCGATATCATCAACGGGAAGGTGGAAAGCCTGGCGACCGACGAGATCCGCGCCTGGCTGGCTAGGATGGCAGTCAATCCCACAACGAGTCCGCGGGGTGCCGTCCTTTTCAATGGACAGTATCAGCCCTTGGACGAGGTGAGTCAGGCGATCTCGGCCGCGCGAAAACGGGAGCTCATGCGAGAGGCTTTACTTCGCAGCGATGGACCGATCGAATCATGCAAGATTACATGGGCCAGCTCAACTATCTGATGCAGCCAGTAAGTTGAGCTTGCTGATGCCTGGTGTCACGAGGCTCCATAGTCTCACGACCCGTCCTCATAGGGCGTCGTCAATCATCTCAAATCGGTCTCCCGGCTCGATCGTTTCTTCTACGATTTGCCCACATCATCTCCCCGAAGAAATGTCTACCTCCCTGTAGGAGAGCCCATCGGATCGCAGACCATCGTGGATCCCCGGCAAGTCTTTGGCGCCGACTCATTGATTCTGGATCAGTTTGTCTACCCGGGTAGGTCGCTTCTGCTCGTATTCAGGGAAAGGAACATCGCTGATACGATTATGCATCAGATGACAAATCTGACGAGGTCCTGGCCACGATCCACGTTCTCGGTGACCTCGACAGTGAGTCAGGTCGATCGATGGCGAGAGAGGCTCTGAAATTCCTGCAGGTGCGAATCATCATCTTTTCACTTGACATGAAACCAAAGGCTAATTATCGAATTTTGGAACATCTCAGCAAAAAGGTAAACACACTAGACTAGGCTTCGTTCACCTCCCCTCGGACGCCAATCAACACCAAAAGGGTCCACGCCTGTCGACATGGCTATACGAGAGCTTGTCTTCGCACAATCTTTCGACATCGTCAACAGGCAGCTTGATCGAGATGTTGGACAGGATCGACTTTGTGAGCCGGGAAAATGAAATGGGAAGAGTCAAGAGTCTGGTAGAGCACGAGAAGGCGTCCGAAGGCATGACGTGTTTCGATGGCTTCCGGTTACCACTACCAACGCCGACGTCTCTGGCTGTATCGAAGGCATTCTGGAACGCACGGGCGGCTGAAGCGCGCACGGTACCGTTAACAAGTGCCGGTACCTACATCATGATCAACGGTAGGGTGAGTCGTCAGCGTGAGGTCGCATACCACAGCCCACGACAAGTCTGAGCGTCTCATTTCTGCAGGTCGTTGGTCCCGTACCAGCCGGCGAGTTCTTGGCCGACGACTTTTTCACTTTGGCGATGATCGACGCTCGAAGCCGCGGCAGTCCCATTCTAGAAGCGCTTAAGGGGATCTATTACGATATCTCAACGCTGGAAAGGTAAATGAAGCGCTACAACGCATGGACAGATCAGCTTTCTCATGGTCAACCCACTTTACAGTGCGACATTGGGCAACCTGGTATCTGGAGTCGCCGCTATACTGGGTAAAGCTTTCGCGACCGACAACTCTTCACCGCTTCAATCTACCGTTGTCGCCAGGACCAGAGGGTATACGGAGATCACGGGCAAGGCGTCTAGCTTCTCCATCAAGGAATCGCCAACTGCGCTGGTCAGGCTCTTTGCCATCGTCGATCCCATCAGTGAACAAGCGCAAAAGTGGTCGTCCTTGATCCAGGTGAGTTAGGCTGCAGACTACCCGTTCAAGCCGCTTATTGAACGTTTCATCGATCATACAGATGGCTACCGAGCTCGATCACGTATCAGCAACCGTCCAGCTGAACCCGGCTTTGGTGCTTACTGACGTGAGTTTGACCGCGTCGTGCGCATAACTTTCGGATGGGTTTTGACTCCACTTTGCGTTCTAGATCCCGCTCAAGCGGTTCTATCGGTACGAATCCGTCAACTCTGTAAGATTCAATGCTGAGGGGTATGTCATTCTGTTAGATGCAAACTTCACGCAGAGGGGCCACTGACGGGTGCATTCCATCACAGCGACGAAGCCATGACTGGTGTCAGCTTCCGCGGCCTGCCAGAGGATCCCATCTTGACGCTCGGTATGGATATTCCTACGTCATGGCTCGTGCGGCCCAAGGAATCCATTCACGATCTCGACAACTTGCGACTCGAAAGCATCCTCGCCAAGCAACAATCCCCCGTCGTCGACATCCGATTCGAGCTCGAGCAGCTCGTGATCGAGGGGCACGGCAGGGAGTTGAAGGCGTCCGTACCTCGAGGACTCGAATTGCAGCTGGCCACCACCGAGGGTGATATCGTTGGAGACACGTCGATCATGGCGAACCTCGGGTACTTTCAGTTCAAGGCCCAGCCCGGCCTTTATAATTTGAACATCCGCGAAGGCAGAGGCCGCGATGTGTACAGCCTACACAGCTTGTCCACCGGTTTGGCGACGGGTGATACCGTATCTCAAGTCGCCTTGACATCGTTTACAGGTCTCACCGTTCGGCCCGTGTTCGAGCGTCAGCCGGGTATGGAATTGGCGGATGTCCTAGACGAGGTCGTAACCACGCCCGGTTTCTTTGACAAGATCTACTCGTCGTGAGTCGTGTCTCTCGGCCTTCATAAACGTTCGGATCGATCTGAAATCTCTTCACCTTGCAGCCTGTCTACCGTACTCGGCCGCAAGACGGCGCCCGTGCGTCCTCCGGCCGAAATCAACATCTTCACCGTGGCCTCGGGCAAACTCTACGAGCGGTTCGCCTCGATCATGGTGCTCAGCGTGTTGAAGCACACGAACAGTACCGTCAAGTTTTGGTTCATCGAGAACTTCTTATCGCCGTCGTTCTTGGAATTCCTGCCTCACTTTGCGGAAGAGTACGGGTTCGAGTACGAGCTGGTCACTTATCGCTGGCCGTCTTGGCTTCGTGCACAGAGGGAGAAACAGCGGGAGATCTGGGGCTACAAGATCCTCTTCCTCGACGTCCTCTTCCCGCTCTCTCTGGACAAGGTCATCTTTGTCGATGCCGATCAGATCGTGAGGACCGACATGAAACAGCTGGTCGATCTCGATTTGCAAGGCAAGGTCTACGGGTACGCGCCGATGGGGGACGACAAGCCCGAAATGGAAGGCTTCCGGTTCTGGAAGACGGGTTACTGGAAAGACGCCCTCCGAGGCAGACCCTATCACATCTCGGCGCTGTACGTGATCGACCTGAAGAGATTCCGACGGCTCGCCGCGGGAGATCGATTGAGGGCTTCGTATCAAGCCTTGTCGGCGGACCCGGGGTCATTGGCGAATCTGGACCAGGACTTGCCGAATTCGATGCAGGATCAGTTGCCGATCTATACGCTCGATCGGTCTTGGTTGTGGTGCGAGACATGGTGTAGTCAGGACAGTTTGAAGGATGCCAAGACCAGTGAGTGCAAGAGTCTCCCGAGAATGGTCGGTTCGGTTCCTCTCATCTGACGCGTTTTGAATTCGTGGCACTATCTCAGTCGACCTGTGTCAGAACCCTCTGACGAAACAACCCAAGCTCGAGCGGGCGAAAGTAATTCCAGAATGGGAGAGTTACGACCGCGAGGTTGATCAATTCGCCAGACGGCTGGCCGCCCCGGACGGGGCCAAGGTGAACGTCGTCACAGGATCGGCCGAGGCGCTCGTTCAAGGAGGCAACGAGCACTCGGCCACACCGGCAGATTCGGCGGTGGAGGTGTCAGAGGTAAACGACGAGCCTGTACATGAAGGACAAAGGCTTGTAGACGATCTATAGAGACCTGGTTGCCCAGCGTATAAGAGCTTTCGACATTTCCCAACTTCCAGGTTGTTCTGGTCGCAAACTCGTTGATGCAAGAAATCGGTACGGTCGTTACTCAAATGACCGGTACACCGTTAGAATACCAAATCACCATTTACCGAATTTGGTTGGATGCGCCATCATAAATCAGAATCCCAACACAAGCCGACCTGCATCTTCCCGGGTTGAAGACCTTTACATCACAACTTGACAGGAAACGATAGGCGAAAGTAACCTGGTCGCAAGCTGCAAGCTGATCTCCTCAAAACAGGCAGAAGTCTACACGGCAAAGTTTGATAGGCCAGTTTGCTCAGGCTAGAGGCTGAACTTGCAGGGATCTTCATTACAGCAGAGGCAGCTAAGGGCAGTCCTCTTGAGGGATTACGCACACCCATCAAGTGTCGGATAAGACCATCTCTTAAACCGCCCGATAAGAAATGTCTTAACGTACCCCCTTGCCAACCCCCTTATTTCGCACATCAGCCCGAGTTGTTACTTGGAGGAGCCGAGATTCCAGATGCGTGGATAGCTGAAGGGCCGTCGACCACCTTGCGTGTGAATCTACGTAGAATGATCATCTCTCCGAAGTCATCTTCTCGTCAGTCCTATCGAATACATGCTGCAAGGACAGACCCGGTCCTTCTCCCCTGACTTGCATCTCTGCTCGCTCGTACCCGGCCGACCATACTCTCGGTCTTCCCCTCTCTCTCTCGACGCTTCAGCTTCTGGCTCCGAAACCGCTTGCTTCACTCGGACTCTCAGGCCTTTCTCGATTCCATGATCGGGTCGAGCGTAGACATGCGCAACCCGGGCGGATGAGGGCTTCCCGGTCGACTAGGGTTCGGTGTGACCCCGTTGGAAGCGACCGGTTTGTTCTCGAGCGGTGTAAAGTGGAATCTCAGTCGGTGGAGCTGTCGGCGAGGTCGATAGACCCGAATTCCGGAAATCGTCAGCCCGACAGACATGCGGAATGCAGGACCGAGCGAGATATGAGCGGGGGACTCACAGCGGGTAGTTTAGGAAAGAGGACAAAGACGCAAGCTGCAAAGTTGATAAAGAACAACCTCGGGTCGTACTTGACGTAATGAGTCGAGATCAAGAACCTGCCAAAACGACCGGGCCCCGTGTCGATCTTATATTTAGCGTCCCGTACGGTGTGGGTTGCAAGATAAGAACGCGGGGGAAACATTGTACTGACAAGAGGATGGGCACGCTCGTCAACCACTTCTTGGCTGGCGTATACTGAGCTCCGGCATCGATCTGTTCCCACAGAGTCAGATCGTCGTAGGCGCCTCCAGAAGGTTGCCTGAGAGCGTCGAGGTTTCGAGGTTTCGAGATCGCGAACGAGTGGTTGTACCGAGTCGATGCGATCAGAAGCGTGTTCGTTCTGATGTGTAGCGGAAACTGATCACTCACGACGACTCAAAGGGGACCCCGGTGACCGAGTGGAACATCGTGTACGAAGCCTGCCGTACAGAATAGTGTCAACGAGGCCGGCATCAGCTCTCTGCCTCCTCTCGACTCCCCGACTCCCTGACGCTCCTACATTCCGGCGCAAACCCCCTGGACTCACCATGACGTATCCGAGGTTGACGATCGTCCAACTGTAACTCGCCGTCATGTTGGGTATCGCGTCGACGAGGACCTTGCCGAGGAGGATGATGACCGGGTGGATGAGCCATGCTCCTGCTCGTATCACACATCACACAAAGATCATGATCATGATCATGATCAGTTTTCCCCGCCCGGAGAGAAAGAGAAAGAGCGACCTCAAATCCGTGTGAGGGAACAAAGTCGAGAGGACTCACCGGGCGCATTAACCCAATTGGCATTCTCGTTAACCCCCACCCCGAGCCGATCGACGACCTGATCCCCATCATCCCCTCCGACCTCGGTCACCGTGACCAAGCTCGACGATCTCCCTCGACCCTTATTCTTGTTGGCTCCTTCTCCCAGGGACATCCCCAGAGACATCGGGGAAGCTCCGAGGTTGCCCATCATTCCCATTGAAGATCCTCCTGAGTGCGAGTGTGAAGGCAAGCCGTCCATATTGTTGTGGTTGTACCCCGAAGGAGCGTGGTTGTCGAAAGCGAGACCCAGACCGGAAGACGCTACCTTCTGGATCGCATTGTTCGACAGTGACCTGGACAAGCTCCTCTGGTGCATATTGGATCTCGCCGGAGAACCTGAACCGGGCGAAGTGGAGAGGTTGTTAAAGTTCATCATGGGGGATGAATGCAGATGCGAGGGAGACCCCGACGGGGAATACTGCATTGAAGATTGTGATTGTTGATAAGGCCGGTGTTGTTGAGGTTGGGAGATGGAGCGACTGCGGGTGGTCGTGTTACCCGGGGTGGAGAGGTAGCTGGAGGAAGAACCACCGATCATCTCGGACATGGTTGTACGTGTTCGCTTATGTGTTCGTGTTCGTGTTTGTGTTTGTATCTGTATGGGGCTGAGGGCTTTATGTATGTGTGGCGATGGTGATGGTGGCGATGGCTCAAAGATCTGAATGGACGGTTCGGATTCGATAAACACGTTTCCGCTATCAGCTGATACGCTCCTCGCAGCGAATTGATCTGTGGTCACCTTCACTCACCTCTTTGATCTGGTCCGTCCGGGTCCGGCTCGGATGCTTGATATAACGATTCGACGTCCGAAGTGTGGCAGTACACAGCGAGGTATAGAGATGGAGGTCGTCGGTATGAAAGGAAGTAGTTCTGGTAGGTGTTCCCCTCCTCGGAAATAGACTAGACACAGCGAAGGCGACGTCCTCCCCCGCTTCGTGTTCAGAGTTTGGTGCGATTCGACTTCGGGTCTCGGGGCGATGTATATGATCAAGTATGAGGCAGAGGCGAGCGAGTTGTTTGTGAGATGGCTACTATGTGAATCAGAGCAGAGTTGAATGTCGAGAGATGAACGACGATGATGTGGGCGTGTTCACTCGATCAGCTGCTGCTGCTGAGGCGCTGAGGGGACCAAAACAATCTCGCGCCGCACCGGATCCGGGAGCATCACCTCACCTCCTCTCCTCCAACAAGGGTGGGACGATGGCGAGTGGCGACTTTGCCAACAACATGACGACGACCATCTACAACGATCCTGGGTATATATATTCCGCTCTAACACACCCGCATCTATATGTAATCAACCATTCATTGCTTTTACTGTTAGATCTCGAGCGTCGTTGTCGTCGACTGTGCTCGAGAACAGGCTGTGCCGCCCCGCCATCGCTCCTGAATCAACTTCATCTCCACACTTCTTCTTCTTCTCGTATTAACGCATCCCAATCCAACCTCTTTCCCTTCCATCCCCCATCCCCATCCTCGTTCTCATCGTCAGCCAGATCCATCAACGCCCGTCGTTCTTGTACGACCCTCAATTCGCGTACCCGCATCCTCCTCGCCCGTCTCGCCGGTCTTTTCAGGGGTTCCACGTCGTCAGCGTCCTCTTTGCTGTCCTCTTTCTTGTCCTCCTTGTCGAGCTCGTCGTCCGAAGGAATACAATCCAAATCCTCCACGTTCTTATTACTGTCATTGTTGAGAGGCAGCGTCGACGAGTGCGTCTTGAGCAAGACGATCTGTACCCCCAAGAGCGCTAGCGAGACGGCTCTTTCCAGTGTCCTTCCACTCCCCCCCTCTTTCTCCTCTGTTTCCTCTTTCTCCTCTTTTTCCTCTTTTTCCTCTTTTGCAGCGTCTTGCAATTGCGAACGCGATCGCCGGTCCTTATAATGCCCCAAGACGAGCGCCGAGAAAAGATCCCCTACTCCGGAATAATACCCTCGGATAGTCGGCAAGGCGTACCCGTACGTCTCTGGCATCGCGCCCGTGTTGATGTCTCCTTCTTCTGGAGATTGTCCCTGTTTAGGGCGAGTCGAGGCGAAACAGACCAAGACCTCATCCTCATCCTCGGTCTCTTTCGCCTCCTTCCCTTCTTCTGCCTGGCTATAACTAGAGCTGCGAGCTTGGGAGAGCAACGAAGTATACCTCCCCGGCGCTGCCGATGAAGATGAAGTTAAATCTAACCCCAGCTTCTGGACCAAGCTAACGGGAAGAGGGATGGAGGAGATGACCACGTGCTCGACGTTGTAGGGCGGGGAATGGAGCGTTTGGAGCGCTTGGAGGAGGGTACGGGGGGAGGTTATCTTGGTCTCCGATAATAGTCTTGTTCAAAGCAAACAGGATTGGCCGTGGAAAAGGTGGTCGTCAAACAATACACGGGGCGCAGATATGGTAGATATTATGTGATTGTCAGTCGGGGGGTAAAGCCAGAGTAATTGATGTAAGGGGAAAGAGCCCGGACTCACTCGGTCTCGAATTGGTTCGGAGTGATGATACTCGCCAAGCTCAACAACTGGCGGTAGATCGGGACGACGTCTGCGGCGACGTAGAGACCTTTTCCTATATCCCCCATGACCGCTACAAAGGAAAAATTCCAAAATCACAGAGAGAAAAATTATATAACTCAGCTTCTATGCCATACTATATTATACTTATACCGAACGATTATGGAGTCGTCCCAAATCGTTCGAGGTATTGAGAGGGACGAGACTCACGATCTAGCAGGTACAGGAGGTCTTCCCCCTGCGCCTCGGCTCTCCGTTTGAGCTTTTCAATCTCCCTTCCGACGGCTTGCAAGGCAGGTGCGCCGGGAATATAACCTATATTTATAACGCCAGCCCCAGGTAGAGCAGAAGGAGAGTATCAGCTCGGCCTGCGTTTTTGAATACCGAATTTTCGTGACGGAAACTCGGATGTGGGTGCCATACCATGTCCGAGCTACAGGTTCTGGACGTACCGGTCAGACACCTGGACCATCTACACAGACCGTTCGTCTCCAAACCCTTGAAGACGGCATCCAGTTGTTCCGGGGTCGTCTTGTGTCCGTTCGTATGTCCATAACCTATCCAGGCCAAAGCGTGAACATCACGATTCGTAAGATCAGCTTAGAATTTCGCATTTGTATGTCTCTGGCGCAGGGACTCGCCGGTGTGATTACTGAACTGGACGGTATTTACTACGTCCACATCGTATCCTAACAGTTGTAGCGGAAAGGTCGCTGCTCGGTTGCCTACGATATGTTTCAAGGTTGTCAGCTCAGATAGAGGAAATGGAACCTCGGCTCGAATGACTCACCGACGTAGCCGGACACGACGTGGCTCTGTACTGATAGCAGGCGGTTCGGGTCGAGAAAAGGTGAAGTGGAGGAGGACATCTTCTAGCTTCTAGATTCCAAGAGAGTATGTGTTTAAACACGGGGTCTGTCGTATAGTAGGATAGTAAGGTAGGTAAGTGCAGAACGTGTAGATAGATGATCGACAACTTGGTCGCGCTTCCAGCCGGAGCCTCGAGCCCTCGAACCAGCCAAGTACATTTAACTGCGCATATTATTCCTTCCAACCATACTCTATATCACAAATTTACCGCTAACCTCTGTCTATGCTCTGAGATCAATCTGAAGAGAACAAATTACCTCCTTTCGCTCATCATGAACACGTCGGACGAATCCAAGCTGTTCCAAACGGACGCACAGCTAGCTCAAAAGGAAGCACAATCCCGCAAGGCCGTGTTGACCAAGACGATCGGGTCGCCCATCCAACTGGCGAGCAGGGCAATCAAGTTGAGGGTACGAGGGCAGGATGCGTGGGTCGCAGAGAGCGGATGGGTCGTACGGCGGGTCTGTCTTCATGTGGGTTTACAACGGGTCGAGGGGTTCGGTCAGAAGAACGGCGTTCTGGGAGCTGATGATGTACGGAACCGTTACGCTCAGACAGGCAAGACGAAACGGGTCTATAAAGGTCATCAGGGACCATGCACCTCGTTGGACTTTTACCAGGTGACGACGGGCACGAGTAAACGGGACCTCATGGTGACAGGATCATGGGACAAGACGATCAAAGTTTGGGACGTCGAGGTCGGTCCATCTCTCTCCCTGTATGTCACATTTGCTCGAGGACTGATAGGATGTCTGACCTGCATTATCCATCCGTAGAGCGGCGAGATGCTCAGCTCTACCCCCGCACATACGGATTTCGTCAAATCCCTCCTCGTCATTCCTCAACTCGACATACTCCTCTCCGGCTCGTCCGACAAGACGATCGCCATCTGGTCGCTCTCCTCCCTGAGTTCCGACGCTTCCCCGAACCTCCCTCTGACCCGGTTGGACCAGCTCAAATCGCATACCAGACCCGTGGATTCGTTTGCCTTGTCGCATATCGATGCCGAGGGACGTGCGACGGTGTACGCTGGGGATTCTATGGGCGTGATCAGGACCTGGCTGTTCCGACGAGCTACCGGCTCTTCCAACGCCGATGCCAACAAAGTTCAAGTCACACAAGGTCCCGATCTCCCTGGACATCATACCAGCATTACTCGGCTCATCATGGACGGGGATCAAGGTCTCATCTCCTGTTCCATGGATTCTCAAGTCCTCTACCATCCGCTCGACCAGAACCAGGACCAAACCGGGAAGGAAGCGACCGTCAGGCCGGCATTATCCATCCCCAACCCTCTTTACCCAGAGACAACTCCCGTCCGGTCGTTATTGCTCTTACCTTCGACATTCCACCCCTCACATCTCCTCCTCTGCGGCGCCGCTGACCAAGATATCAGGGTGTACGACCTCTCCTCTACCTTGGAATCCGCTAGTCGGTCTAGCCACACTCATACCGCCGGAGAAGGTCGGGCGAAGGAGGTCTCCCGGATAAAGGGACACTGGGCCGACGTGATTGACCTGGACGTCTGGGTGAAAGAGGTCGAGGGGGGTAAGAAGGAAGCTTGGGTGGTCAGCGCTAGTCTGGATGAGACGTTGAGGAGGTGGAGTATGCAAGGTGAGCTTCCGATTCTCGAGATGCGCAGTTTCAGTAGCGGGTAGAGCAGAGCTGATCATAATTCTGTTATGGAACGCCTGGCAGATGTCCTCAATCCACCTCCGATCCCACGGGAAGAAGTCGTCGAGAAGAAAGAGAGTGTGATGACGGCGGAAGAGGAGAGGGAATTGGCAGAGCTGATGGACAGCGATATCGAAGATGACGTGTAGCAGTAAGAGCTAACAGTCGCAGTAACCAGGTAGAGCAGAGAGTAGCAACCATGTCATCAACGCATAGCCTCTTCAAGGTCGAAGTGACAACATCATCAACAACACAAAGCTACGCTACCAAACAACTGTGTAACCCGTGTTTTCCTGAACGGAACGCACGTCTACTTCTCGTAGACCCAGTTGTAGGCGGCCGAGGTCCACGAGTTGAGACCCTCGGGGAACCAGAGCTTGATCTCCTTTTGAGCGTTCTCGACAGTGTCGGAACCGTGGCAGACGTTCCTACCGACCTCCAAGGCGTAGGCGCCTCGGATCGAACCGGGGTCCGACTTGAGGGGGTCGGTGGCACCGAGCATGACTCGGCCGGTCCTATAGAAAAGATCGACGCAAAGGAAGATCAACGGGGAAATATTGGGTAGGAGAGCTCGATAGCGTGCGACTCACTTGACGGCGTCACGTCCCTCCCAGACCATACCGACGACGGGGCCCGAGTTCATGTAGCTGATGAGACCGGGGAAGAAGGCCTTGGACGAGAGGTCGGCGTAGTGCTTCTCGAGGTGGTCCTTGCCGGGGGTGGCCATCTTCAAGCCGACGAGCTGTGGCCATTACACGAGAGAGGACCGGGATTGTTTATCAGCCTCCGACAGGGGACTTTTGAATTCGATGGAATGCAGCGGGAGGGAGCTCACCTTGTAACCCCTCTTCTCGAATCGAGAGATGATGTCACCAACGAGTCCTCGCTGGACACCGTCGGGCTGTGGCACACGAAGCAAGGAAAGAAAAGTGAACATCTGATTCGAGCTCAACGGAGCTCCGTCCGGATCTCGAGCTTACCTTGACCATGATGTAGGTTTGTTCGGTAGACATTTTGGAAAGAGGCTGTTTTTCGACTGCGATTGCGGGACAAAGCCGAGTTAGACGATGTTCGCCAGCTTTACACTTCTGTAGATCTGCTTACTATTTGATAAAATGCTTGGAAGAAGGAGAACAAGATCAGGCGAGACTCGATGTCATTTCCATCAAAAGTCCCATCTCATCAACATCCCTCCTCGCTCCAACGTGTCAGGACGGGGACCGCGCGCTTGACAAGTGAGAGGTTCATTGCGCTTCTACTTGTCACAGACACACGAGCATATACACAAGACGTGGTATAGATTCTGACGTTTCATCTATCATTCTTTTGCCACCGACGTATTACACCTCGGCCACGTTCGTCCACACTTTGACGACATCCCCCGTATCCTCCAGACCTTCTACCAGGCTAAACACCTTGTCCGCCACCTCTTCACTGATCACATCGCCTAATCCTTCCCCAGTCTCGAGCTCGTCAGCAGCACCATCCTCCTCGTTTGCGGGCAGACGTAAGGGCGTGCTAGCGAGGTAGGCGACTTCGACACCGATGACTTTGAACGGGGAAGATATGGAAGAGGCGATCGTAGATACTTCGGAAGGCGGGGTGATGACCTGTAATGTCAGTCACCGATGGCGTCTTCCGTGTGTCAGCCATCGCCCTCGCGTTTCACTTAGAACGAAAAGGAACAGCTCACCTCGAACCCGCCGACCTGATCGTGGACGTCCTCGGTAGGAAGGACCACCTTGACGTCCTCCGCCCCGGCCTCGACGGCAACCTCGAACAGCGTATCGAAAGCCGTTTCTCGGTCCGTGCCCGGATCCAGGGAGAGCTTGATCACGCCTTTACGTTCGAATAGGAACGCTGTGGGGGACATCCTGCCTCTATGCCATTATACGCTACGATGTATCAGTTGATGTGCCGTCGAAGCAGGTATAGGGGCGGGAAAAACTCACCCGTATTTGTTCAGTTGTTCCTTGACGCGGGAGACGCATCGGTTCGAATTATCCGTCAGGCATTCACTGATCGCCCAGGCAGAAATACACAGATTCACAGGTACAGCGTGTCAGCTTCTCGTTTGACCGTGACGTCGGGCTTCTATAGCCTGGTCGCGACGAGAGCAAGTGCAATTTACAGTCCAGATGCCAGATGACGTAGACGTGATGCAGCAAGAAACGGCGCACAAAAAGCAGAAGACTCACAAGAGTAACACTCTTATACGTACATGATCATCCCCACCTGCCCGCCGGGTCCGACGGCCTCGTAAGTGATACTCTGGAGCGCGGCGCCTTCGTTCGGATTAAGAGCCTATAGTTCAGGGGCGAAATGTCCGTCCAAGGGAGGTGAAAGGTGGTTGGGAATCGAGTTGAACATCGTTCAGATTCGCATCCATTTTCAATCAAAACCGGGTGCAGATCCAAAGAAGGAAATTTTGATGGGTTCCAATTTCAGCTCTGACCTTTCAATCTCAAAATTCACTTTCGCCGGTTACCGGTGCCTCACCTTGTTCATAGCCGTATCCACATTACTCTTCGGATACCCGACTTCCCTCGCCTTGGCCAGGATGGCGGATAATCTCGGGTTGAGCGCTGGGTCTGGGGAAGCGGGCGGACGGAGGGAGAGGTAGATTTCCTGGCGGTCGGGTGTCAATGTCCATATCATGAACCCAGTCGAAATAGTTCCGATGTGGACCGTAGAGAATCCCACGTCCGGGTCCGGGCGTTGAGTGATAAGAGTGAGGGGTTGGGGGTGAAAAGGACGAGAATCAGCTTTGGAGAACTATGGCCAAATGATCCTGCTCAACCGGGAGATGAGGCAGCAGAGATGAACAGGAAGGAGGACTAACATTGGTAATCTTGGAGAACTGGGTCGATTTGGCAGAGTCTGCTGCTCCTTTTCTATGCCTGATCTTCGACCACTACAGCCGCCGTAAGTGCAACAAAGGTCAACTTGACCGCTTTTATAGAGTAGACGACGAGTCCAGACTCACCCGGTTGTGTCCTGAACATCGTGCACCGCTCTGATGGATTCCTCTGAGCACTGTCCTTGATGGTCCGGGGATACATAGGCTAGCCTGCCGGAGCATGCAGGCTGATAGAGACAATGTGATCATCATCTCGAGATTGTCGACAGTTCGACTTGCTGTAAATGCCACGGAGCGATCGTCAGAGTCTCGCTTTTTCTCCGTGGGAGGAGTATCAAAGCGATCAGCCAGCTACCTACAACGATCTTGAGCCTGCGATTGATCCTGCTATGGTATTGACAGTCAACCTCGTCGTTCGTCGACCATGACATCACTCGCCTCGATCCATCTCGCTTTTCCCGTGAGAACCCGATCCTTCGGCGACCTCTGAACGCGAGCAAAAGTCGTCACCCCGCACCTGAGCACACTCATACAGCATACAACGACCTACTCTATACTAACATTCTACACTTATTATCCACACCTACATAGTCACAAGCAGCCCAGCAAGGGAGCCTCTTAATCGAAAAACACCGCACACCCGATCGTCATGGCTCCGCCACCTCTCGTCCCCGTCGCACCCCCGGCTCCCATGCCCGCCTCGAGCCTCCCCCCTTCGTCCATCGCTCCCTCCAACTCGCTCGTCAGCCGAACACAACGATGGGTCGAAGAGAACAAGTACCTCGTCCTCGGTGCTGCCGTCGTCGCGGCCGGTGGAATGGGTTATTACCTGTACGCCAACCAGCCACCTGCTCTGGTCGAGCGTAACAAGGAAAAGACTGTAGGCGAGAGCAGTTCGGATGAGGATGCCAGGTCGAACGTCCCTGGACGCACCTCTCAAAAGTCGAAGAAGAAGAAGAAGTCCAAGTCCAAAAAGTCCAGTTCGACGGGAAAATCTGATCAGGGTCCTCTGTTGGAAGAGAGGGATCCCGAGGAGGTCAAACGTTTGCAAGAGGCCAGACGGGAGGAGGAGTCTCGGAACAAGCAGAGCGTGACTTCGACCTCGACCTCTAGCACGACGACGACAGAGACCAAATCCTCTTCCTCTGAGCCGGCCGAGAAGCCTAGTTACCTCGAGGGTATCCCCGAAAAGAACGAGCTTTATCGCATCAGCGCCGAGGTAAGCCCCACGGTCCGCCTTACTGCATCCTGGCCCGTATGGCTCTGTGTCGTCCTCGTTCATCCTGGACTGACATGACACTTCCATTCCATTACCGCGATTCCGACGATGTGTTTAGGAGCGTAAAAAGTTTGCGACGATGCTCAAGAACAGGGGGAACAAGCTTTACGCTCAGAAGCATTATGACGACGCTGCGGCTTGGTGAGTCCTGGAGCTATTATACTCTTGTCACAAGTCCACGCTTGCATTTGACACTGATACCCTGTATAACCTTGACTGGGATGGTGTCCATCGTTCGACTTGTTTAGCTACACACACGCGCTCGAAGTCGCCGTCGTCGAAGAGGCCGTATACTACTCGAACCGAGCTGCATGTAAGTCCCCCCCGGCTCGTCAACTTGATTTCGATCCGAGCTCTGACATCAGAGAAAATGCATGGGGCTGACTATCTCCACGTGCGCTTTTACACCGCAGGCTGGCAGAACATGACGCCTCCTCGATACGAGCAGGTGCTTGATGACTGTGACAAGGCGCTCAAGCTCGATCCCGCCTAGTAAGAGCCTATGGAGGGGTTTCTCATTGTCTGCCGAGTGGAATGAGGTGCTGATTAGGTGGTGATATCGGGATTGATTTCAGTGTCAAGGCTTTGAACCGACGGGCGACGGCTTTCGAGAATTTGGGTCGGGATGAGGAGGCTTTGCGAGGTCAGTCCGCCTTGACTGTAGTCCGCGTTCTGCCCGGCCGATACTGATTTGCCAATCTCTACTATCCTCCTCACTCTCTCGCCGCCCCCAGACTTTACCGCCACGACGATCATGGAACGTTTCCAGAACGCCAGCGCGGGGGAGAGCGTGGAACGGGTCTTGAAAAAGATTTCTACCAAAAAGGCCGAGGAGATTATGAAGGCCCGGGAACCCAAGTTGCCCAGTACGACATTCGTGTCGAGTTACCTCGGCGCTTTCAGGCCTCGTGAGTGCGGTGCGAACGTTAAGGATCAGCAGGGAACATGTGACTGATCGTGATATGACCTTGTTTACGTATCGATCGACAATGTCGACGACAGAACCCAAGTTGACGCCCCCCGTCCTCCCGTCCGACTCGGTCAACACGGGTAACAACACGCTCAAGCTCGCCACCGAGGCCGAAGGTGCGGGAGATTACACCCGAGCGTTCATCCTCTGTAACGAGGCCATCGAGCAGGGTGTCAGCGCCGACTGGGTCGACGGACAGGCGTTTGCTTACAATATGCGGGGAACATACAAGTGGGTCTTGGCTGTCGACTCACCATCATCGAGTTGACACCATCTTATCGCTGACCCGTTCTTCACGGACTTTCCAGGTTCATGGTTGGCGATACGCCCGGGGCCAAGGCCGACTTTGAGAAGAGTTTGGATCTGAAGCCCGACTATGTCCAGAGTTTGGTCAAGGTTGCCAGCGTGCATATGGAGATGGGCGATGCCGCCGGAGCGTTTGGCGATTTCGAGGCTGCCATCCGACACAATGCCAACGATCCCGATATCTACTATCACCGGGGACAACGTGTGTCAGATCGTCGTTGGAATGCCTTCCCTTACCCAAGTGGCTGATGTCTTATCTTTGCGCTGGATAGTCTACTTCATCACGTCCGAATACGAAAAGGCCGCGGCCGATTACGACAAGTCGATCGAGCTCGACAAGGATTTCGTCTTTTCGCACGTGCAAAAGGCCGTCTGCGAGTACAAGGTCGGCAAGGTCAGGGAGAGCATGGTCGCTTTCCGAAAAATCCTCAAAGACTTCCCTCAGAGGTCTGAGCCGTTCAACTACTAGTGAGTGTCGGGGCGTAGTAGGGCGATCGGTGGTTCGTGGCTGACCGATCTCAACTCGACAATACAGCGGAGAGCTCCTATTGGACCAGCAGCGATTCGAGGACGCCGTCAACCAGTTCGGTCTGGCTATCGAGCAAGAGCAATCCAAGTGGGTCGAAACATGCTTGGTGCTTTACACGACATCAAGCTGACTGCGAAACCGATTTTTTTCCAGGTCTAACGGCGTCAAGAACGTCCTGCCCTGGGTCAACAAGGCGCTCGGAGTCTTCCAGTGGAAGCAGGACATGCCCCAGGCCGAAGACCTCTGTAAAGAGGCGCTCGAGATGGATCCCGAGTGCGACGTCGCTATCGCCACCCTCGCCCAGCTCAGCTTGCAGCAGGGCAAGATCTCAGAGGCCATCGACTGGTTCGAGAAGAGCGCCAAGTTGGCACGTACCGAGGTCGAACTCACCACGGCCATCACTTGTGGGTCCCGACGCTGTCGATCGTCCGTATTCGGCGCGACTAACTTTGTATCTATTGCTCGCGCCAGACGAACACGCTTCCCGAGCGCAATTGTCGTTCCTGCAGGTGAGCCCAATCATCTCCGGAACGCCATCGAATGCACGCGCTGACCTCGAAACTACACGTAGAATTACCCCCAAATGGCCGAGAAACTGGGACAACTCGCTTCGCAATTGTCGTGAGACCGTATCAATGTACAAGCAGAGGAATCATAGGGTCGCATACACAAATATCTCCATTCATGCAAGACCACGTTAAGAGGTTCAGGTTGAGCGTCAGTGGCGATAGGACCGGCTCCATGATCATTGAACGGCGGTTGTGCAGACGGCTGTTCTCGCGGACATCACGCTGCGGTCCCGAAGTATTCCGTCCAGTCCATCCGTAAATGTTGCGGGATAGGCTGGCTGCATATCGAGGAGTGACTAACAGCATTGTCTACCGCTCAACACCGAAGTGCTTATATACCGTCGAGGACAACGCAGTACTTAAGCGGGAGATTGCATATATGGTGCTTGACAATACTCGCCTCCAGTCCGCGAGTGCAGCTCAGACGGTCCCCTTCTTCCGAATGGACTTATAACCCTTGAGATATCCTTATTTCTCTGCGGTTCGCAGTGGCAGCAGCGCGGTTCTGACTGCCTAAGGTGTGGCAGGAGTGGTCAAGGAGATTTGCGCTATACTAAGACCAAAGAGAGGTCAGGTGGTGGACAACGAAGAACAACCTTCTTGGCTCCCAGGGAGTACCCGGGAATGCGGTGGCTTTCAAGTTGATCACGCTCTGAGTTACGAGTTTGGGCGGGATCCTTGTGGATTCTGAGCGAGGCGTTCGATAGCGAGAGTGAGAGCGAGATCCAGTTCGCCCGGAGGGGTTTGATTAGTGTTACCATTAACAACAGCAAGTTGTTGATTGAGGCGTTGTGCGTCTGGCGATCCGCTTACGGGACGGTCGCGCATGTTCTTCGGCGGCTATGTCCCGAGTCTGGGCGGTGGCAATATTGAGAGGGGCCTTTTCCAAACAACCTACAATGCGTGGAGCTCTACTTCGAGACGATCAAGTTCGAGCGACCGCGCCAGACCTACGATGCCGCCCGCCGATTACGATTTCCCCTACCTCGTAGATCGCCAATCTCGAACCCGGCCTGTCTGCCGTCGCTGGGCGAAAGCTTCGACCGCTGCCGACAGCTTTGACCGCTGTCCAGCTGAGGCCATGAAGATGTGAAGCCACAGTTCCGGTACTGTAGGACGTCTTCGGGGAAACCCGCGCTTCCTCATCTTCCTGTCGAGTTTCTATGAGATCAATTTAGTGGTACTGTCACAAAACTCAGAGGAACCAGACTATTGTAAGCTATACCGTACAGCTCGCTTTGTTCCGTTTCAGGTTGACATGAACAATCGTGACAGTGTTAACCGGGAATGGAGCCTTGACTCGGTGACGAATTTTACATCTTTCTTCCACTCAGATATCTGTATATGAACGAATTCAGAAGTCATGCCCGAGTTCTTTTCTGATGCGATCAAGGTGAAGAATCCGACGAGGCGATTGTACGCGGGTGAAGTGTGCGATGTATCCAATGTTAATTCATGAATATGTACCGCAGCAATATAGGCCTTTCAGTCTACCAGCCTACAACAATACGCTTGGTCTAGACAAGTTGCCATCCTTTTGTTCCACCCTGCCACCTCGGTTGCAAGCAGGTTCGTAATTGCTCTGAGCAGGCAGCCTTCTCTTGCTTCCAGTTGCTCTTTAACTCCCCTGGTTTCAAGCACATGTCTACCATAGGCGCTGTTGTGAAACTTGTTTAAAGTGACATCTTCTTCAGGAAGTTTCGATGACCTCGCAGCGCGCCCCAATAAACCGATCTGCCGAATTAGCGGAACCTAGCTTTGTCCTCCTAATTACTCCTCGAATGCACACGGTCAACGGCTCAGAGATCATGTCGTCCACGATAGATCGTCATGTCCTCGATACACGGTACGATTGCCACCAAGTCCTATGGCGACGCGCATCATCTTTCCGCTCTCGCGTTTCAGGTTTCGGGGGACTTGCTCGATTGTCTTTTTGTTCAAAAGAGGAAACATCGAGCGAGATCGGTCGATTCCTTTTCGGCGATACATCGACACATCTTACATTGTCCAACTGACTTGCACGGCATACGAAACGGAACTCCTAGGAGCCACGAACGACCGAGACCATGCTCGGCCTGGCCGCACCCACCCCGCTCGCCAGGAAAGCCGTCGACGTCCTCGCCCAGACCCCAGCTGACATCTTGATCGTCCTTCTTCTCCTCGGCTACATTGGGACGGTCGCCGAATCCTCTCCTACGAACTTGCTATCCAGCCCAGATCTATTGGAAATGGGCCAGAGGTGGAGGGTCTTGAGAGTACCGATGGCGTGGGATTTCAACAGGGTACATGTTTGGGCGTCGATGGCTTTAGTCAGGGAAGAGTTTGGGTTGGACGTCGGATTGGGAGTCGGCCTCCCTTTTCAGGTGAGACTTCGTGGATCTCAGTCTTCACCCTGATCAACTGATCGAGTTTGATCATCTTGTCCCTGATATCCCATATATCTTCCTACATCATCATATACTAGCCGTCTTCACGAACCCAAACCTCAACGCACATGCAGACCGTACACAAAATCCTCGGACTCCCGACCGCCTGTATCTGGCACCTCGCCGCCATCGTCAGGGAATACAACCACGACCACAACCCTTTGAAGCAGATCCCGACGCACCTTTATGACGACCAGATGACGGGTCTCACTAGCGGCACAAGTGACAACGGGATAATAGGCACGAACAGCAAGGAAACTATAAACTGGGTTCCGTTGGATATACAGGTCTTCGAGTTAGCCTGTCGGATGGAAATGATCGGACAGAGGATTTATGGGTTGGCCGAGGTCGGACGGGTTGTTGGGTCCATCGGGCTAGGGGTTGAGGTCGAAGTTGCCGCAGGGCAGGATGCGAATATGAGGGGGATCGGCCCGGGAATGGGGGGAGAGGAGGAGGGGAAGGAATCTCCCTTCATCTTCAGGGAGCTCGACCCTAGTGTGAAGTTGAAGATGAAAAGCAAGGTACCAGTAGCAGCCGAAAGTTCAAGAGCGGGCGAGAAGAGGAAACGGGCGGCGAGCGATGATGCGTCCATGAGGATCATCCGGAGCGGGTCGGACGTCGGGGCGGGAAAAGGGCAGCATCAGGGTGATTCGCAAGAGTACGAGCACTCGGGTGGAAGTATCAGTGAGGTGGGGGGACATTCTCAGGTTGTCGATGATTGCGAGGTGAGTCGGGGGCAAGGCCGTTCTTTCTAGCCTTGACCATGGGATATACCAGAGGCTAGATCATGACACTGATTGTGCTACCCGCTCGGCACACCCGATCTAGTTGTTCATCCAGGCCGCTGTGGAGGTCCCTGACCTGTAGATACGAACGTGCCCTGGAATCACTTCACATTCGACAAATACGAGACGATATACGATATACGACACATACAAGACTACAGAGAGTGAATGTCCTCAAGCTCTTTACGATTCCACTTCAGATACCTACAGTGTACAGTTGTATAGTCAATGCTTTCAATAAACCCATACCTATCAGCTGTCGATGAGGTTTCTGACGTGTCGCCGTCGTCGTTTGTTGACAAAGTCAAGAGCGGGGTCCGTACCAGCTGGTCCAGGTCCCCATGTGAATGGCTCTTGCTCTTTTCACAGCCCTGGGAACCATGACCAGACGGACTGAACTGGCTATAGACTGTAACTCACTCACACGAGCATGTACTTTGCCTCTGGACCGGCCAAGATCTTGGCTACGTCGAGGTCTGCGGACGACCCGGCGATCACGCTCGTCCCGAATAAACGGTCGACCCTGTTCGTCGTCCTCAAACGCAAGTCGTTCGAGTTATGGAGCATCAGGGTCGGTCGACGGAGTGCTCTGATATCTTCTCCGACTGTCTTCGAGCTGATTTACGTTCATTTGCTCGTAGCCGACGACACGGCTCGCACTAGTCGAACGGTCGACGAGCTCGTTGAGCAAGTATGGGGAGAACGTCTCGCTCGCATGGGCTCCGGACGGGTCTTCCTTGGTCGTCCTGGTCAGTCCGAAGATCACATCAGATCACTCTGAAGACTCGCTGAGATGGTGTCCGGTTTTCTATCAACGTAGACATCGACCTCGCACGTGCTGGACTATGTATTGGAGGCACGTAATCAACCTGGGAACGACGTCACCCCGCTCAATCCTCCTATCCCGATCGAACATATCACGACTTTCCCACCCTCGGCCGGGGAAGGATTTATCACTCCCTACGCACCAGCATCGAGTTCTTCTTCTTATGGGAAACATTCGGCGGAGGACGTTCATCTCGATTCGGCGCTGGACGATGTACAGGGGGGACAAGCGGGGGAAGGGCCGGTCAAGGATGGGTTGTTCCGGTACACTTACTCTAGTCTGGGTTTCGGGGTTGATGTCGTGCTCAACGGGATCGCCAAGCTGGGAAAGGAAAAGAGGGTGGTGCCCGGGGCATTCACTTTTTTGGAAGGCATGCCGGGGAGAGGGACGGGGTTGCTCATGGTCCTCGACGAGAATGAGGAAGATGGCGATGGGTCGAGGTCGGCACAACAGCAGATCATCTCGGTCCCGTACCCCCTGAAACCGGATCACCTCGTCAACGAAGACCCCGAGATCCCCGTCAACTTGCCTTCAACCGTAGCACTCCCTACGCAGACGTCGACTTCGATATCCGGAGCTGGAACTTCTACTCGGTTCGGAGCTGGGTTTTTGGGTGCGTTGGCATTGTCTAAGGGAAAGTCGCGCCGAACGGACGAGCAGGAGAAACAGAGCGAATGGGTAGCTCTGGATGCTGATGTGGAAGTTAACGTGGATGTCGTCAAGTGGAACGTTGGGACCGACATCGTCCTGCCCGAACCCATAGCCCACGAACGGGTCAGGATCGACCACTTGGAACCTACAAAGACTCATGGTTGGTACATCGGTCGTACGGGAGGAGGAGGACAGGTGTTCTTGTGCAGGTATCATCGGCCCACCAGCTCGAGGCGGTCGATCAGCTTGTTGGACGGGACGAACGGGCCTTCGGATTGGCAGACGAGTCGGCTTTGGCCGATTGAAGGGGGTGGTGATGGAGGAGACGAGGTGAGGGTCGTCAGCTTGAATGTTCGATTTGGCATTTACGCCGTGGGACTAGAAAGGTATGTGATCATACTCTCGGATCAAATGTGACGACGATAAAACTGAAATGCTTTTCAATCTTGTTCAGTGGCAAGGTCGTCGTCCTAGGTCTGCCAAGATCAGGCGATGCTGCAGTACGGGTCGAATGGTCGATCGAGCAGGCCGACCTGCAGATATCTGGCGAGTCAGATCCTCACCTTCACGCTAATTTTCTGCTCAAGCTGACCGAGGTGGCACAGGTGCTAGCGGTACCGGCAACGTCACCTCCCTGGCATGGACGTCGGACGGCTGCGGTTTGGCCGTCGGGTGGAAGAGAGGATTAGGGATCTGGAGCTTGTCGGGTCGGCAGACCTTCCTCTATCACGGCGCGGACGCAGAGACGAGGGAAGACGTTGCCAAGAAGCAGATCAACGCATTGAATAAGTTTGTTAGTGTGCAACATCTGGTAGGTCTCTGGAAGTATACGCTCTGGTTGCATTGGCCTGACCGCCTGAATCTCGATCTTCAGTTCTGGAGCGCTGGTAACAATGAGCTTGTAGCTCTGACAAACGGTCCCTCGTCTCAGGGTCAGGCCGAGTTGTCGATGCTGCCGATCATGCGGGCGTCGTCTCTCGGTCATTTGGACCCGGTGAGCAGCCGAGTCAACATTTTATCGTCCTGGAGAGGCTGCTGACAATGCGCAACGTTCTTAGGCTGAATCCGAGCAACCGTTGTTCATCGCGGACGATACGGTCAACATCTACCGCGGCCGATCCTGGAAGCCGGCGGCGTTACTCGACCCGCAGGCTTCGCCTTGGCAGATCGTCAAGGTGACTACAGAGCATTTGACCTCGACATCCGACGTGAACTGACGACCCGCTGCTGCCAATCAGGTCAACTCCCTGTACGCTGCTGTGCAATGGCCTATACGATATTGCTGCATATCGAACGATGGCACGCTTTTGGCGGTCGCTGGTCGCAACGGACTCGTGCACTATTCCTCGAACACCGGGCGATGGAAGATGTTTACCAGCGAAACGGAAGAAACGAGCTTTAGCGTCAAGGGTGGCATGGTGTGGTACTATCACGTTCTGATCGTCGCCACCGAAAGCGCTCGAGGAACCGAGGTAGGTTCAGAGTCCAGGTCTATCATCGTCGCTCTCGTTGACATCATCGTACTTGTAGCTCCGACTATATTCGCGCGATCAGGAACTGTCCGACGCCAAGTGCTTGAACGTTCAACAACTCCCGCATACGGTAGTCACCATGACACTGCAGGGCTCGACGCTGCTTGTGTTAACGGCTGACAACACGCTCTATCACTATACTGTCGCAACGACCCGTGACGCGATCCGCTTGGTCATTGGAGATAGTATGAGCCTGCAGGGTTTAAACCCGAGCGCTGGCAGGGTGAGAGCCATATGCGGCTTTACAGCAGGTCGTAAGTCGCTTGCTATCCAAGAACGATGGGAGGGGCGCTTATCGCCATGTACCTATAGACGGCGACCTTGACTACGATCTCTTGACATCTACGATCGTGCTCCTCGCCGGAAGTCAGCTGGTCGTCCTGGAGCCAAAAAAGGTCAGTCGATGGCTGATCGAAGAGCTGGAATGGGAAGCTTACTGTTCCCTGACGACAGGGCGCTCACGGAGGCACGAGATACGAGAGCCGTCTGTTGGCGAGCCGAGTTGACAGCTTTTACATCTACAGTGGCAAACTAACAGGTCTCCGACGGAGTGTCTGGGCTATGACCAACCGAAACGTAGCATTCTGGCCGGATGTCGTCCACGAGCGAATCATCGAGATTGCGTCGCCAGCTTGCCCAATAGGTCAGTACAGGCGGTTTTGATCGTCATACCAGGCGCCGACTAAATCGATCGATACAATCCAGCCATCCTGCACGATCCGAGTCTGATCGTCACGCTTTCGAACCGGATCGATGTCCGCTTCAATTTACCGTTTGAATCTATTCAACAGGAGATGGGGGTGAGTTTGGCCGCACAAGGGTATCTGTTTAGCATGCTCATTGACAAGTGCACCTTCTAGGTGGTTCTTTACCTACCGCAATGGCTCGAGTCATTCCTTCGACAAGGGGATGTCTCTTTGGCACATGAATTGGCCGGGGCATCACAGACACTGCCCTACTTTGCGCACAGTCTGGAAATGCTTTTGCGTGCGACGATCGAAGGCGCCAAGCGGGACGACGCCTTTTCGAACGGTGTGGTGCGGTTATTGGACTGCTATCCTGAAAGTCTGGACGTAGCGGCCGCCTATACACGCAAGACTGAGGTCGAGAACTGGGGACGTCTGTTCGAGTTGATCGGGAATCCGCGAGAGCTGTTCGAGGTGAGTAAGGTAGGGCGGCGGATTGGGATGATACATTCTTACAGTGTCGATGTTTAGCGGTGCCTGCAAGAGCCTAAGAGACTCCAAACTGCATCCCGCTACCTGATTGCCATTAGGCATCAGAGCGTTTCCGAGGCATTCGAAATTCACGAGGTGGGCTGAAGGGTACCGATATGACAGATCACACGGCCTGATCCAATTGACGACAATTCCAGGACACGACACGGCTACTGCAGCTAGCTTTCGAAGCCGGGAACATCGAGGTGCGGCAGATTCCGTCCGATAGAAAAGCTCCAGAGCCTGACACTATTGCACCCGCAGCTATGTGAAGAGATCATACGGTTTCTAGACTCGGTGGACCCGTCGGGAGACCTCAAAACACGGTCTCTTGACGTTCTGAGCGCTACATTGGTGTCGGAAAACATTATCAATATGAACATGGCGTCGCCGCAGGTCTAGGGGGATATACAGTCTTGTTCTCTCAGCCAAGCAATTGTCCGTGATGCAACGAGTCATTATGAGATACATCTGTCCTATCGATCGTTATCGCGACGAGGGAGGGGGGTTCCAGCTCGTTGGCGGTGCAAAAGAGACGGCTGGCCCCGGTCGGTTCTGTCGGTTCACGACAAAGCTCTTGCCGGTCGGCTCAGGCTTGTTGGCGTCGAGGGCGATAGGTAGCGCGGCGGGCAGACCAACGGGAGAAGCCTGCTGAGACGCATTGGCGCTGTTCTGACCCGACTGATTGGCTCGTTTGACGACAAAGCTTCGTTGAGGTTGCGATGCCTGCCTCAACGCCTCTTGCGGCAAGTCGGGCATGGTAACGACCGTCGGCGAAGGTGGTACCGATTGCGACGTGCGACTAGTGGATGACGACTTGTTGCGGTTGACCTTGAACGACCGCGTGTTTGGTTCGTCATTGAGCACGACATCGTTGCTCTTGCGCAAAGCGTTTTCGTCGACTCGTTGCTCGTCCACGCTCGAGCGAGTCCGTTTGTCACTGCTAAGACCGAGAGACGAGAACCAGTTGCCGTGCCGAGAAGGCTCTGGATCGACTCTGGCGCCGTAATCGTCTAGCTCCTCTTCTTCGTCGGAGTCCACCTGTGTGTTTCTCCTGCTGCCCAGTCCAAACCAGCTCGTGGGTCGCGACCGCTTCCCAGACTCGCCCTGTTCAGACGTGGGCGACTCGACCTGCTGTCGTTCGTCCCGGGGATTCCTTTGCGACGCCGCAGGTCGAGCAAAGTCTCGAGCGAAAAAGGATTCAGCCGTGGGCGTCGTGGTCGGACTCCAGGTCGGTGTGTTTTCGCCAGAACCACCGAGCGGCGGATACATGCTCTTGGGAGAGTCCGAATGCGACGACGGGAGGCTCTCGATAACGGCCGTTTGCGACTTCGTTCGAGAGTGCCGTCCGGAAGGACCCGCTCCTTGACGACTCGTCTGCGTTGGAGATAGGATCGGCCGGAGTTGATAGCTAAAGTCGTTGGGCGTAGAGGGTCCAGCGTCCGCGGGTACGCTTCGGTACGGGTCTTTGTACGTGGCCTTGCCGCCTCGGATAACGGAGAAGCCTCGAGGTGCCGTCTCGTCTTGCAACACCTCTTCGTGAGACGAGTCTACCGGAGCGTAACCAGTGTTGGGACTGCGAAGTACCGGCCACCCACCCGGCGTTTGCCCAGGGAAGTAACCCGTGTTGCCAATTCCATCGGGTGAGATCGGTCCCGCGGTGGTATGCGTCGAGAACCGATCGAGCATCATCTGCGTGTTGACTGAGCCCGCCATCGAATCTCGATTGATAGTCGAAGCTTTGCCAGCCTTGCGTCGTTTACGTCGACTCGCCTGCGACAAGCCACCGAATGCTGCGAACAGTCCGCCATCCAGGGCGTGCGTCGAGTCTGCGAATTTGACGTTGCCAAAGAGCCGGATGAGACCTTCCATGACCTTGGATAGCAGCATGACCAGGAAAGCCAGCAAAGCGACACCCTGGAGAATGAGAATAGTGTAGGCTATCCAGCCGGATACGGCGTGACCAATGTTGATCTGTGGGGAGTATGGATGTCAATGACGTCGCGAGATGGTGACGGGCGAAAGCCTTGCCGAAACTCACTGCCGGACTCATGATCAGGAGCAGTACAGTCGAGGCGATCCTGATGACGGTAAAGAGGAAACCAGGGACGACCATCCCGGCTCCCGGCCTCCATGGCTGCCAGATGGTAGTCACGAGACCGAACGCGATCTCAATGACTAACAAGACGACGGCCTGGGCGGTACCGTTCTTCTGACCCGCTCCGATCGCGATACCGGTAGCGAGACTGGCGACGAATCGAAGGGCCTGATAGAGCTGGTTTCCCTGTGCGTAGATATTGTAGAGCGGTCCGAGCGAGAGCAAGGTTCGCATGGCATCGTAGAGCTTGGCAGTGGGGGTTGTCGATACCTGAATCAACAGGTAGATAGGCAGCAGGACCGAGAAGACCGCGAACGTGAGGGCGGAAAGGATGACCGAGGCGAGCGATGCCACGTCCCTGATCGTCCATTGGTAAACCGAGAATAAGGTCAGGGGCAAGTGAAACAGAATCAAGATACGGACGAGGTTGCCTGGGAAAAAAGTATGTCGGGTTAGTGTCGTCCGTGACGGACCTCGAAATGGCCCAAGACTCACCACACAAAGCGGCGAAATGGAACGCGCCCATAGGCCCCTTGAGCTTGAACTTGGCCCAGCCCTTTTTCCACCTTGTCTGACGAGTCGCTTGTGACGGACCGCTCGAGGCGATTCCTGCGCCAAAGTTGAGCGCAGAGGAAGCTCCCGGAGTAGGCGGAACAGACTCGACGCCAGACTTTTTACCCAGAGACATGTCGTATTCGGAATACGAATAACTCTCGCTAGCTCGATGTCCACCTCCCATGCTCTTCCTGCTCTGAGCCGTGCCCGTCGTGGTAGCAGCGAGATGGATGGCGGGGTTGTTGTTATTGCTCTGACGTGAACTGCCGCTCAAGAACAAGACGTCGACGATAGCGTGTCCGATCCAGAAGAGCAAGCTGAAACCGATGATGCCCGCGGCGATGGCGAGGAACAAAGCCACGCAGGTCCCGTACATGTCCCTGGATCGCAGGCCGATGGCGGTGGCATACGATTCGAGCCCGCTGGCCGAGTTGCGCATGTTCATGAACATGTTGGAAGCCGACGAGTCCATGTGGAGCGGCGAGTCGAGCGAATTGAATTGGTCGACAAAGTTTTCGGGAATAGGAGATGGTCGGATGGCGAGTAGGTCCCGTCGCTTCGACTCGGGATTGTCGCCCTGGACGAGTGTGACGTCTGGGAAGCGGGGCGAGTCAGATAGGAACCCGGCTTGGATCGCTCGCATACGGAAACTCACTGCCGACCAGGTTGGACCACGAAGTGGTGGCTAGGATGGGGTCTATACGATAAGGATTCAGGTAGCTTAGCCGCAAGAACGTCATCTCCCTGAATTACTTTTGACGTACAAGCGAAATTGGGCCACTGAACGGCCGTCATCCCGAGCACGCTGATGAACTGGAGATGCCAGATGACATCCCTAAACCCGGGTGTGACTGCCATCATCAACTCAAGATCAGCTCTATGCTGAGGACGTTCCCCCACTTCCCCCCCGTCCCCCTGGTTTGATGGCCTGACTTACTGAACCGCAATAAACCTCCGCTCACTCCGAGTCGTTCTCCGCTCAACCCGCTGACCAACATCGTCCCCCACTTTCTCCCTCCTCCCGACCGTCCGCCCGATCCGCCACTGCTAGACAAGCCTACCCGGGCGTCGACATCGTCTTCACCGGCAGAAGAATCGCCGACCTTGCCGACGACCCACCCTGCGGCGAACCGACCTGCCCAGGAAGAGATCCAGTACCCGATAGCGAGACCTGCGGGGATCCAGAGGATCATGGACCAGTACCAGTCGGAAGGGTAATAGGGGGAGAGTTCGAACCGGATACAAGCTAGTTCCCGGGCGGGCACGGAGGAGTCGACGATACGGAATTCGTTTTCCAGGGTGGCTAGTCCGAAATGGTGTGAGAGGGGTACGGAGATGTTGATAGCGAGGGGACCGGCGGAGAGGGGGCAGTAGGTCGTGTTCTGAGGAATGTAGGGGTAAGGGAGAGGGGATGCGGGGAAGAGCGAGTTGCAGAGAAAGGTGGCTGTTGACCAGACGTTGAACGTGAGGTCTTCGGTCTTTTGGAAGAGGGTCGCTAGGGGGTCGTAACAAGAACATGCACGCAATTTAAATCAGCTCGACGATGCGATTGCCAGGCCAGATCTGACAGAAGATGCTGCCTCGGACGTACCTAGCTTGCCAGTCTCATTACTGAACCCGACCAAATCCGAGCCCGTCTCCCCTATCAAGTTGATCCGCAAGACGTTCTTGCCACTCTCCGATCCGGCGAGTGAGAGCTCCTTGGCCCGAGCCGGAGGGAAGATCTGGGCCCAGGCTTGACTGATGTTGATCAAGCTGGACGGGTCGGTATCGCTCGAGCTCACGCCGCATCGTGATATGCTGGGCGAGTAGATCGAGGCGGCCACCGTGTTCAGGGAGGATAGGAAGAAGAGGAGTGCGAGCCGCATGATGGAGTTGGTATCGCTCTATTTGATTATGAAAAGTAGGTCTTGATGGCGATTGCGGGAGATGTCTTGACGACCTAGATCAAGATTGATGAACCATGACCTCCCAGCGTTCTCTATGCGATACGCCTGGCGATCAAGATCGGATCTTGAAGAGCAATCTATCTCTTCTTTTGGCTCTTGATGGAGCGAGGGTCTAAGTTGATTCGATCCGAACCAGGTCGACGATAAATGCTATATCACGATCACCATCAGCTCGAAATGTCGATCGTTCCCTTTGACGCGCTTTCAAAAGACATTCAGAACCCGCTCCTTCTCGTAAGAGAATGACGTCGTCGTCGGTGTCGATATATCTCGACGACATCTCCGCCCATAGCAGATTCTATCTACGAGCTACAAGGTTATCATCACATGTAATCTGCGCCCAAGGTTGAAAAGCGTCTGCTGCAAGGCAACTCGTTCTACAGGTAGACGAAATCGTACCTACAACGAGAAAACATCCCCCGCGCGATCAGCGATATATCTACCCAGACTTTCTCCAAGGCAAAGTGGTCGTCACTCACTTGCTCAACGCCGTGACGAGCGCAGCCAGCTGAGGACCGTACCTCGCCGTATTATCATACAGTTCAAACAAGGGGATGGCTGTGAGAGCGAGGGCGAAGGCGAAGGCGAAGATGACGAGCGGAACAGTATCAGATCACGAACCTTCAAGGAATTTTATCGCGGGTGATTTTCTGGCTTACCGAGTAATTTCATGTTCTTAGGTACCGCGAGTACCTCTACATACAACACCGCCATCACAAAAAGCAAGGTGATACAGTCCGATCAGTTCCTCCCATATCATAACGTTCCGCAAAACGACTCTGGCAGCGACGACCACGATTTCGCTCGGGACTCACTTCGTTCGGGCATATGGATCAAGTAGAGTTTCTTGCATTCTTTCGGTTTCGTAACATGGGGCGGGGTGTAGGGGTACTGACATCGACACCGATATAATATCACCTCGAATCAGCTATCATCTCCTTTTGTACGAACACAAACACGACCTTTCGAGACGGAGTCAAGGACGGGTGAACCGGGACTCACCATATAAGTCTCGTAATTCGGCCTCCACCAAGTCCCCAAACAATCCCCTACCTCCCAATCCCCTCCACCCAAGTCAAAACTATCCGTCCCTAAGCTGGCCCCGCTCAGACCGGAAGCGGAGACACCGGGAGGTAAGGTGTTCTCGTTCACGTCCATCGTGAGTTGGATGTCTAGGCGGCGTTTGAGGCCGAGGGATTCGTCTTCCCCGGGTGAGAGGTAGTGGCCGGGGCTGCCGGGTTGAAATCGGGTTCAGTGAGAGGAGAAGAAAGGATGGGAAAGGGCAGGAAGTCTGGGTCAGCGTTTTTTTGTCCTTCACTCGCGAGGTTATGGCCAGAGAGAGATGCAGGCGAAAGAGTGAAAAAAGGGGATTCCAGGATCTGAAAGGCTTACAGCTTGAAAAACGCGTTGGCGATCTGTAACATCAAGATGTGCGGGTGACCATGGTCCTAGAGCGCAAGCGTCCGTGGATCAAGCACACAGATCGAAATCATGGTAAGACTCGTTTTTACTCGTCTGTGAATCGCCGATCCGAAGACTAGACTCATGACTCACGTGTACGACCAAGACTCCTTCTACCGTGCGTCTCATGCCTGATCACATCGAGGGCCGTCGTGAAACCGAGTTAGGGGAAAATCGTGTTCGTCCGCGGGGATCATATCCCATCGTTCGTCCATCGTATCGTCATGAGCAAGAGCAAAGCAGCAAAAGCAAAGAGTCAGTAACAGAATCGTTCTTCATCCCCGGGCATCATGAGAGGTAGAGCGAATGGGAACTAGGGTGGACCCACCCTTGGCATCGTAATCGTTCGTCAGACGTTGCAACCTCGCAGCGACGGAAGGGTCTTCTTCCGGTTGAGATTCCTTTGTGCTACGGTTGCGGTCGAGGAACGTGGTCGGCGAGAACGACCAATAGGAGCATTCGCGGTCAGCAAGAGGGCGCTAGGTTTCGAAGATGATAGTGTGTTGAGAGTGAGCTCACCTGAACGTAAAGTTCGATAGAGGTTGTCTGCGATTGAAAGGAATTGCGAATCGGAGAATGACGAGCGGATTGTTAGCGATGATGTGTAGCTCCTCGGAAACGCCTGTGATCACGCGGGCTTCTTACAGACTGATCGTGTTTGACATCGTGGGCAATATCTAGACGGTCTTGTGGTCAGCTTAGTTGCCAAAGGGAGTGAGTACCTCAAAGTCGATGGTTCAAGAATGCGAGTAAAGGGGTCGAAGTCGTCGGGAGTCCTCAAGTCCAAGTGCTGCCAGAGTCGCCAGAGTCACGTGATCACCAGCTCGAAAGACCTGACCGAGCACGAGAAAAACCCGGAAAGAGACCATATCTTTGTATCTACCTACTCGTTTCACTCAGTACAACCTGCAACCATCACAGTTAACGCAATAGCCCACAAATCATGTCCGACTCTGAATCACACAACTCGGATACCGAGATGGCCCCTCCTCCCGTGGCCAAACGCCCATCCTCCCCGTCCACCTCGGACCGATCTTCGAAGTCGCAACGTATGCAGACCGAACCGAAGCAAGAACAGCAGGATGAAAACGACGATGGTAACGCTCAACAAGCCGGATCTACCCTCTCAGCAGCAGCTCCGGCGTTCGTACCTTCCGCCCCTTCTTCGGCGGCGCCCAAGATCCCAGCCAAGATCGAAGCCAACGTGCACAAGCTCATCGCTGCCGGCTTGTCGGACGCGACGATCAACGCGAGGTTGGCTAGTACGGCGGCTACGCACGGGTTGAGGCCTTATCAGTTCAATAAGAGCCAGTTGGCGCTGGCGAGGGCGAACTTTGAGGCTCTGAAGCGGGGGGCTTTGGGGGCCAAGTTGGGGGAGGCGAGCGCGACTACAGGAGCGGGTGCGATTGCAGGAGCAGGCTCTTCTTCTTCGACGACGACGATGATGACGGGGGATACTCGACCGGTCAAGCCGATCCCGGCTAAACCCCTGTCGATGCGAGCGGGAGCCAAGACGTATCTCCCTGAACAGGCGAAGGTGCCCAAGACCAAGGAGGAGAAGGAGAATAGTCGGAGGTTGATCGTCGTCTTGTCCAAGGTGGGTTGATAGTGTCGACGGCTAGAATCTTCTCTTTTGCCCTGAAGTTGAAGTTGGAATTCGATGCTCGGTCCAATAATATAACACGTGTCGGGTGATGATGCTGACTCGGCCTGATATCGTCGCTTGACTCTTTCTTTCCTTTTATTTCTCTTTGTGACACGGGACACTCTGCAGGCCTGCCTCGAAGTTTACCGATCGAACAGACCTTCTCAATCCGGAGCTCAGGTTAGGGATACGTTGTTGAACTGTGACGACCATCAGGGGTTCTTGGCCAAGGAGGGGAGAGATATCGCGGATGCTAGACCGGATATCACTCATCAGGCAAGTAGTCCTCGCCCAAAGTCTTTCTCCCTTGACAAGGACGATCACATCACATCGCATCCCGAATCGATTGATGATTCACCAGCGTCACTCAAATGCTGATCTACTACCACTCGATACAATTTTTTCCTCTCATTCGACGCACACAGTGCCTGTTGACCCTCCTAGACTCTCCGTTGAACAAGGCCGGACTGCTGCAAGTCTACGTACAGACCGCCAAGGGGGTCTTGATCGAGATCAACCCGAGCGTGAGGATCCCGAGGACGTTCAAGAGGTTTAGCGGGTTGATGGGTGAGTTCAGACAGAGAGCGGGACCGTGTTTTGGGGCTGTGGTGGGATCGAGTGGTTTGCGTACTGGCTGTCGGTTCGGTGGATGTGAGGCGGGATGAAGTGAGCTGCGGTCGGGAGAGTTGCTCGTATCCGGCGGTCATTTTGTCGCGATTGGCGCGGACGGCGATCATCCGGCCGGGGTGACGGACGAGATCCGAGCTCTAGCTATACACTACACCTACCTGCTCCTTGGATACCCCTCAACGGGTTCCAAATAAAACGGGCATTCTCGCCTTTGGAGCAGGAGGGGATTATACACATTGCGCGCGCTTTGACCTCAACGTGTCACTGTCGACCCTTTGTATGGCACGAACGTGAGTGAGCTGATCTCCGTCTCCTCTCCTTCCGAAAATTTGCGGTGGTCGTCTTTTCGTCGCAGTGCAATTGCTACAATTGCATTCGATCCGGGGGAACAATGGGCCCGACAAGTTGTTAAAGTGCATCAAGGGGCCGGTGACGAATTACCTGCCGACCAAGTGCATCAAATTGAGTGAGTCTCCGAGCTTGTCGTCGCTTCCAGATCGAGGTGATCAGCGCGACTGAACACGCCGTTGTCGTCCTTGCGATCGCAGCCCTCTCGGCCGACGCGGAACCGGTCAAGTTGTCCAACTACGTCACCACCCTCCCGGAGACGCATTCGATCGCCATCTTCATTGGAGCCATGGCCAGGGGTGAGGACAGCTTTGCGGACGAGGTCGTCGATCAGAAGATTTCGATCAGCAAGTACAGCTTGTCGGCGTCGGTCGCTTGTGGCAAGTTTTGTTGTGCGATCGTGAGTGGCGGAGATGCAGGGATGACAAGCTCGACGTTCGTGGCTCATCGATTGGACGTCTCCCGCCTTTTCCAGGAGGACCTCTGGGATATCGTCTAGTACGTTGGCGAGCCGTGTTTGTGTTCGACTTTTTATCTTTTCTGTTTGTACCAAAATAGAGAATCGCTCGTGGAGTATGTACAACATATTGAATTCTGGATACGTTCGTGCATGAGATACAAGCTCCAAGCCCACAGCTGGGGCTCCCATTCACTCTCCCGTCCCGGCTCGACGTCGCATTCCAAACGTGGGCAGATCATGAGCTCTGGATCGGACGACGCCGAATACCGAGCTGGCGGGCGATTGCGTTCGTTCGAGCGAGGCAAGTTGGGGTTCCAGGTCGCCCCGTCGAGCGGCCTTGTGCTTTTTGATGGCACGAGGCAGGTTGTAACCCAAGCCAGCGATCATGATGCCGATCCAGAGGACGAGCTCGGTGGCGTAGATGACCGCGGCGACGGGGTCGATTGGGGCGTGCAGGGCTGTTGGAACCTGGGTCAGTCGAGTGTTCGTCTTTCGATGCGGATTAGGGCGACTACTCACCGATAGCAAGCAGCGATGTGAGATCTCCCATGGCATCTAGGAGCACGAAACCCCAGCTGATCCCGCGAACGGTACGTTCTTGGTAGATGTCATAGTAGTGTCTGAGTACCCCGAGAGCGAGTCCGATGGCAGAGAGAATGGCCATCGACAGGACGAAGCGGCGACGAGAGGATTCGCCAACGTCGCCGTACTGCGAGGGTAAAAGCCGGACAGAGAGTTGTGAGCAGGGTATATGAGACAGGTACACGATGTTGCAACCGGGGAACTGACCTTGAACCCGAGGACCAAAGCCGCCTCGATACCGCCAAAGCCGATCATCAAGAGGGACGTTACCGAGGTGCATCGTATAGCGCTCCATCTCTGTCCAGGTTCATCACATTGTCAACGGCCGAGCAAGCGAGCGGACGTGCACGGAAGGGAGACCCAACTGACCTTGCCGTAATACATCGTCTGTGCCCAAGTGATCAAGCTAAGGCCCGTCAAGATTTGTGCCTGGACGACCAAGGCTATATGTTGCTCGCTCAGGATGTTGTGGATCCCAAGAGGCAGTCCGGCGAGTGCCCAGAGGATCATCATGGACGAGTGAAGGCCTTCGGTCGATTGTCGACGATAGTTGAGAAAGATCTGGGGAAGGAGCTGAAGACGTTGGTGGTAAGCTGCAGTGCATCGTGAGACGGACAAGATCGGCTTACCTGTATAGACCAAAAGACCTGTGCGAGCGATCCGTGAGCACGACTTGGGAACGCTCTAGTCAATGTCGGTCAGACTTACTGCGCCGAGTGTCGCCAAGGCCTCGACGGCAGTGGATCGTGGAGAGTCGCTCGACATGTTCGACGGTCGAGGGTGCGATCCTATGCTAGTGGAAATGAAGCCGATGAGATTCGAGCGGTTTGCAATCTCTAGACCGCTGACTTCTTGTATATTTGTCGTTCTACGGCGCTCAACTTTGCTATGGTGTGATTATCAAGCGTTGTCGAAATGAGACCGCAATAAAAATAGCAATGAACTTGTGACGACGTGCGATCAATGTGCGGCCTGTTCCTGTGGAAGGTCGGTAAAGTGACCTCAAGGGGTTCAGCACAAGATCGATACTTTGCCCAGGGCCTGGGAGCTGCTGACTTGGCATGTTTTGCGATGATTCCGAGCGAGTTTGACGCGATTCTGCAACAACCTGATAGTAGGATCACGATTTCAGTGTTGCACAGTGATGTACCAAGTCAGGACAGTGTTCAGAGTCATCTGTAAGCTTGTTGCAACAAGGAAAGCACAAGGAAACGTGTGAGATCGCTGAAACGTCGAGTTTCGACTTGCAAAGGGGTTAGTGTCGATTGCGTGAGAACGGGGAGGTTGTGAGCAGACAGCAACGTGTTGAGCTGTTGTTCAGAGTCATGACAAGGTTAACAAAGCCATGGGACCCAGCTCTGACCTCGCGTTCACGTCCAATACTAAATTTTCGCAGCTAAAGTGCCCCCCCATAAAACAAGCGGAAGAAACGCAACCCACACCTGTCTATACAAGAGAGGACAGTGCAGGCAATTTTCCCAGCTTGTTCAGACTGCAGACAAGCCAGGACAACCCACGCTGCAAGTACAGAGCTGACTGAACACTCTTGGCGAATTTCAAAAGGTTTAGCGTGTTTTCCTATGAAAGCGAACGAACTTGACGTGTTTCTGCAACAACCTGATAGTAGGATGGTGATTTAAGTGTGGTATGATGATGTACCAACCTAGGACAGTGTTCAGACCAAGTTGTGAGCTCGTGGTAACAAGGGAAGCACTTGTGTTTGTGTGAAATCGTTGAAACGTCTAGTTTTGACGTGTGAAGGGGTTAGTGTCAATCACATCAGAACGGACAGGTTCTGAGCGGGTAGGAACATATCCAGCTCATGTTCAGAGTCATGACAAGGTTAACAAAGCCATGGGACCCAGCTCTGACCTCGCGTTCACGTCCAATACTAAATTTTCGCAGCTAAAGTGCCCCCCCATAAAACAAGCGGAAGAAACGCAACCCACACCTGTCTATACAAGAGAGGACAGTGCAGGCAATTTTCCCAGCTTGTTCAGACTGCAGACAAGCCAGGACAACCCACGCTGCAAGTACAGAGCTGACTGAACACTCTTGGCGAATTTCAAAAGGTTTAGCGTGTTTTCCTATGAAAGCGAACGAACTTGACGTGTTTCTGCAACAACCTGATAGTAGGATGGTGATTTAAGTGTGGTATGATGATGTACCAACCTAGGACAGTGTTCAGACCAAGTTGTGAGCTCGTGGTAACAAGGGAAGCACTTGTGTTTGTGTGAAATCGTTGAAACGTCTAGTTTTGACGTGTGAAGGGGTTAGTGTCAATCACATCAGAACGGACAGGTTCTGAGCGGGTAGCAACATATCCAGCTCATGTTCAGAGTCATGACAAGGTTAACAAAGCCATGGGACCCAGCTCTGACCTCGCGTTCACGTCCAATACTAAATTTTCGCAGCTAAAGTGCCCCCCCATAAAACAAGCGGAAGAAACGCAACCCACACCTGTCTATACAAGAGAGGACAGTGCAGGCAATTTTCCCAGCTTGTTCAGACTGCAGACAAGCCAGGACAACCCACGCTGCAAGTACAGAGCTGACTGAACACTCTTGGCGAATTTCAAAAGGTTTAGCGTGTTTTCCTATGAAAGCGAACGAACTTGACGTGTTTCTGCAACAACCTGATAGTAGGATGGTGATTTAAGTGTGGTATGATGATGTACCAACCTAGGACAGTGTTCAGACCAAGTTGTGAGCTCGTGGTAACAAGGGAAGCACTTGTGTTTGTGTGAAATCGTTGAAACGTCTAGTTTTGACGTGTGAAGGGGTTAGTGTCAATCACATCAGAACGGACAGGTTCTGAGCGGGTAGCAACATATCCAGCTCATGTTCAGAGTCATGACAAGGTTAACAAAGCCATGGGACCCAGCTCTGACCTCGCGTTCACGTCCAATACTAAATTTTCGCAGCTAAAGTGCCCCCCCATAAAACAAGCGGAAGAAACGCAACCCACACCTGTCTATACAAGAGAGGACAGTGCAGGCAATTTTCCCAGCTTGTTCAGACTGCAGACAAGCCAGGACAACCCACGCTGCAAGTACAGAGCTGACTGAACACTCTTGGCGAATTTCAAAAGGTTTAGCGTGTTTTCCTATGAAAGCGAACGAACTTGACGTGTTTCTGCAACAACCTGATAGTAGGATGGTGATTTAAGTGTGGTATGATGATGTACCAACCTAGGACAGTGTTCAGACCAAGTTGTGAGCTCGTGGTAACAAGGGAAGCACTTGTGTTTGTGTGAAATCGTTGAAACGTCTAGTTTTGACGTGTGAAGGGGTTAGTGTCAATCACATCAGAACGGACAGGTTCTGAGCGGGTAGCAACATATCCAGCTCATGTTCAGAGTCATGACAAGGTTAACAAAGCCATGGGACCCAGCTCTGACCTCGCGTTCACGTCCAATACTAAATTTTCGCAGCTAAAGTGCCCCCCCATAAAACAAGCGGAAGAAACGCAACCCACACCTGTCTATACAAGAGAGGACAGTGCAGGCAATTTTCCCAGCTTGTTCAGACTGCAGACAAGCCAGGACAACCCACGCTGCAAGTACAGAGCTGACTGAACACTCTTGGCGAATTTCAAAAGGTTTAGCGTGTTTTCCTATGAAAGCGAACGAACTTGACGTGTTTCTGCAACAACCTGATAGTAGGATGGTGATTTAAGTGTGGTATGATGATGTACCAACCTAGGACAGTGTTCAGACCAAGTTGTGAGCTCGTGGTAACAAGGGAAGCACTTGTGTTTGTGTGAAATCGTTGAAACGTCTAGTTTTGACGTGTGAAGGGGTTAGTGTCAATCACATCAGAACGGACAGGTTCTGAGCGGGTAGGAACATATCCAGCTCATGTTCAGAGTCATGACAAGGTTAACAAAGCCATGGGACCCAGCTCTGACCTCGCGTTCACGTCCAATACTAAATTTTCGCAGCTAAAGTGCCCCCCCATAAAACAAGCGGAAGAAACGCAACCCACACCTGTCTATACAAGAGAGGACAGTGCAGGCAATTTTCCCAGCTTGTTCAGACTGCAGACAAGCCAGGACAACCCACGCTGCAAGTACAGAGCTGACTGAACACTCTTGGCGAATTTCAAAAGGTTTAGCGTGTTTTCCTATGAAAGCGAACGAACTTGACGTGTTTCTGCAACAACCTGATAGTAGGATGGTGATTTAAGTGTGGTATGATGATGTACCAACCTAGGACAGTGTTCAGACCAAGTTGTGAGCTCGTGGTAACAAGGGAAGCACTTGTGTTTGTGTGAAATCGTTGAAACGTCTAGTTTTGACGTGTGAAGGGGTTAGTGTCAATCACATCAGAACGGACAGGTTCTGAGCGGGTAGCAACATATCCAGCTCATGTTCAGAGTCATGACAAGGTTAACAAAGCCATGGGACCCAGCTCTGACCTCGCGTTCACGTCCAATACTAAATTTTCGCAGCTAAAGTGCCCCCCCATAAAACAAGCGGAAGAAACGCAACCCACACCTGTCTATACAAGAGAGGACAGTGCAGGCAATTTTCCCAGCTTGTTCAGACTGCAGACAAGCCAGGACAACCCACGCTGCAAGTACAGAGCTGACTGAACACTCTTGGCGAATTTCAAAAGGTTTAGCGTGTTTTCCTATGAAAGCGAACGAACTTGACGTGTTTCTGCAACAACCTGATAGTAGGATGGTGATTTAAGTGTGGTATGATGATGTACCAACCTAGGACAGTGTTCAGACCAAGTTGTGAGCTCGTGGTAACAAGGGAAGCACTTGTGTTTGTGTGAAATCGTTGAAACGTCTAGTTTTGACGTGTGAAGGGGTTAGTGTCAATCACATCAGAACGGACAGGTTCTGAGCGGGTAGCAACATATCCAGCTCATGTTCAGAGTCATGACAAGGTTAACAAAGCCATGGGACCCAGCTCTGACCTCGCGTTCACGTCCAATACTAAATTTTCGCAGCTAAAGTGCCCCCCCATAAAACAAGCGGAAGAAACGCAACCCACACCTGTCTATACAAGAGAGGACAGTGCAGGCAATTTTCCCAGCTTGTTCAGACTGCAGACAAGCCAGGACAACCCACGCTGCAAGTACAGAGCTGACTGAACACTCTTGGCGAATTTCAAAAGGTTTAGCGTGTTTTCCTATGAAAGCGAACGAACTTGACGTGTTTCTGCAACAACCTGATAGTAGGATGGTGATTTAAGTGTGGTATGATGATGTACCAACCTAGGACAGTGTTCAGACCAAGTTGTGAGCTCGTGGTAACAAGGGAAGCACTTGTGTTTGTGTGAAATCGTTGAAACGTCTAGTTTTGACGTGTGAAGGGGTTAGTGTCAATCACATCAGAACGGACAGGTTCTGAGCGGGTAGGAACATATCCAGCTCATGTTCAGAGTCATGACAAGGTTAACAAAGCCATGGGACCCAGCTCTGACCTCGCGTTCACGTCCAATACTAAATTTTCGCAGCTAAAGTGCCCCCCCATAAAACAAGCGGAAGAAACGCAACCCACACCTGTCTATACAAGAGAGGACAGTGCAGGCAATTTTCCCAGCTTGTTCAGACTGCAGACAAGCCAGGACAACCCACGCTGCAAGTACAGAGCTGACTGAACACTCTTGGCGAATTTCAAAAGGTTTAGCGTGTTTTCCTATGAAAGCGAACGAACTTGACGTGTTTCTGCAACAACCTGATAGTAGGATGGTGATTTAAGTGTGGTATGATGATGTACCAACCTAGGACAGTGTTCAGACCAAGTTGTGAGCTCGTGGTAACAAGGGAAGCACTTGTGTTTGTGTGAAATCGTTGAAACGTCTAGTTTTGACGTGTGAAGGGGTTAGTGTCAATCACATCAGAACGGACAGGTTCTGAGCGGGTAGCAACATATCCAGCTCATGTTCAGAGTCATGACAAGGTTAACAAAGCCATGGGACCCAGCTCTGACCTCGCGTTCACGTCCAATACTAAATTTTCGCAGCTAAAGTGCCCCCCCATAAAACAAGCGGAAGAAACGCAACCCACACCTGTCTATACAAGAGAGGACAGTGCAGGCAATTTTCCCAGCTTGTTCAGAC